GGCCTCATATGGAGAATTTATACTATTGAGATAAGGTAATAAATGTCAGGAAAACTGAAATTAGAAAAAGTTATTTGAAAAATACACTTGGATACAGTGTTAGCTGAAGATGGCACTGGGCAAAAAGTAACAAAAATGTGACATTAATCTGTTTTATTAATTATCACGTCAGTCATTTGTTTCCTTTGCCTTCTAGCATCATGGCAGCATTCACACTATACAAAATAATGTGCTTTTCTGATCCTTAGAACCAACACTTTTTTATGCTTATATTTTGTCCACAAATAGTTTTCTAAAAAAAATGGCATGTGTACCAAATTCTGAAATCTAGTGTTGCGCTTGAAGTTACTGGTTTTAATAAAATCTACTGAAGTACAGTGAAAAAAATGTTTTACATGATGTCCAGTATTTGCACATTTTCTCAACCACTTCATTGGTTCTCACTAGATTAAGCCGACTCATTTCAGTATTAGTCCAGGTGCTGCTTTGTAGATAGTTGCCCCAATCCCCTTTCCAGAAAAAAAATTCCACAAATTCTCAGAGGTTAGAAACAATACATATAACATCGTCTTGCTCCATTTTATGTTGTAATCCAACCCTCTGGGGACTGAACTTGACACTTGTACCCTGTAATAAAAGAAACAATTTCCAATTATACAAAAATTGTCATGTAAAATGGACCTTATGGACCCTTATATATCTTTTAAATCAGTGACTAAAACTGAATTAAAATGAGTCCTTTTATTCTATTTCCTATCATTTTTCTTTTATTTACTAATTACAATGAAAATAAATTAAGAACCTACTCAAAACCCTGAGAAAGCACTTACCCAAACCAATGCATATTTAAATTTTTCCACCATTGTTCTGTGGACAGAATGGCACTGAAACATATATATATATATATATATATATATATATATATATATAAGAAACATATCTAGACCTTTCATAGCTTCCACTCTAATATTTGGTAAAAAGAAACATTATAAAAGGTATGTCAAGTATAAACAGTATCTAAATGACACACAGTCTCTAATATTGCCTCATAAGATTACTCAATTATAAATACCTTAAGACTTTAAAATAATCTAATTTTTGTTGTGATATTTTTTAACATTCTCAAAAATTAACAAACTTCACTTGAAATATTTCTGCAACATCAAGCAATCAACAAAAATCTCTGAGGTTTGATGTGCAGAATGAGGATTGCACAGTTCAGAAGAAACTACACTGCAATGAAAAATAAGACAAAATCTAGTTCTATAAGGCAGCAACTTACCACATGTTCTACTGTCGATCCATTTCTCATTATAAGTGCTTCACCCTCACCAAAGTCAGGACGTGCTGGAACAACATGAAACTTTAATCATCACTGACTGGACAATGTCTTAAAAAAAGATTCATTAATAAAATAATGGAGATTATCATAAAATGTAGACCAAAAACATGCAAATAAAAATTATTGAGGTCAAATTTTGATGAAATGACTTTCTTCTGTGAATATGGACTCAAAATGCAAATGTACCTATAGGTTGGAAGTGATCTGGGGTGGTAGGGTGGGGGATGGGGATGGTAAGAATATTATTTGCTTAGAAAAACAAAACTCAGCCTGGATTTGAATCTTGATTAAGACATTTGTGTAAATACATGATAATCACTTGTTTGTCGAGAAAATTACTTTCCTCTTATGTGGATGTGATTCCTGTGTATCGTAGTACACATGTTGAGCATATGCTAATGATATGACAAGTGTGTATGTGTGTGTGTGTGACATCATGGCTTTACCTCCTCTTCTTTTTGTGAATATTCTGATCAAGTCCAGGTGCTCCCAGACCTTGTCCACCAAATAATCCAAGTTTAATTTCATATTGCAACTGAAAAACAAAACAAAAACAAACTAATAAACAAGTAAACCAGAATCTTCATAAGCAATTTAAAGTTAATTTACACCCCAAGGAAAAAAGTTTTTCACTTCAAACATAACTTTTTATGAGAACTGATGACAGACAGCACTATGCAGTACATTTGTGCAAGTATTTTGATTAAAATTTTTAAGTAGGTAAATGCGATAAAATACAACTTAAGAATAACAAACTCACGCACCTTACAACTACTGTGTGGGGTTCCCTGGCTAGCTTATCTACTTCTTCTATAGAAATCTGGTCAATTTTGTTATAAACCTGGGTAACAAAAGGACACAAAATATACATTTAAGATTCTATGTTTTGTTTTTCAACTCAGAAAACAAGAATACAAACAACACAATGTTATCATGGTCAAAATGGCTTTATGTTTTTATGTTTTTTCAAAAAGCCCTCTTACAAAGATATTGTTAACTATAACAAGAACAAAGGAATCACCTACATATAAGCAAGGCAGGTATTTTCTGTTGTCAAGTATCACATCAATAAACTGATCTGGTGTGGCGTCTTCTCTGAAGAGTACTTCACAGTTAAATATTTCTGGCAAAAATTATGGAGAAAATAACAGGATGTTTCTTTCTTATAAAATGGTTGTATGATCTCTTTTGGAGCAAAAAAAAAGGGCGTACTTTTATAAACTTAAAATGGAGATCAGAAATAAATTTCTTGCGCTTAATATCATTATATGAAACATTTTATAACATCTCTAAGTAATTCTAATTATATCTGTGGCATTCTGTGTAGGGAAATGTATGAACAATTATGGCAAAAATGATTTTCCACAAACCAAAAAAATTCTCAAAGGATACTGTATTCATGTAAAATCATCTGTACCATCTTCTCATTGCACTTGGTTAATGGTAAAGTGGAGTTAAAGGACAGGCCACCAGCTTTTTTGGGCTGTAATGAAATATATATAAATATAGTGTAGATATCTTCAATATAAGATTAGAATGGTTGAATATCATACAAAAGAAAATTAATTAAACTTTCTAAGTATCTTTACATTAATTGTAACGTGTTTAATTCCTAATACCTAACTATAAAGTTATATATTTGAATAGTAAATAACAGTAAATAGTAACCACACAGCTTAATGTCTTGCAGCTCTTATAATACCTACAAATTGCAAATCATTGGATAATGTAAACCAGAGGTCTAAATTACAACATGGACAGACATCCAAACACCACATGTGTAGCTAGGCTTAACTAATTTGAGATATTACACGCAAGTTCCTCTGACAAAAACAATACCTTGAAATAAATGTTAGGCTTCGTTTGGTTTAACCTGATGCCAACAGTTTCCAACTCCTTTTCTAACAGCTCCCTAAAACAGTAAATTTCTTATGTACATTCAATTGATGATCTGCATTGTCAAAAATAATTACATGTCATACCAAAGATCTATTTTTTTTTTTTCTTTTTTTTTTTTAATGGCAACAGAGCTTTGCTGATGATAATTGTAAGAGGTCTGGTCAAAATGATCATCCAAGTTTCAGCAAAATTTCAAACTCTGATATTACAATATACAAATATACATACAGAAGACTGCAATATCTTAACTAACCTCTGTGAATGGCTTTTTGAAGCATCACACATTATGATGACAAGATCTGCCGTTCTTGCCACAGCAATAACTTGTCTACCACGACCTTTACCTGTTAACATACAGAAAGATGCTATAAAATATATACTGTTCAGTTTATGACAAGAGACTCTGGTAGTGATATTAAGCAAAACGTTAATATTATTTAAGGCTGCCACATAAATAGCCATGCCAAATTTGAATGCCAATTAAAAAAAAGATCTATGCCTGCATTGTATCCCAGCATATTTCTAAAAAGACGACTTATTTCATGCTACCATGAAAAACCATCCACTTAAATCTGATTAAATAAATATAAAATATAGAAAAGTATCCATTACCTTGTGCTGCACCCTCAATAATACCTGGAAGATCTAGCAGCTGGATATTTGCACCTTTATGCTAAAAGAACAAATTTAAATATTATTCTAGCAGTAATAAGAACAGAATGCTTTTTTTTATTGTATTTACCTGAATAAACCCAGGAACACACAAAGTGCCTGACCATATGGCATTTACCTGAATTACCCCAGGAATATATGTAAAAGTACCTGACCATATACTGTTTACCTGAACAACACCGAGAATACACAATTAAGTACATGACCAATTAGTATTTACCTGAATGACGCCAGGAATACAGGTAAGAGTAGTAAACTCGTAGGATGCACATTCACTTTCTGTCTCTGTCAGAGTGCTGAGCAATGTGGACTGAAAAGGTAATACTGGAATTCATTCCTCTGCATTAATCAAAAATCTTAAACTAGTGCTTAAATAATATAACAAGTAGAATACACCAAAATACCAAGTCATAAATACTGAATGTTTAAACATGCTTAAGACAGAATTTTTTTTTACTTGACGAAAATATGCATCATAAAGTAAATCAAACTACAATATCTTAAGTCCCAAACAAAGTTGTATCTTGTAAGTCTTTATATCATATAAAGCTACTAAAAAGGTCATACAGAATCTGAATGAGACAAGTACTAGTAGAGCAATGACTCAAGAGTAGGACAAAATCATTTTCTTTTTTTCTAGGAATAAATTTAACGGCTTGTTTGAATTTTCCAATCAAGCCCTTACTTACCTTGCCAACAGAAGGGAATCCAATAAGTGCTACTCTAGCATCACCTGACTTCATAACATCAAAACCTTCACCCTGTAGAGAAATGAACACACACCATTTTCATCAAGTTACAAGAAAGATGAAAAGTGTGTGTATTTGTTGTATGCCTGGGTCATTGTGTTTGAAATTTGATGCTGTCATCACTGGTTTTGGATGATAATCTGCCCACGTCAGTTTAGAGTGCATCATGTTCAAGACATGAAATTTTACAATTCCGGTGCATCCTATATATTTATTATATTTAATAAGTCTAACTTTATCTTTTTTTTCTCTTTTCACTTGTCATTTCTATTTCTTTTTTTAATATAAATCTATGCAAGTGTGATAAAAATTAAAGGCATGCATGGGTGCAAATGTGTGTTGTTATAATGTGATACACTGTTTTTCCAGGTTTTTCCAGTAGTAAAAATTATCTTTAATAATGTTAACTGCATATTACTCTTACTCAAAGGAACCCTGCAATATTTAAGAGTTATAAACAATTGCTTTTCCAACTCCTTCAATAGTGTTAAAATGTAAAAAAAAAACTTGCTTCAAAAAAAATAATAATAATAATAATAACTGGTTACATCAAACCAAACTATCTTAGGATGATAAATGAAAGAGTGAAGAAATTAAATTCTTAAATGCAATTTTAATACATTTTGTGAAAGTGTGTAGTTGTTAAATTGTTAAAATTGTCCTAATTCTGTTTAGATAACATACTATCAAACTTCAGAAGCATATTTACCTTTGCCCCTGCCTTTCCAGTTGGCTCCAGTAACTGAGACCTGTACTTGGCTAGCTTGGCTTTCAGCAGACCCAGATGATACTCAGTGGCTGAAAATAAATGCAAACTTTGGGATGATACAGATATTTTTCTAACCAGTATATTACAACTTCTTGTGACACATGACATATACAATTTAATAAACTTTAATTAAATGTCTCCTTATATATAGAGGCAGATTCACAAATTTATAAAAGAGGGTATGGAAGTTCCAGGACCGAAAAAAAGAAACTGGCCAGTTTTTGCTTTGAGTCAGCAAGTTTTTAAGACCCTGGTGTCTAAAAGGGTCAGTAGTGTTTGTCAGGGTAACCAGATTCTTGTAGTTTCAGAGATCAAACACAACTTCCTACTCTCCGCATGCCTCTATCATTGCAGGACTTACTAACACTCTGGGTGCAAAAGGGAAAATTTGTACTAAACTTAATCCTTAAGAGATCAAACATAGGTGTGATTAATTTCGAATGATTATTATCTGTTTTTTTTTTTAATTTACAGTCTTCTGTAAGAAATGATAACTATCTGACAGTCACAGACTCACAGTGACACAAGATCGGTCTTATGACATGACATGACACAGTCTGTGGCATTACCCTTATTCTTCTGGGTTCGAGCTACCTCACGCTCTATCTCTGCGATCTTCTCCAGGATTCCCATCTTGACACAAGTGCAGGAGCAAACAATTTCCTTCTACAGAAAAACTATACTCCGGATTGAGAGGACGACACAAGACCTCGTCTGCCTGCAGTTCCCTAGCATTTACATTCACACTGTCGGCCTGCCATGTTGTGAGATGTTCGGCTATTTCCGTGAACATCAAACTATAATGATTTGTCAACAACATTTATACCAGCTTTATTGATTTGATAATCATATGGATTCTCTGAGTAAAATTTGTGCGATACTATAAATTTAGATGAATTTAGTAATTATTTGACATATTTCTTTCTTCGGATAACTTCGTAATAAAGATGGCTGCGCCCATGGAGATCACTCCGACAAGAATTTGCCTAAAGATCGTCATTGTTGCCGGCATTACCATTCAGTAATATTAGGTATTATAAATAGTGGGTATTAAAATGGTCTTGTTTAAAACTTTGTATATCGCTTAAAAGAAAGGAATTAAAATTTTGAAGGAAGACCGTTTAACCAAAGTATTCGATCAGAATCAACGATGTGACCTTGAACTTTATTAAAGGAGGCAAACGTGATGTAACTCAAAAGTGAATTATGTAGAATGACCAGTCCACTTAAAGAGGCTTGAAACTCTCTGTGTCATTTTGAATGCTGTAAGTTACTAATTTCAAGTAGTTCAAGTTGTTTTTTTGTGAGAATTTGGTTTAATATTATTGTGTTAAACGATATACATTTGGGTTTTTGAACTACAACTACATTTATGTAAGTGCTGTGTTCTACCTCTGGTGTAGTTGCCACTGACAGTGATCATCTGGGAATATCATTGTTAGTTCCAAGCAAGAGACACTCAACTCTTCTATCAGGAAATTTCCATTCAACTGAGCGCTAGCAGGGAAGTGTTTTAGGTAAGTTTTGCAGTATTCCAAAGCTTACGGCTATTGTGAAATGTAAACAGAGGATAATTATTGCCCTTGTCTATAGAACTGATAGAAGATGTAGTAACGAAATAGAGGGTCCAGGTAACAGAAAGTCCACCTCCATTTAGCTATAATGGTTAGAGTTTGTCTGACTTAAGTTGGTCAAAATCTAGGGTGAGGCTTACCTAGCTGTACAAATGAATGGGAAGTGGACTGTCTATCATGGGGGACTCTGTCATGTTACACCGGTACTTGTGCAGCTGTAAAACTTAATTAAAGGTTAAAGTACATTATATACTATATAGTTATTGCAGCATCTGCCATACTTTACATCCAATTCAGGTATTCAAGATGTATTCAGTTAATTTCATTTTATTTATACATTTCAGTTTTAAAAAAGGTCTTAAATGATGGATTATGTAACAAGGTTATGTAAGATTTTGTGTTTCTGTATGTGAAGTACATTGTTTCACATTGTGATCCCACTTCTCATTTTCAGGTGGATACCTCGTGATTTTCTTGTATGAGGTGAAACAGCTGTTACCAATACAGTATGCAGGCTTTCTATTTTCTTCAAAGAACTGCACTAAGACATCTTTCAAGACAACAGACATCTCCAGTGATTTCTTTCATTAAAACTGGATATCAGAGCAGCTATAAGAATTCAGCATCTGTGACATTAACAAGACCATTTAACTCATGTAATAGACCAGGTTTGGACAAATTCAAATGGCCGAGCAGAACTTTAAGATATTTGAAGCAACACAGCGGAGCTTCATTATTTTTTAAAAGCTCTGAGCCATTCCAGAATGGATTAGTCATTGTTGCAGTTAGGAGAAAAAGTGGCGATTCTAAAGAAACATCTGATAAATCTGTGGTATATTATTTAGTTGGAGTAATATTTCTCATGCTAGGGTTTGGTGTCATTAGCGTCCCTTTGTTCAAACTGTTCTGTCAGGTGAGTTTGGCTTCCTTAAATATTTTACTTTAAAAACATACAATATGTAGTTAAAAATTTTACCTCCCAGATTGCACTGAAAAAATATTGCTCAAAAAAATATTGCTCAAGTATGTTAAAGCCCAAGTCCTGCATTTTTATTTTTTATACTTAAACATAGTGAAAAGATATCTTTCTTTACAACTTAATCAGTAGAGGAAAAGTTGTACAGACAATATACCACATGATATGGCACCTAATTTCTTAAATTGGTATTTTTAACTCCCATCTTCATATAGCAAGTGGGATTGGGAGGACAACCAACAAGAGGACATGATGCTTCCAAACTTGCTGAATTAGAACCTGTGGAAGACAGAGAGATCACAGTAAAATTTGTGGCAACAGTTAATAAGGCTCTTAAGTGGAAGTTTGTTCCCCAGCAGACGTCTGTCCAGGTGAGACCATTTATAGGTGATCATGAGAGCGACAATCGTTTGTATGATAATAGGTTGTGTAAACCTGTGTTGCACATTTGGAAAAGAAGCATGTTAGTTATAGGGATTGACCAGTGTTTCCAAGTCATGGTTAGATCCAAAGAATAAAAATTTACTGAACACTTCAAAAGTAGCTATCCATAAAGACAATAAAATGGCCTTGTTTCTGCCTTACTTTTTAGATAAGAATATATTTTTCAGACAGATTCAGTTCTATTGTTTTATTGCTTTGTCTATAGAAACATTTATTTTTTCCACAGGAATTAAAAAATTAAACTTAACAGTTCTTATTATTATTATTACTCAAAAATTTATTTATTTATTTTTATTTCTTTTAGTCTGTAATCATTGGTGGTAAGTTTCTAAATGCTTCATTTTTATTTATTTATTTTATTATTATTATTATTATTATTATTATTATTATTATTATTATTATTATTATTTTAGACTTATTTTTTCTTTAAAAATTAGGTGAAGCCTGGCGAGACAGCCCTGGCTTTCTTCACTGCCAAGAATTTGACTGACAGGCCAGTAACTGGAATTTCAACCTATAATGTTCTGCCCTACCAAGCAGCAGTACATTTCAACAAAGTACAGGTAATTATCCTCTCACTTTTGAGACAAAAGTTGGATATCTCATTATCCTGCCTTTCTGTCAGCCATGCATTTTTAATCTCTGCTGTTTTTTTCCCCAGACCATTAGACTGAGGAACTTGAAGCTTTGGGGACTGATAGACCTATCATCAGGGCGTGCAGGGGCCCCTTTAGAATTGAAGAATGTCTGGGAGTAGGGCTTCTTTGGGGGTGGATGATTTTCATATTTCATTTCCTCTCTGTTTCTCTCTCTAACTTCTTTTAAAAATGACCAAAATGCGCACAAAATGACTTCAAAGGTCTAGAAATCTTCATGCTATTCATTTTTAGTAGTGTTCGCCTTAAAGGAACAACAGTAAGGGAAAGGTAGGGTTGTTACCTTTTAAATGGTCATGCATGTAGGCAGATTCCTTATGGGGTTGTTATGATGTTTATAGTAATCGGTACCCAGGCAATGGCATTGATATCTATGGGGGTGGGGACCCTGGGGGTGAGCTACCCTTGACACTGTGACATAGTGTAGGAAAATGCGATGGGTGCTTATCGACAGTATCTGGTCATTATTGTTTCCCCATGCAAACTGTGAACAAATAAATGGAAATGATATGTTGTAAGTGTTTTTATTGACATTGATCTGTGCAGTAGTATTGCTTTCACTTGTGAAAGTTTGAAATGTTCATTATCTACACTTACTGAAGGCGTACCTGTAAGCTTTTTGTCTCAACACTTGGGACTTTATCAGCCAACTTTAAAGTTGTGAGACAGTGTATTGTGAACAGTCTAGTGTGAACTGCTCACTATTACACCGTACCTGTTCTCGCTAGACTGTCACTATATACATACTCATAACTACAGTGACTGAGGAAGTTTTTGTAGGTTAGCTTTCAGCTAGTGTATAAATTGAACACTTCAGATTTTCATCATTATGAAGCTGTAAATGATTTTTAGAGTATGCCATTGGAATGATTGTTCTTCATAGGACCACCCTGATAAAATATTTCAAAATATGTGTCATCCTTTTACCCCATTTTCTTCTCTCAAAATACTACTGGTGACTATAGTACTTTCGATACTAAAGTAATAAGAAAGGTTTAAAGAAGTGACCAACCACAATTTCATACATGTTTTTTTTCTAGTGCTTTTGCTTTGAAGAACAAAGGTTAAACCCACAGGAAGAGGTAAGATTGTACATAAGTTTAATTTTCTCATAAAAGAACATGCTTTATCTGGTTAAAGGCTTTTTTATCAGACTGACATAAGTCAGTTTTATTGGAAAATATTATGAAATATTATTGTAATTCTTATCTCTTAGTGGCATACCTTACAGAGAGTTCAAATCTTTCAGGTTGACATGCCAGTATTTTTCTACATTGATCCAGAGTATGCAGAGGACCATTACGTGGAGAAGGTCAATGAAATCATTCTTTCTTACACCTTCTATGAATCTGATGGGTCAGTCAAGCTACCGCTGCCTGGGTATGTGGAAAGTGTTGACACAAAAGGGAATAAATTACCAATGCCTGCAGTTGCTTGAAACACTGGAGAACTAGTATTATTGTGAAAATTGAGAAAAGGTTGATGACATTTCATCTCACTATAACAAGAGACCTGTTCTTTCTTATTTATGCATTGTGGAAGTCTGTTTGTACAGTTCATTTGGAAATGATTTGAAAGTTGAGAAATAAGGCATTCAGAGGATTGTTTTCCTAAATTTATTGAAGAAAGAACCATTATTATGGTGAGGTGCCTTTTTCTAAAATCTAGAAAAGGCAATTTTTATGTCTGTGATGGTAAAAGAATAATTATTTAGAATTCACTATATGATTTAACGTGTCCACTCAGAGGAATTATAGTTAGGTTAGATATAACATGTTGCTGGCAGTTGTTATTACATACATGAACAAAATTGCTTTAGAGAAAATTTTTTCTTTCAAAATTGTAGAACTTGCTTAAAGGGTTTGCTTCATGCCGTCAGAATGGCCTGAACGGAACATATTCTTCAGAAAACATGCCCAACTAACGATGTCTTTATCCAAATACACAAATTAAAAGCTCATTTTGTAAATTTTTGNAAAAGGCAATTTTTATGTCTGTGATGGTAAAAGAATAATTATTTAGAATTCACTATATGATTTAACGTGTCCACTCAGAGGAATTATAGTTAGGTTAGATATAACATGTTGCTGGCAGTTGTTATTACATACATGAACAAAATTGCTTTAGAGAAAATTTTTTCTTTCAAAATTGTAGAACTTGCTTAAATCTGGTGGCTACCATGAAAACTGAAAAATCTTTTGACTTTATGCAGTAAACTTTTTTAATGTTGATTTAGTGTACTTTAATGACATTAGGTCAAAGTTTTTAAAAAGTATTATACCTTAAGTGTGCAAGAGCTCTTCAAGAATCTAACATGAGATTATAACAGTTGATTTAATTTGATTTAATTTGCTTTGATTTCAGTCAGCATGCAAAATGTAAATTTATAAAGAGAATGAAGAAAAACATTTTATGTCATATGTTATTTGGTAAAAATCTGGAGGTTGCGAATAAAATTTTGGTACAGTCTGTTGATTCACCCGCAATGTTAATTGTGAAATATTGCTTTAGTTGTGACTTACTCCCATTTTTTTTTTCAACTGTATTACATGAAACTGCATTAATTTAGAAAAAGGGAAAAGTAAAAGAATGATACACATAAAAAATCACAGCACCTTTTAATGACAAAAATCCTCTGTTTCTCAAGTTGCTCTTTTATTTATATGATAAATTATAAAGACACTTCATATTGACAGTTAAGACTGCACTGAGCAGCGTCATATCTCTTGGTTAGGAAGCTGTAGTGACCTGTGATAATATAATGTTTTTTTTTCTCCCATCAAGACTTTTATTTGTTTCCAATCTGTTGGAATAAAATGCATTTGATGAGCAATGGGTCTTTTGAGTCTTGTTCAGACGTGAACGGAGCGTCGGATATGCATGTTGACTGTCATTTATTCCTTATTCATTTCTTCAACGGGTTGGAGTATGTATGAAATTTTACTCATAACTCTCAGTAAAGTATGTAATGAGTTTGTTGGGTGAATGCTTTGCTAGGTAAATACCTTATAAAAAGAGAGATGTTACAATGCAAATTTTTGGAGGGATAGAACATGAGTCACAGAAAGGAACCGGTTAATGCTTCTCTTCCCAGGTACCTTATGCAATCTATATGCCATTTTTAGTGACAAGTTTGATGTTGTTTTAAATTATCAGCCTGGGGCAGAAGAATACTTAACGTTTTTCACTGTCTATCTTCCATCATGCAAAGGCAACTATTGAATCACCTGTTTACATCCTGTGCTATATTTCACCAAAAGAATAATATATCGAGGGAGGAAGTAATTCATATAAATAAAAGCATATGACTGCCCAATGAAGATAAGCCATTTAAGGCAGAGCATACAGGGAAGATGTTACCTATTCGTTTTTTTTTTTTTTTTTTTTCCAAAGCAGTTTCTTTAACATTAACGTTATGAAAGGGAAGGGTTTTTTTTCCTGCAAGGGATTTTTTGACATTTAAAAAAGAAAAGGGATGCACTGAAACAGTGACATTTACAGTTGCATTTGTAGTCATTTCTCTTCTTAATGCATACACTCTACCAGTTGAAACACAATATACATTGAGATTTTTTCAGGAGGTTATTTATAAGGTAACAAGAATTCTGCATTTGGATTATTCCAGCATATAAACCAGAGGGGAAATGGTTGTTTCCTTATCAAGTATATTCAGAAAAACACTGATGTGATTAAAATCTTGACTTACATCTGCAGTATCCTTGATGCAGCTAATGTGAAGACTTTTTTTTTTTTTTTTTTTTTTTTTTTTTTTTTTTGTGAAAGAGGGTTAGTAGAGTAGTTTATGCTTGAAATAAGCAGGTGGAACTTTAAATTCTTTGCAAATTACTTGTCTAGGCAATATGATTGTGCATATGAAGGTACACTGATGTTTCCAAGAACCAAATATTAGACTACTTGCATTACTTATATATTCTACTGTCAGTCAAGAAAAAAAAAGAAACAGACACTGAATAGGTGGAAATAAAGAAGGGATCATTAGTTGAATTTCTTGCCTTCCTAATGCATCCTTTCGTGCTGCTGCACTAATGTGAATAGTGAAGTCCATTGCTTTTGTGTGGTTATATATATATATATATATATATATATATATATATATATATATATATATATATATATATATATATATATGTATGTATTTAGTGTGATTCTATCTATTAGTCTGGTATGTCAGTAAATGTGGTGTTTTAATGTGTGTATTCTGATTTTTGGATGTATGCTACTTTGATTTCAATTTTAAAAAAACGTGCTGCGTTTACATCAGGTCCTATGCAAAGCAAGTCTGGTTTAAAGTAAAATATGACATGAATTTTATTTTGTAATTAAGCTGACATAACCGCATCATTTCTCAATGAACAAACTTGACTGTATATGGTAACTTGTTTAATGGAGTATATACTTCAAATCATATTTGCTCCATCAGGATTTTTTGTGCAAGCAGTTCAGTTCATTTCACAGTTGGGGACTCAGTGAACAGCTGTGGAATTTGTCATCACACCTGGTCTTATTTCATCATGTGATGTATTGGTGTTTCTTCTTTTCTTTGATATAGATTGAAGTCTATTTCACTGATGTGTTGTTGCTACTAATAAGGGTTTATACTTATGAGGGAGACACATTTTTAATTCACCCTCTAATGTAAGCTTAATATTTTTAATAGGTAATTATAAGAACTAACTAATATCATTCTTTTCTAGAAATATTTAGTTATTTATTTAATTTTTAGTAGTGATTTATGTAATGATTTATCTTTCTTTCTAGAAGGATTATTGACCAACAGATGAAATTAAAATTATACTCCAGTGCTGAGATATTTAACAGTTACAATACAAAATGTTTTTCCACTGCTCGGCAGCAGTCCTTTTTATTTCTTATGATAATTAAGGTGCATCTATGGATGTCAGCATTTCTAAATATCTGTTTTGCCTGCAGAAAATGATAGCAGGCGGTGATATCACTGTTATGTTATGAGGTTTGTTATCTCCACTCTGCTGAGTAGCAAGGAGCCCAGCCACATACTAGCAGTGGTTTTCATCAAGCTGCACCTCAATGAGGGCAAAACAGGAGGGGGGTAACAAGGGCACACTTCATCTTTTTCTGCAAAGGAACACCTGCATTTGGAACCCATCATATTTTTATAAAATCTAAAATTTTCAAAATCAACCATTAAAACTTATACATTTTACTGAAGTCTTCAAGTTAATCATAAGGCCTGTGGTAATTAATCATTAAGAGACCTGCTGTTAGACCACTGCTGTAATATTTCATTATGCTTGTTGCCCCCTATTTATACCCTCATTGAATGCCTGGATGAAATATAAAAAATAAGAGTTTGTATCCGTGTGACAAATGAGTCAGGAACCCCCAGTAAAATAGACTGTCAACAAGGACTGATACACATCTGTGTTCTAGAATCGTGAATACTGTATTTTAGTTTTGTCTAGACTAGCTCTCTGAATCCATATTCTGTTTCTGTTGGGGAGAAAAATGATATTCCCCACCAGGTGTGTTAGAGAAATAAATCGTTTAACATGTTGTGTGGGGAAGAGCAGAAGTGGGATTGATTTTTTCAAAGGCAGACACTAAATATTGGATTTTTCTTAGGGTGTGGTGAAAAAAGCATGTTTGTTATATAATTAGCCTAAGCTTCACTGTTTTAACATGCTGTCATCATGTTGTCATTTCTGAATGTCTACAAGGTAATGTTTTACATGTAACAAAGTGGTTTCTTGTTTTTTCACATCAGCTAATATATGATGCAGGCAGATGCATTTCCTCTACAATAGAAAGATATATATTTAGCTGATGATACCACACCTAAAACGACGTTGACATATTTTGCTTGATAAAGAAAAATGGCAAATTAATGGGCAAAATACAGCAGGGCAGTATCTCTCATTCAAAGTTTCACTCTACAGAATCAGACATGCTAACCTATTCACCTGACTGTTATTAGGTCTGGAAGATTTCTTGGCAATGGTTACCATGGAAACCTACATTTTCCATTTTCTGTAGAGTATTATGTTAGGGCGTGGGGTACATGTTGAATATAATACAATTACACAATTACAGAAAATATTTATTCTTGGTATTCTTGTTATCAAGAATGTGTTTGTTCAAGGTGATGTCTGATATTTGGAGACATCATTCTGATCTATTCACCTCCTTGCTTTAGCGTATTATCAGCTGTAGAATAGAAAAGAGTGTGTGTGTGTGACCAGAAATCTGTAGCTTAACTAATCTGTATTTCATTGTTTCTCCACAGCCAATTATTTTTGTCCAATGAGATCAAATGTAGGACAGCAATATCATAAAGTCCAAAACAGAAGTCAAAATTTTTATTTGCCTTGCTCAGCCCATTTGTATGTGAAAAAGAAAGAAAAAGAGGAGGATATTTCACATATTGATGTAATGTAATTAAGATAGAGAAATGAATTTCTTTTAAGAAGTCACTTTGTATTCTATGAATATAAAATAAAAGGGAAAGCAGATTTAAATATTTGAATGTTTTATTTGTGCATAAGAAAAACTACTCGCACAACATTTCTGCTAGGATGTCTAACTGCAAAATGCCTCTGCTATATGTATTAAAGGATATGAGAATATATTGTCTTATTACTTTCCCATTTACAAGTTTTGTTTTCTATTGCTGTTTTGCTCCTACGTAGCTATGGTACGTTGACATAAGAAATATTTCTAGCACGAAGCACTTATGCTATTATTCAATCATGAGCACTGCATCTTAACATGAAAATCCTATGCTGATATTTTATCAAGTAATGGCAGTGCAAACACTTATCTTGATACAAATACTGAAGGACCAAAACTGGATGAAAGCATTAATTTCACATTAACTACATAATGCATTTTCACTTGAATATTCACTCCAGTTACACTGACAATGTATGGCTGGATACACAATATACTGAGTACAAGGAGCAGAGAATTCTTGATCATTGAAATGACATCATACCACAATTTAATACCTGATGCTTTTTAATAGACATTTTCTAAAGCAATATATGCAGGAATGAGTATAAAGGTGTTAGATAATGGTAAATTTGGGTGCATGTCAGTATTCTTTACTCCATTCACAACAATCAATCATCAGCACTAGAATGTCACACAAACACCAAGGAGTAGAGCCAGGGTATCAGGCAGGGTATTTCTGTGTGTGTGTGTGTGTGTGTGTCTGCCTGTCTGTGTGTGTGTGTGTGCTTTCGCTATTTTAATGCAGAGGTGGGGAGGAATCTGTTCATTTGTTGTGAAGAGGAGGAGGGAGGAGAGGCCTGGATCCTCTGACTTCTGCACTTTTGTTGTTTTTGTCCTATTCTCAACTCATTCTGTTCATGTCTTGTTCAGATTTCTTTTGCATCCTTTAGAATTCAGTCACTGTTAGTACTGATTCTTTAAACTTGGACACAATTTCTGTAAAACTGCCAAATATTCTGTGTTCCTTTACACAGGTTATATCCCATTCTTTGTCTCTAGCACCACTATTCCTATCAAAAGGATTATTGCTTTCCTTTATAACGTAACTAAATATTCATCATTTTCATTCATTGGATGGTAGCCCAGTGAGATTATGCAGATAGCAAATGTACACATAACTAACATATACAATATTCAATCTCACAGAAATCTTCATGTAGTAATCATGTTTTTATGCCTTGAGATTTATATTGTGCATTTTAACTGTTAAGTACAACATTATGTATAATTTGGATAATTACCCTTGCAGATATTGAGCATAATTTTGTACCTCTAATATTCCCATAAACATATTTCTCTATAATCATATAGTTGGTATTTTAGTCCACAGATGGTCAATGTGATACCAGATGGTATACCACACATATGATTAGGAGAGAAACCCAGTCATCTGTTCAACATGCTACATGTCAAAGGAATGGGAATTACTACCCCAGCCTATCCCATCTATATATATAATGACAGTCATGTAAGCTGAAGAAGTGGTTGGAGTGTCCATTGGACACAGGCATGGGCACACTATATTCTCATTGCTTAAGTGTACACACACCATATATGGGAGACTGGGTTCATATTAGAAATATATAAAATTGTAGTCAATAATAAACAGTCTACTTTGGTGTTTAGTCTGTATCTAATATAGACTATAGCAGCATGCACAGTGCTGGCATGTACCCGAGTATGTTTGAGTGGGTTACAATTACATATTAGACTATATACTAAAAGACTGTACAAGTTAGCTATAAAATATGTGCACATTTTTGTTCATTTTGTAAGCATTATGCACTAGTCACTTAGACTCAGTTATAAGTAGTTATAACAATGGCCAATGAATTGGATAGTATTCAAGCCTCATAAGAACCTACTTTTTTGCAATAATTCATTTGAAGCAACAAATGTAAGCTGCAAACTACTGTTATTCTAGGATATTCATTGAACCATATCTATAAATGGCAATGTATCATAATTTCAAGAAAAAATTTACCCTATGTTGCCCAAGTTTACAGTCTTTATGAACGAGTTCAAAGAAAGCCTGAATATATCTCAGAGAAAGGACCTGAAAGAAGTATCTAAATGTTCTTTGTAGTTTTACAGATCTCCTTTCGTGCATTTCTTGTAATTCAAACTGTTGAGCAGAGAATTTCACAGTCATTTCTAGAGATGGCATAGTCTCCAATATGCTTGTTGTTGTTGTTCAGGGCATCCAGAACCGTTTACCAGGTTCATATATTTATATATGTCTGGAGATACATCAGATGGTTCTTTTAATATTCCCACAGAGTGTTTGCATTGATCTCTGTTCCAGTGGCACTGAAGATCCCATTTTGCTCGCCTTTGAGGTAACATCCATTTTCAGCCTTGATAGCAAACTTAGAATGCTCTCTCAGTTCCAGAATGAATTTGTAGGGGGTGGCGTTCTCTGCTGCAATTGAGCCATCAGATGTTACTGCTAAGTAGTTACCATTTGGAGCTGGAAAGGAATTTTATGCTGTTATTAAGTTGTTTGAAGATATATACATGAAATAGGTTTTTTTTTTTTAAAATTCATTTTGTCCAGCTACTTTTTGTGAGTATTTAACAGTGTTTCTATCTCACAAGCACTGATATTAAAGAACTCCAAGTGCCTGTTCTTAACTTAGTACTTCATACATTTGGTTTATATTTTTTTGTCTATAATGAGTGTAATTTTATAATGTTGCAGTCACAAGACATCTGAAAAAAATGGACAGACTCTGTGACTCAAAGTCTTTACAATGACTTGAAACAAAAAATAACTCATGAGACATGTTACTGATGAAAAGCCAAATCAATTTTCTGAAACAGTCACAAACATGGCACATATATCTTATAAGTCCAATTAAGTCAGCTGATAAAGCCACAAAAGTTCCTTTTAGCTAAAATTGAAATAAGATTGTCTCATTCCATTTGAAAAATACATGTGACAGTCCATCTTCAAAGAAAAAAAGAATAAAATTATTCAATGAAGGGAAGTCTTTATGAACACATTAAAGGAAGCATTCACACTACAATTTCAAAGATTACACCTGAAGCAATAGAAACTGCATAATATGTAAGGAAAAGAATCTAAAAAATGGAAAGGGATCACAGTAAGCTCTTGATCTTTTCCTTTCCATTTTTCATAACATGTAACAGTGCACTTGATCAAATAATCTGATTTCAAATAAGTTTCCAATCTGTTTAGAATACATTCAAATCTACTTAAAGTAGGCCCTTATCACATACATAATGGACCAATTACAAATAACTGAAAAACAAAGTCCTGTTTATCAACTCCAAAAGAATTCATAGATAGTATCGCATCACAAGGGCAGGTTCTTGTAGATAAGGCAAATATGAAACGATGCACTTGAAATTCTATAGCTTTTTCCACAGTATCTAACAGAGAAATACTTCCTCGCCAAAGACCTCAGACAGGATGTGTGAAGTTTATGTGGTTTTGGCCTTCCATGTCCTGAATTTTCTTTTTAAACATGTTTTATTCTTCTCATTTGATTTTTCAAGACTACAGTTTTTTGACAATACTTCAAAAATAGCACTCAAGTTTTTATCTCCCAATCTTTTATCTTATTTTTTATTTCAAAACTTACAGATTTAAGCCTTTTTATCACCAATATTGTTAATTTCTGTTATAATTTTCAATTACTTGCTGTGACTTTATACAGTGGCGGACAGGAATTGAGGTAAAGTAAAATTGTGGAAATATGCAAAAGATAAAGAGTATCATTTCATTATTCATCTGGTAATTGAGTGCCATGAATTCACCCTTGACCAACTTGTTTTGTTTGTGAAACTGAAACAATTATCAATTAAGTTATCTGTTTGATATAACAAGCACTAAATTGCACCTTGATAATGCAGATGGATTTACTTTGAGCTTTTGTAAGTTTACATTGTTTTTCAACTTGAAGCCTTCATACCCGGTATGTATATGACTGGTCCAAATATATAGGCTCCAATTTTCCATCAACACTTCCACTGCCATCATTACAGATGCATGTTTTAACTTTCTATCCCATTCAATTACCCCTCCTTCCCACTATCAGGGGATAATATTAAATCAGGGTAGGGAAAGAATTGTCTGTATATCTGGGTTTTAATGTGAGGTCATGATCTCTCCTGTATCATAATTGGATGATTAGGTTGTATTTCACTGGCAACTACATATTTAATGAAACCAAATCAATACATCTCAACTAAAAGCCAATTTCAGAAGCAGTGAATAACCTAGGATTCGTGTTCATGGACAATATTGAATGTTATTTACAAAAGTGGCATTCCAAATTCTGCATTGGTTATTCAGTTATCATTTAGTGCACTTCATTTTTTAAAAGAAATATGGCATGCTTGCAAATACGAGCACACACGCATGCACACACTCACATGCATGCATGCAGATACAAGCTCATAAGTGCAAATGCAAACTAAACCATGACCTATCAAAATATTTAGATGAATATCTTTATACTCTTTATAATGTATGTATGAGTGTAGACAGACATTTTCATGAAAAGGGGGGGGGGGAGTTGAAGCAATAAGAGAAATGTTTCTCATAATACACAGTGCTGCAATGGAAGCTAAAAGAAACCCACCTTTCATGCAGTATGTTCCATCAGGGTTTTGTGATAGTGTGATTATATCATATACAGATCTTGCACAGTCTAACTTGGGGGAGTTGGGTGTCTTGAAGCCAACAAAGCCATACTGCCCCTTCAACACAAGAATTGGCCTGTTGACCAATGTCAGCATGAACTTTTCCTTATCCGTCACAGTATCGCTGACGGCGTACAAGCTTCCATTCATCCTGGCAGTTACATAGGAGTTATTGCTGGCCTTGAGGGAAACAAAACCATTGCTGTGCCATTCTAGGTCAAAATACACTTTTGGTGACCTGAAAAGTTAAAGTTTTAAAAATTATTACAAGCGAGTTTAATTAAGGTGACAGCACATAAGTGACAAGTCTGTTATAAGTGACAGTGTAAGGTAGCAAAGAAGCTGGACAAATAGTAAGAAAATTAATGGAACAAAATGTGGAATTGTACTATTTAATTTAGGTTATAAATGCACAAAACCATCTATGTAAATGCCTTTTTAAACATTAAATTACAGCAAGATATCTACTCAGACAACTGATATTATAAAGCTTTCATAAAAAAATATGGCTGCCCCCTGCCCCAAAAAAGACATCGCAAGATCAACTAGGCCTTGAAAATATTTTCTCTGAAAATAATTTATAGATGCTTTTTGGTTGTTACAAAGCATGAACATGTACACATCATTTCAGTTTGATTTCCTGTTGAATTATTTTTATGAATTATTTGCAGTTGAGTGCATGCCTAATAACCAATAATAAATGAAAAAAAATTTGTTAAAACTATTTCTAAGAAAAGCACAGTGAGTCATTCCTGAAGCAGTGACACCTGGCAATTGCTGTATGTCTACTAATGTGAACTGTGTAATACTTAACGAAGTCAAACTCTGTATATATACGTTCTTACAGCATTTTTAAGTATAAACCTTATACATTCATATGTTTTAACCAAAATAAATCATTATTTTAATCCTAAGTGAAAACGTTGCATGCAAAGGTGAGCCTAATATCCAATATGTCTGTGGTGTGGTGTGTCATCTGTCTGGTCATCTGGACTAGATGTTGGTCAGAAATCCAGCTGTTCGGCCTGATGAATTTATAGATACCAGGCTACTGTGTGGTCTTTACATAAGCATGAAAAAATGAAATGACTGCCTTTTTAAATGTCAGGAATTGGAATTATTTTCTGATGGAGAATGAGTAGATAATGACTTTTTCCATTCATCATACTGTGATGGGTATTAACATGTGTCTCTCTCTTTCACCTCTTTAATGTAATAGACTTTTTTGTGATGATTTCAACATTCTGTTCAGCCAGAGAATATCTATTGAAATAAATCGCTTTTAGCTGGTGAGTCATCATTTACCTAAGTCTGTGAAAATGAGAACAATGTGCTATTGTATGTGCTACTTTTATAAAAATTATAAAAATTCTCCATGTCGCTTTTTATACTAAAGTAAATTGCTGTGCTTAGCTAATATGGCAATAAAAACACTCACATGTTGTCACATGCTTTTGCCTAATTTGCCCTAGTTAGTGAAAAAATGACATTTATAGTGCACAGACAGAGATGTCACCTACCACCAGTGTCTACCAAAGCACCAGTCCAAGCTACATGATAGAAAAATAGAGATGACAGATGGAGAAAGAATACAGAAAAGTAGAAAGTAACAACATGTTTCATATAAATCCATACCTTAGCACTCAAAACCTGTTCTTTTGCTTTTGCCTATGACCCTACAGCAAAACAGTACAAACACCTTTTCTTAGGTGTAAAAGGGCAGATTATGTTGCCAACAACTATGATTCAGCTTATGGGCTTGTTATGCTCGTACAGAAAAAGTTTGTGGTCCCAGTTCTCCAATATGGCTGTATTTTCAAATTATCCTCTATTAACCACTGCACCTTACAACTGCAAGGTCTTGTAAAAATGGCCTTCTAATATTTTGTTTACTTGTCTCCTGTTCAACAAACTTAAATTTTAAGCTTCTTGACTCCACTTCATCCCTCAACCTTAAAATTACTTTTAAAAAAGCACAAAATGAGTGAAATTTTGTAAACAAAATAATAAATAAATAAATAATCAACCAGTGTTTTTCAATTGAGTACCACCCTATTTACTGAAGGTCCCATCCTTACAGCTTAAATTTCTCTCATCATCTTTGTGTCATCTTTCGCAGAAGAAAAAAGATCTCAGACTGTCCTTTTCAAATGACTTCGAACCACTGTTCAAAGCTGTTAAGTTAAGTTTTAATTTCATAAAAGATCTTTGATATCACCGAAAAGGGAAAAGAAACTTAACCATCAAGAGACCTTGTTGATCAGAAGGTATAATTATTATTTTTTAATATTGTCGTCACACGTTTTCTCATCGATGCAAATTGTAATCCGATTATCACAGAACCGACAGTGACGCTTCCTGAGCACGTTCCCATCACCAATCAATGTCCTCAGCGTCAAAACACTTGTTTTTTATTCAAAATAAGTTATCTGTGGTGACCATCTGATGACCATCTGACAGCAAGCATCTATCCATCATCAAAAAACGGGAGAGTTTGGATGTTCTGAGAAGAATGACGGGAGAAAGCAGGTTTTGGTTTCTCTCATCGGATTTATAGGGCTTTACAAATGGCACACATAAACGAATACTGATACTTACGTGTCCTTGGCGGCGCCCTGAATTCCATTAGCGTTGCCAATTGTCCAGAATTTATTATCAACTGTGCGGAACCTGCAACACTTTGTCTTTTTATCGAATTCAATCTGGAATGATTCCTTGTCAGTAACATCGTCTTGGTTCGCAGTCAGGTCAACACCTGTAAAGATTACAATAACTCTGATGTGTTTTTTTTTCTTGTAGTTCAGGCTTTTATTATGGCATGTATTTCACATTTGCTCGTGAACTTCAAAATAATACGCTCTGTATATGATATGATATGACAGGCGTTTAAAAAAACAAAAGAGAAAATAATTTGAGAACCACGTGTCAAGTAGATCACCTGCACAAATTGAATAAGACTGGACTCACACATATCACCCTGTCTTATCTTTCTTTTAAGATTAAAATGAATCTCCATAAAATATGTGTAAAATAGGGGGGAAAAGTATTTTATTTGTGGGGTTATAGCAACCGAAACCTTCCCCAGTTTTCTTCACTACCGAAGTTCTCACGGCCTCAGGTAGGCGTATAAATTTTATCAGATTTAAGCCCTATATACAAGCGGATTAGAGGTAAAATTAGGCCCCTAACACTCAACCCATGACAGTCCTGGTGCCTTTTTGTTAGTACCACTTCTTAATAGAAAAAAAAATTAAGATGAATAACCGGACCTGTACAATTGTTTTAGGAAATTGATGGCGGACATGTTAAATTGCCCGGTGACAACAATCTACTTAAAATTCTGATCTGACAACAAGGACCAGACATGTATGACAGAGAAGATTCGCAGGTTGTCATCGAGAAAGACTCCAAGCAAAGAGATACATGTAACTGGTTAAATCACTGCTCTTGTTCTGTAACCTCATTTTATTAAATGAACAATTAGTACAATGTCGATGGATGAGCTCATATACGTAAAGATTTCTTGTCTATGGTGACCTAATACCCATCAGGCATCAGATGGGCCGTCCTAAGTTAGACTGACCCATTTCAAATGGAAACGGCTCTTACAACTCTTACTGCGCACGAAAGTCTTTACGTTTTAAAAAAGGAGGGTCCCGTCGACAAATTCAACACCATCGATACACGCAGGTTCCACATTCAGTGCCGTGCTATGTGCATGTTATCGGGTTTCCTTCCTCCCCAGGGACATTCCAATCGTGTTCACTCCAATAACGCGACACGTACGCTAGACGTAGTTAGCATATTCCGCTGTAACATTATATATCAAAGAGGCGCTGGACGGCCAGTGTCAAATATGGCACAAAATGCTATTTGACAAAAACGTCTTTGATGTCTTCTCTCTTAATCTTTGATAAAAGTGTCTGATTTTTTAAATAATCAAATAATCTTTCAAAAAACAAGACGTTTGGGAAAAGGATGGGCGGAAACGTCGAAAGCTGTTATATTGCGCCTCTGATATATTTGAATTCATGGTATCAAGAAAGATATGGTGGATGGGACAAAGTTTTATGTCTCACGAAAACAAGCAGAATTTTATCTTGTGCATTTGTTCCAGTGTTTATGAGCGTAATCTATTTATTCAAGGCCAGAAAGACACAGAGTCGCACTGATACTTAAGAAAGAATTAACGTCAACACGCCAGTTACACATTCGCTACCTGTCGCCTTAGCAACTGAGGATTCTGCAATATGTGAGGCATCTTTCTTGTAAAATACCCTGGCTAGCATGGGGCCGGGGTACAGAGAGTAGTGCGGTCGATATTGCAGCGTTATTAGGCTTAGATTTGTGTATCAAATTTCGACGACTATGAAAGCCTTTGTTGGACTGGTCCAAACATGTCAAAAGAGGGATGGACCGTATACCAGAGAACCATCGAATAAGATCGTACTTTACAGGTGTAAAGGAAATGTGCGTGATTAATGGATTTTGGGAATAACACGTTTCTTACTCAGTTCCTTGGCAGATGGTCCGCAAGCTGCGTCCGCCACAGAATTGACCTAAACGATGTAAAGCTGCGTAAAACAATTTAACATTTCCAAGTAACGTTATGTACGTATGTTGTCTCTGTCCTGGATTGTAGGCCAGCTAGCATCCACCCCACCCCACCCCCACCCCCTTTCGTCCAATGTTTTTTTTTTTTTCTTCTTCTTCTTCTTCTTTTTGGCCACAGGTTTAACCCTGTATAATGTGCAGGTTTGGAGCTGAGGTTATTTTGCATTTAAAGAACACGCCTATAGGTGAACATAGACCAGGAAAGGACAAAAAGGCGACATGCATGCTTATGAAGCCAATAGAAAAGTGTAAACTTTGTCGAACTGGTCCCCACGACACAGGTTATTAGATAACTATACCAGACGATGCAGAACAATGATGGACATAATATATATAATAAACAATTTGAAGGTCCTATCTGACATAGGGCTAACCGTCTCCCATATCGCCGCGGTACTTAGGGTTCACGACCGATCGCGATGGCAGCAACAAGCAATCTAGGGATCGCCAGTATATCACTCCCCACACACGCACTGTTTAAACCTATCTTGCATTTCAATCAGGCCTGCCTTTACTTTTTACGAGTCGGTGGTCAATAAAATATTAGAGTTATCCTCTTTGAGACATCTCGAACTGCACCTGTGCGTAGCAGACAAACCACACACGCTCTGTTAACCTATTATGTGAATCATTTCCTTTCGTTTGTCTCTCATCGTTACATTTCATTAACTCGAGCTTCTTTGTCGGGATCAATATATTGTTTTACTGTTCGGCGTACAATAAAATGCGAATCAGTTTTGATAGCCTTATCAGATTATAATTGATTAATACGACCCATGTGTAATATATACCAATAGCAGTGGCATTGTACCCCTATATTGATTGTTAATTAAATGCTATCAACGGAAATTTTGCACGATCAGATAGATTAGAATTTAGATGCCACAATGAAACCAGTTTTTACACACAGGTATTAGTTTGGGATGTCCTCCAACGTCCAAGAGTGTTCGCGAGAGGTGTTCAAGACATGATATATCGCGAGAGGGTGGCCGTGTGTTATTTGGCATACATATACGAGAGAAAGTACTGGCATGTTACCGAAAAAACACGCCTAAACCCCAATAAATCGTATATTGCCACGGTCAGACATCTCTCGCTTTGAGTACGAAATACATATTACAAAAAGACTGGTTTATGCGACGCTGTCACAGGAGTCTATCCCTAGCCATGGAATAGACTGCCAACTTCTCTCTAATATAAGCCTTCCCACTGAAAGCTACTATCTGATGTGCAATTGATATTATATTATGTCAGGAATGAACTCAGAAGAGGTCATCATCGAATGTAACAATTAAGTGGCTGCTAACACATCATGCAAACACTTGAATATAAGAGTGTGAGCCCAGGTGAATGCCCCTGGAAACCCCGCCGTTCATTGTTACTCAAGCTCCTCTGGTGCTCGATTTATTATACGGCCGATTATATAAGCTTCGGGGAGAAAAGTGACTGTGTTTCGCATAATTATCTAATAACGCCAGGTGTAAGACAAGCCGGTCCTGTTATCAGCTAAATCAATCTCATGTTACAGTTAATTTGAGTGGTTCGTGATTAGAGAGGAAAACAAGACACCGTTATATTACAGGACGCGCTTTACACTCCGCCACGCCCACCTGCCATCAAGTTATATTATTCATAGACTTGTTTCTTCCGTGGTTTTACCCTCAAGATGTGTGTTTATATCTGCACTGATGCTACTTATATAATCGTTTATTGTGCCGAGCAGTCAATGACTCATTATATATGATCTTCGTCTTTTAATTCGAAATGTCGCCAACCACACTGCCTGACAAGCATAGTGATTGCTGGAATAGGATCTCTGTGTTTTTTCACCATTATCTTTAAACGTTCTTTTAATGCAAAATTTATTCTCGTTACATTCTGTCTCAAACAACGTTGCCCATCGTGAAAATCGAGCGGTCAACAGTATACGCTTTTATCGATCTTAAGAGGAATCATTGTATGTACGTCTGTGGGTTTAACCCTTTGCAACCTACCTTGTTTTATGGAGACAAATCTTCCATTATGTCCGGTCAGGGTGACCTGGGGGTGGCTGTCTTGAAGCAAGTACAGTTCGTCTTTGGAAATGGTTTTATTGCGTGCTTTCATGGTGGCAAACGACCCCACATTTGTAAGATACCGCCCCGTTGAATCTTTGAAGGCAATGCCCGAGTGCTGCCCAGACTTCATCTCCAGGGTGTAAAGGGTGTCAGCGCTGAGTTCTCCAACCAAGCGTCCCTCTCGGTGCAAATAGCGGTTGTCGCAGGTTTTCACGGCGTACCGATTGTCGCGGAACTCGATGGTGATGAGCGCGTCCTGGCCCCAAGGAATCACTTCATCGCAATGGATCTCCTCGGCCTCGGCGTTAAGCCGGGCATAGCGGTTGCGATTGACGTTCATAAGGTTGACCTGCGGGTGGATTGCGAGGTGGACTGTCCACCATTCTTTGTCCGTGGGAGATTTCTCGTAACAACGGAGCTGATCTTCCGAGCCACCGAAATAATAGCCGTGTTTTGCGTTTTTGAAAGCCCAGCACCCAGACCCATCCTGTGCGTATTCGATAATAAATTGTTCGTCTTCCCCAGGTTCTTCAGATTCCCCTTTCACATTGCCATTTTTGTCACCGGACAGGTATCTTCCCAGATGACTTCGTATGTATACTACATCTGCTCTCTTGTCTTGCTCGATGGTCCACACCTGTTTTTTCTTTAAACTCGTCCCAGAGGCGTTTATTTTACATCCAAAACTCTCAGCCGTCAGATATTTTTTGTCTCTGTTTAATAAACCAACCTTCATATTCATGGTATCGTGTCCACTTACTCCGTTCATCGCCATTCTTGGTATATTATAGCACTGTCACAGATACTGACTGTCTCTTGAGCACGATTTTTTATCACTACCCGTTCTGTGTGCAGATGACTTAAACAACTAGCATCGGTCTGAGATAACAAAGCTTCTGTAGCTTTAAGGAAATTCAGCCTATCAGAGGGCAGCGTTTTGACAATCGGTCCCACGTGGTGGAGAAGAGCGATATGTGCGTGTACTGCTTGGTTATATTCAACTGCTTGAAGTCCGAAGAGTAGATGTCTTATTTATAGGAAAATTAATGCATGACTGCTCATTATGCCTTTGTCATTGCAGCACGGTTCATACACTGTATTCTGTTATACACACAATCAACAAGGACGCGATAATAATATTGAACCGTCAGTTATTATGACTAAAGCTTCAATGAGTAATGCTCCATATATATCCGAGCATGTGCATTACACAAAGGGGGCGTGACGTTTCACAAGCCGGACTGAGGGGTTACTAACCGTGGATCGGCTTTTAGGGTTTTAAATATTTCCAAATTTGGAAAGGTCTGCTTTTCGTCTTTTAAATAATCTCCAGGATATAACAACTAGGATATGATACAGTGATCTTAAAATAGAACAACAATTGGCAAAATTGTTAATGTTACGTAGGGTACACGCACCGTTTACCGATTTGCTTTGTTAATGACACAACGTCCAAGCGTCACACCTTTCCATAGTTTTTCGAATGACGGACTGAGGAGGGGGAGCAGTAGGGGGGTGTGAAGAATCAGAAAAGATACTTCAACGGAATACACAGATTTTTCTGTGTGTCAGTAAGCGATTTCTCATTTTAAAAAATGCTTGTATATAGTTGGCTCTGTTATCAGGGTTAAAACGATGGCATCTGCTTCTTTTTTATTTATGAATTCGTAAAAGTACACGTAATGGAGCCGGGCGGTCATTTATCTACATATCGTCACGCTAAACGCACCGTCCGATATCCGTCTATCTGACCAACGTGAATTGACCCCAGCAGTGTTAACCGCATTCTGAAATACCCCTGTGGGTATAAAAACCTAATTAAACATGCAAACGTGCAATTCGATCGACCCGTATTTGATATCATCAGGAATCATATGAAGAAGAAGTAAGGCAACATTTGACGTAGAATCAATATAAGACTTAACTGAGTTTATCAGTTGCCCTTGGTTACAGAATAAATTTTTGGGTTTAATCTATAGAACTCTATATAGCATCGTATGGAAAATTTCAGGGCAAGCTCCACTGGGTCCGCTCTTCCAATGTAAGTCAACTCAATAATTTGTTCAAAAGCTAAATGATAGTGTCTAAAGTACGTAAATCTACAGTGGTAAGCCGCTAGTACGGGCATAAATTTGGTAGACGTCATCTGACAAACCCGTCTGAAGCACATGATTTGCAAACATTCGTTGTTAATAAAAGTAATCATTTCCAATGCAGTCCAAGATGAAATAGTGAATTAAATTGACAATTTAAATTTAAATTTAAAAGAAGCAGTGTCGATCTCTGAACATATTGTATTAGTTGCGATTGTGTCGGAAAAGTATATTGTGTCTTGTTTCTTTGAAAAATCTGGAAAATCACATTTTAACTATGCCTGAGCAGGTAGACATCGCGACGTGGTATCAAGGGGTGGGTTTCATTCACAAAATACTTTAACCCGATATTGGTCCTGTTAGACCAAAACAACAGTTTACTTTAACTGAAATAAAAAGTAGGAGTAATAGGGGCCTATATTGCACCTGTTTAATTTTTAAAATGCCTTTTGTTTCAGACCTAATATGAATTAATTGGAACTGAAGTAGATCAAATGTTCTTCTAAAAGTTAGGACCGATTTTCGGACAAGAGTTCTTTGATAAAAATGATCCCTGAACTTACCTGTATTAACATTAGGGCCGGCAGAGATGGAATAATATTGGGAATGTAGGCCTATAGGGGGGGCTACTCGGAAACGGTGGTATACACTCCTTGGATTTTATTTGCATGTAGGTCAGCAGTTTCGAATTTGTGAATTAACATATTTTGGAGGCATTTCACGTTGTAACGTGCTTTATGCATCAAATGTGTCCGACCCCCTTTAGCAAAAGTCAAAATACCTAGGTCTACCAATGCGAAGATAGTAGGCCTAATTATATTTCTTCACAGACCGCTAGCTGTCTCTCTTCGCAGAAGCATACCATACATATAATTAGTTATCAATGTTTTGGTCTATTTTGATACAACTGAATATGTTTTAAACTTATTATTTGTGCACGTGTTTCATACGTAGGCCTACGTACGTGTCGGCTGAGGTTGGCCTACCGATCTATCACGCCCCCTCCCACCCTGGCAACCCCGCAGGATGCGTTAGGTGTGCGCTAATATGTATGAAGCAGGGTTACACATTTTCATTTTCCCATTTGAAATGTGATAATTTCTCTCGGTTGTATTGTATATAATTTTTTCGCACAAAAACGGTTTCTTTTGGGTCACTTAGGCCTATGCTTCCTCCGAAACGTAAACTACAGTTCACTTTCGCTGCGGTATGCAAGAGGAACCCAACTTAATTGGTATCTGATTTATAAAAAGTGCAAATTTCTTGGTAGAACATTACATAAATCCTTTGTAAAAATATTAAATGTGAATAACTTTGCTATTACCAATATTCATACTTTTATTATCGGTTTTTGTGAATGTACCACTTTTTACTTGAGCACGTGGTTTCTGTTTTGAATGTTGCATTGTGGGTATGATATGGCGACAACATCGCCTTCCAGAACAGATTAACCCTGATCGTAAGTTTCCCAGCCTCGATGCTCGTGAGTTTGTAAATATCCGTAATGTATCGCTCAAAAAATCAATGGAGGAGGTCAAGGGACGGCAGTAGTGACGATGACAACCTGCCAAAATCTAAATATGACAATCAGACATCAGAACAACGCGAAGAAGAGTTGAAGAAAGTTCATTCGGGTCTGGTACAGCGCCGACTTTTCGACACAGAAAAATGCGAAGAAATTGAAAAAAAGATTGAGGAAGTGAAAATGGCCGCAGAGAAAGGGGTCTACAAGTTGCATACAGTCGATAGGTCTCCGCTGAGAAACAAATACTTCTTCGGTGAAGGTTACACGTATGGTTCGCAGCTTGAAAAGAAAGGCCCGGGAATGGAGAGATTGTATCCCAAAGGACCCGAAGGTGTGGACGACATTCCGCAGTGGGTTTATGATTTAGTGGTCAAGCCCATAGAGGAGGCCAAGCTGATCCCTAAAGGATGGGTGAACAGTGCTGTGATCAATGACTATCTCCCTGGAGGCTGTATTGTCTCCCACATTGATCCCCCTCATATCTTTGACCGCCCCATCGTCACGGTGTCCTTCTTCAGTGACTGTGCGCTCAGCTTTGGTTGCAAGTTTCAGTTCAAACCCATCCGTGTGTCGAAGCCAGTGCTGGTATTGCCTGTCAACAGGGGATGTGTTACATTGATGAGGTAATAAGAGTGAAGAGATGAAGTCATGAATTCATTCAGCATGGAAGTGATTGATAATCAGTCATCCTGCACAAAACAGAGCAGTACAGTACACTGAACGAATTGACTCAGGATATGAGTAAACACGAAAAAAGGTTTCACAAGAAATTTATTACAATCTGTATGTGTAGTGATGTCTGCAACATTGCCAGGAAGAGCCACTAGTGTTTTGTAGCCACTATATGACAGACGACCTGACAGTAAACAAATTGTTACTGTTGTTACAGTTGGACACATGACATCAAGTACCTAATGCAATATATTTCACTTTATATCCGCTTACTTTCTTGTGAATGGCCATGTTTACTTGTGACTGGATTAATTTTTTTTTAGTGTATTGCACTGTATTGTCCATTTTAGTATGACCCATTAATAATGTATTGGACATCATTTCACTAAAATTCAGCTACTGAGTATGTGAGGAGCCCTTGTAAGAGTAAACATTTTTAATCAGCAACAAAAACAATAATTACTGTATGATATTGTTTGAAATATTTTTTACTACCCTGCCGTATTGTTGTCCTGGCATACTTAAATCTGTCATGCTTGTTTAAACTGGTAATGGGGATGCTGTTGGATAATGTTTTTTACCTTAGTAGTGATATATACATAAATCAACCAGTCCAAATTGCAGCAGTAGTCAGCCTGAGTGAAAAAATTTGAGCCAGGTTTACTGCTGAAAACTGACTACCTTGAGCAACTAAGTAAAATTTCAAAAATGAAATTATATTTCTTACCCTTTGATTATTTTGTCATTCTAAAACACATGCATATATACACATATTCTCTTATTTATATCTATAGAATAAGGCACTTCCAGTTAGTTTCTTGTATCCTTTGTATTTTATATTCTAGTGGGTATGCAGCAGATGATATAACACACTGTATCAGACCTCAAGATGTGAAGAAAAGACGAGCTGTAGTCATTTTGAGAAGGTAATTATCCTGCAGCTGATTGCACATATACTACCCAGACAGTAATGATATAAAATACTTAGCTTAATGCCTTTTTAAACGTCGGTATGGATTAAGAAATGAGTATTGTTTTGCTTAATTAAAATCCAGGTGTTTCATAAACTTTGGTAGAAATATATTCATCAGTTTCAAGTTTTCAGTTGGAACTTCTTTTTCTGTATCAGATGTATAACAACTGTAGGCTGTTATTTAACAAAATAGGAAGCATTATTTGTTTTTATTAATCATCAATCAAATCTCCAAAATGAATATTTTTGAGAAAAAATTCATGGTTTGAATGTTATTTTTCCCTAGGTTTTTATGAAGATTCTCTTAATAGTAAAATGGAAAAAAAGACAGTTATTTGAAAAAATAAAGTACCAGTAAAACTTTTATTAATGGTTACAACTTTTATAATCTTTGTTGGACTCTGCATTTGATCAGTTATTTTTTCCAACTATAAATACAAAGGAAGAATAATTTGAACACTGTAATGGAGTTATTCAGTTTTGGAAGATTAAGTTTTTGCCTTTTAGAGTGTTTGAAGATGCCCCAAGAATTGCCCCAACAGTCCCCCCTCTCCCGGCTCTGATAGCAAGGTACAAGGCACAGCAGAACGGTGGTAAACGTTCTCACAGCAGCAGCAGTAGCAGCAGCAGTGACGACAGCAATGCCAGTGACAGCGCGAGTCCATCACCTAAGAAGCAAAAGAACCACAACCATCATCACCATCACCACAAGCATAAACGCCACAAGCGGAGCAAGTCTGGTCACAGGCATCATCGCAGGTCCAGTGAGCACTCATCCTCTTCAACCCGCCATGTTAGAAGGCATAAAGCAAGTGATGACTCCGACGCTTCAGATCACAGAAGTCACAGGTCACATGGCAGTAATGGAAGAAAACACAACAGTAAGAAGGAGGTGAGGATGAAGAGGGTGTCCTGATTACCTGTAATTTTATTTTCCTCAACTTTTTTGTTAAATGTCAAAATGAATGATGAATGAAGCCATCACTTTCTTGATTAGATGACTGAATTTGGCATTTAAAAAATAAAGAACACTTGTGTATTTACAGTTGGTGCTTCAGTTGTAAATGTCCAAAATCCATTAACCAAGAAAGAACCAACCTGCAATGTTTGTAGAATTTATTTTATGCCTTGGCATGACCAAAAACTTTAAACATGGTGAATGCACTTAGCATATTATTATATAGATTTAGCTTTACATAGTATGTGTTCTATCCTTTTGTTACAGAAATCTTATTTTATCTTAAAAGGTATATATTTCAGTTTGCACACCAGTTGTCAAAATGTAGATTGATTTGATGTTCTGTTTTGCTATTTAAAATGTACAAGTCATTCTGGTGTATATGTAAAGAAAAAGAACCATATGTGTTGTGAGACAAAATGAAAATTTGAGAAAAGAAAAAAATGGCTGAATCCAGACACCATAAGTTTCAGAGTTCATAGGAAACTCTCCTTTAAGTAGCACAACAGGTGACATATCTAGCAGAATCTATCAAAATGATTGTTAAGATGTAACTTGTAACTTGTAAAAAGTGAAAGTTTACACACTCAAAAGAAAAGTTATTTGAACAAGATAAACTAGGATGAACTAAGATATATATAAATAGGAGTTGTTTATTGAGTTGTTTCAGATTTATATTGGAAGAAGCTGTGTTATTCTGCTTGACAATCTTCTATACCTAGTAGGATTTATTTTTCAAAAATACACAATACTGTTGTAAGTGACATAAAACATAGATATACCACAAGACATTACAGTTTTTGATTTTTGATTTTTGTTGTTAGACTTTGATTGTATGTAAATACATAAAATTGTCTTTGGATGGTTAAAACTTATCCTGCTCTTTGTATTGTTTTCTTGCGTAAACTACTCACATTGTAAGAGGTTTTAAATGGATGATGTTAATGATTCAGTGTACAAATTATAACTTGAATAAAGGTTCAATGATAATTTTGAAGTACATTTGTCAAAAAATATCCCTCAACCTTGACACGTTGTCTAAGTTACCTCTATGATTGTACAATAATGGAAATAATTTATAGCACATTATGCAACTCCAGCTTTGAGGAAAATGGAGATATTACATGGCACTTTTGTCAGTAAGTTAAAGGTATTATAATCAAGTTTTTTGTGTCCAATCTAATTTTCTTCAAGAAACGCTCATTTCTCCTTCTCACAAACCATTCCTCAACTGCAGACCTTAGAGACTTCGCAGACTTACTAGTAGCTGTTCCTGATCTCAAATCTCTGGTTTGCTGATTGTGAATGCTAAATAAACTACTCAAACTGCGATACCTTATAATTGTTGGTTGGGAGCACTGCAATCAAATCAGGAACCATTAATCCACTTAGTAATACCTACTTGTTTGCTACATTCCATAAGCGCTTTTAAATCTTCAAGCGACGTAACACACCTTCATATCATATACCCTGTATTTTTCTTTTAGTATTTTCTGCTGCTCAAAATAGGAAAAGAAACAATAATTATCTTACCATGCTGTTGGAAAATCCGCCACTACCTCGCACTCAGGTATCAGCTCCTGTGTACCTCCAGCAAAAAATGACCAGCCTACTCGACTTCCTACTTCTGGCACAATCAGAACGTCTGTAGCCCTCTATTGTTCATGCTCTTTTATGTGATGCTTGCAACCACAAATTTTAAGTTCGCGCCATAATATGGTGGTGATATCGCAGTTTGAGTTATTAATTTGGCTTTGGCAAACACTAATCCGAGGCTAAAGATCGCAAACGGCGATGTCCTGAACATGCTTTTGACCTGAAGTGGCATTTGGCAGAAAACAAATCTTACTAACAAAACAATATTTGCAAAGAAATCAAAAGGGGCAACTTCACTTGGATTGCGATGTGTCCCACGAACGATAGTGGATGTCCACCGAAATCTTGTCAAAATTGGTGGAAATTATCGCAGCCACTGATTCAACATTTAAAAAAATCAAATTGCGCTAGATGAGATGAAAGTGTCTGTTGCAGTGAGGAAGAAAAGAATTGTGTTTGGTGAGAAGCACTGCCAGATAAACACAATCACCTCCGTACCTGCGGAGTTTCTAGCACCCAAGCTGGTTCTAACGACGCATTTATAAAAAATATTCTTCATCTATTCATGAATGCAAAAGTAAATGATTAGATTTGTATTTGCAAAAAAAAAAAAGTAAACAAAAAATGGTTTGCTTTAAAAAGAGATCTTGTTCGAAATTGTTTCCAAATCTAAGTATCATTTTTAAAATATTTTGTTTAATACGTAGGCAACCAAAAACAAAGCATTTCATAAACAACATTTAAGTCATATCCAACAGGTGGGTTTATTATCAAATATAGTATCAACAATAATTCCAGTCTTACATAAAATTAATTTTGAATAATATACAATAAGAAGTCATCTTCAAATCAAGTCAAAATCTAACCAGTGATATGAACAGAGCATAGACCGGTGTAATTGTAAGATAAGAGCAAATCTTTTATTCATAAAACAAACAAATAACAACAACACAGAAAATATGTCCTAGAGGGTGCAGTGCCAAGTGTATAGCTCCTTTTTATGGGAGTTAAGAAGTATTCAGGAAGAACGGTGGCAGTGAAAACCAGCATCGCCCTAGTTTTTCCTTTGAATAGTTTCTAACCGTGTTAAATAAAGAAATTAGTGTAAACATCCGCGCATACACGCGTATCAGGGCGTCAGATTATTTTATGAGGTTCTGTAAGAGTGTATTTCGTCAGAAAATACAAATAAAACTTCCAAGGAAACTATACACCGAACACTTAACAGCGAAACTTCATTAAAGGTACAATACACGGACACATTATCCGTGGCTGGAAACAAATATTTTCCCCCACTTTGTTTTGGTTCTGGTTATTTTCAAATATTTCAATTAGTTGTAATGTGAACTTAGGTGAATTCGTTAGCAACGAAGAATACCTTTTTAATAAAGGCGCTATTTATAGTCTTTACAATATTAAAATATTTTACAACATAAGAGTAAAATGCATTTTTTGCGGGAGGTAGGCAATCATGTACCGTAAAATAGAAAAAAGTGAGATTTATGTGCAGACATACACACGAAAACAAGCTTAGTGGTGTTGCTATTTCACATTCCAGCCCTTCTGATTTAAACACACTTATTATATGTACTGAATGTAATTTTTCTGCTGTTCATAAACATCTTAATAATATCTTGTGTCATAACAGTTAGTTACTCGGTCTCGTATAAGGCTCTAATAAATAAGTATTTAAGTGAACATCTATATACAAGACAGTTTGACATGGTATCGTGCAGACAACGACGGGTTATACCGTAATTTTAGCATCCGAGATACGGAATCAGCCGAGTTATTCCGAAAGGCACGACATGCCACAATGCCACATCAACTATGCCAGATTTCGCATGATTTTTGAGACTATGCCAGATAGTCAGGGTGAGGTAGTTTATCCTTAATAATAATAATAATAATAAAGATTATGATGATAATGAGCAAGTTACTCTTAGAGAAATAATCCATGTAACCTGACTTTTCCCCTGCAAGAAATGTTCGAGTGAAGGTAATGCGACCAGGGTTCCAGAATAGAATTATCTACAGATGTGAGACATTAAACACTGTCCTATTCTTTTCCTCGGCAATTTGTAAAACCTTGCACCGGAAATGTATATTAGTTAACTTACATTCCTATTTTAGTAAAGTTAAATTTTTAGGACCAAAAAAGGGGCATAAACAGATCAAATACAGACGAACCGACGTGCAAGCTGCACGTATTCAATTCCCCCTTTTTTCAATGTATTGATAAACACACAATTTACGTTACTTTTTCGACAGGCAGTGATTTTTCTGTGTGGGACGCGGAGCAGATCTTACCAAGTTTACGGTCACATTTACCGTCCATTACTGATGTCTTGGACTGATAGGCACTTATAAGCACTTAAAACAAAAGACAAGGTGTCTAGACCGCACTTTCCTGACCACACAGTTCCTGAAAGTTTCAACCTTCCAGGGCACATTGCTCGGCCTTTCAAACTGCATATTGGCTGCCGATTTAAATATCCATCGAGAGGTAGACCTGCGCTCGAAATAATACCCGTCTTCGTTGCATATGATTACTTAAATGCTGACTTTGGCCGTGGTTTCTGCTATCTGCACGCACACGACTCCACTGACATTCCTGGGTAATTTTTTAGCACTACGTTTCGCTGCTCGTCGTAGTAAAGGAGCGTCACTGAGGACAGAGAGTTGGGCACGCAGCAAGGCGCCGGAACCTGGTTCTGGAGGCCTACAGCATGCACGATACTCTGAATAGCGGCATGGTTTGTCGGTCTTGTCCCCTGGAATTACAAGTAAAAATAATTGTAAATGAACGATTTCGATGATTTTGTATGATAAAAGCGCGGCGACGACTATTCTATGAAAAAAATTTATATTATTTTGAAAAAGAGAAGAACGTAAGAATTCGATTTATTGTGTTGGCGCTCGAACGGATATAGCATAAAGAGTTATTCGTAGCTTAAATAATATCAGGGTTGGTTGCCGCTTGTTCTTGAAATGGATTTTTCTTTTCTTCAATGGAAAATTGGCTTTAACACTGTCGTCTTCGAACTGAAAACTGTTTAAGAAAGAGGCAACTACATGAAACACAAATCAAGTTTATCGCGTTGGGTGAACATATCCCGGAAGCTGGATATAATGTTAATCAATACACGCCAAGAACATATTTATCCCCAGAATTGCACTAGTTTAACTTCATTTTATACAATGAATACACTATGAAAATGTATCCACCACGCCTTTAGTCAGGAAAGCATTCATCAGGTGGCGTGTGGGAGCAAACCTATCACAAATGCCTTGTAAGCGCCAGGTGTTCAACGAGATTTAAGAATAAGAAATGTGGGAAACACATACTGTACTTTGTTAAGGCAATGAAAATACTACGCACATGGCCATAAACGAGAAATGCATTTCTATTCGAGGTATTTTCTTCCCGTAACACTTTCAAGAAATAATAAGGATTTTTTTCCTTAGGAAAAGTAAACAATGCTTTTTCTGTCCATTCTGTTTTACTCACGAAAAAAATATTTTCCTGTTGGCAAGCATATCTAACAGCTTCCTCTAATAATATAAACATTTACAGAATTTAAAGAGAATCCTGTTATTTTTCACCATAATTCCTTTTCGAGCTTTTAAGGGGGATAATAAGGGGTATAAAACAGGGTTCTGTACATCGAGCCTGGTTTCGGCGAGATATCCATCCACCTGTTGCCAAGTATGCCATTTCAAAGGCTATTTTAAAAGGAGATGAATGTGGAAGATCTACAGTACATTACTTATCCATCTTTTTGGAGGAAGCAATTTGTCACGACTGCGATAACTCAAATTCATATTACCATATCTTACATATGGTTAACGGCAATACGATCTAACAGGAAAGCCATTGTCTTTCCTCGATGCAAAAATTTTTAAGGTCAGCGAAAAAAAATGAGTTAAAATTAATGGCATGAGTCGCTGAACATTCCAGGGGAGATCTAATACAAAGCATGTTCACCCGTATTAGTGTGCAGACATTTGGAAACCGACTAAAAGTGACACTCACATTTAGCAACAGGCCAACAATGAAAAACACGACAGATTGAAAGGGCTTGGTTTCATTTGTGATGGCTATCTAAGTGTTGTTTATTTGTGACGGTTGGCTGAATGGCCACGTCGGGTTCAGTACTGATACCACATTGTGGGCTGTCAACTTTCAACTTCGGGTGACACAAAACTGACGACAGGGGGTGCATTTTGCAGTTTGTGATTTCCAATGACATCCATTAAGATTGATTACCGCTATCAAATCCGCATCATTATGAAAAGAATGTGCGCATCCCGCCCCGTTGAAACTCTAGTCTCCCCATTCAATGAGGGCCATTTAGTTCAAAACGCGGGCCTCTTTACCAGCTTGTCTTTTCCATTAGTTGAGATTTCATGCTTATTGCCACACTAAATGAAAAGATGTTTTATTATGGCAGTACGGAAAAATACGTCTTCGGCACTGTCGCCGTTACGTTTAGTGAGAGAGAAAGAAAAAATTGCACAAATTATGCCTACCGTTCCTAATGGAAATACGCATTCCCCTGAGCAATAATGGGCGCCAAATGATTTTGGAGCAATAATCCACTGATCCCAGCCAATATCTGCAAAGTCTACAATTAACTTTCTACGTCCACAAGATCGACTTTGTTCCAAGTTGTCTTTAACGTCACTTTCGCTTGCTTTGTTCTCGTCCTGAGATATGCCGTCGTCTTTAGCACTCCACTTTCGCGGCAACAGACGTTGCTTTCTCTGTCTCTGTTTCTTCCGGTGCTTTTTTTGATTGCGTCTTTTGTTTTTGTACCATTCTGGTGATGGTAATAACTGAAGATGAGAGAGTTTTTGAAGTGTTTTAGTCCTTCTCTGGATCATGTTTGGATGCGATTCAGGAATACTGTTAATCCTGGGACTAGGGGTGCTTGGCTCCAGGTCAAGATGCTCAGGAATTTCATTGTCAAATATTGAACGCCGATTGCGTTCTGAGTAAAGTTTGTGATTTGTCACCTCCTCCTGGATGGCCTCGTTTTTATTTTTGTCTAAATATTTTAAGTCGTCTGGATGCAATCTAGTAGTGATGTGATCTAATGAAATATTCTGATTCTCGTTCGAAAATACCACCAAAAATGGTGCGTCGTGTTTATGGACGAACTTGTGCAATTTTATCGTCCTTTTTCGCCCATCGTACCTTGTGGTGGTGAACGTCACAGCCAGAAGATGAGGCTGCGGCCTTCGTGTTGCTAGGCAACTCCTGGTTGCCTCGGTTACATCATGGACCTGCCATCGCGCCCGACTCCGAGGAGGGATATCAATCTTTGCCATTTCGCTCATGTACTGTGGCGCCACCTCGTACACAACCATCTGAAGATCTGCCAAGTCCCTCAGTTTTTTCTTAAACATGTGAATATGGGCGCCGAAGACTCTCTCCGACGGTTTGACGGAACTGAGATTAAACATCAGCATTTTTTCTCCGTTCACCGTGCCTGTAGAAAAAAGAATAATAATAACTTTATAATTGCGAGGAATGATAAGCATTTGTTGATAGGCATGCCGTAAGTTAATGGTGGGGATTAACAATATTGACAGTTTCCTGGCTACTCATACATTATACTAATCCAAGCACTGAGTGGCATCATAATTCGTTTACAAGTGGAGTTCTAATTAAGCAAGTTAAGCACAATCTGCTTGTCGCCTACTTGACTGCGTCCGTTAAAGACGGGAGGGAGGGGAAGGAGGCTGAACACTACCGTGAAGATTTTAATTAATATCATTTACACCAATAGCAAAGGCCTTGTTACTGTGTTATCAACCTGTCGCATGCTTCGAAGCTTGGTTTCACCACATAGTATAATTAATTTTCCGTATTACATTCGGCATAATTCAGGTCATTTAGGGGTCGTGAGGAATGTAAATGACACTTAAAGAGAAGCATGTAGACGGCGTTTTCTCGGCTGCCCACATATCAAAAGACGAGGGTAAGAGATTAAAAGGTAACGCCCCATCTCAAACACGCGTGCCACAACTTCATTTGTTGATCTTTGTTATTTGACGTCTCCTTATAATGAATGGCAGTATTTCACCCAGAGGTGACAATACCATTCAGGTGTCAAAAGGGCCTCTTTGTTCCGGTAGCATTTATTTGGATGTCCCTATTTTAATCTGTTGTAAACTGCTTTCTTAATCAGGAACTTTGTAAAAACGGTACTTTGTAGAAACGGCACTTTAAGGTCCAATACTGTTATAAGTAGAATGTGGATATAAATATTAAACAAGTTTAAGTCTTGCCAGATCAACGTAATACAGTCCTTCGACTCTTTACAATGACATGCATAAATTTGGAACATATGGTCTTCAAGTGGATGTTGTTTAGTGGGAAGTCAAACGATAAGAGTAGTAAAAAGTGGGCAGCGGAGAGCAACAGAGGCTAAGTGCCCGCCATGTTGTGGTTCTTATGCCTATTAAGTGGCCATCAATCCCCGTTTCTGTTTTATGTTTTGAGATCTGTTTACGCGGAAGAGTAAACACTAGAATTTCTCTCCATGCTGCAAACCACTTCCAAGAGAATACTCTGTGCTCAATCACCTACGTATGTTTATATATATATATCGATCCCTGAACAGCGAATCAAAGCGACCCGTAAAATCGAAGATCGGCATGCCGCGACGGCCGTGCGCCCTTTCCCAAAAGCGTTTTGGATAAATGCGATAGCATTCTTAGGATGGTGGGGAGACTTAGGTAAATTAACCACTCCCATTTATTCCGCTGTTCCCTCCCTCCCTCCATGAGGAATCAACGTTCATAACTTTTTCAGTCTAGTTGGGGATTGCTCATATTCTTTTTCACCGATGGCACCAGGCTGGCATTGAAATTCAAGAAATCAATTCTATTATTACGCTAAATGGACATGGCAGTAAAACCTTAATTTGATAGTTTTGGGATTAGACTTGAAATTACGGTGATTATTTCAGTTATCAACGTCATTATCATGTGATTAGGAAGTCTAACTGCTTCTAAGTATGGGAACGCGAAAAATTATCCCAACATTATATTTGGCAACTGGTATCTTCAAAGTTTTGTCTTGTACTGCCTCCGGCAGTCCTTCCTACCCTTCGTGATTCGGTTTTGGTAATACCTTAACTTCAGACTTTGAAGAAAAAAAAACTGGGCCGAGAAGTTTGTCGTTCAAGGAATGTCCGCTATCAGAAGGGTAGATCGTTGCTTTATCAGGCTGAGTTTTATCAGGCGCACCAGGTGGTTGAGGAAATGATGTATGCCTCTTGAAGAAATAGCGCGAACGCCAAAGGTTACAGTAACATATAAGATTATTGTATAACACCTTTAAAATATGGCATTCTGTGGAATCATTCCTGGCAGTCAAGCCGCATAACATGCTCATACATACAAGGTAGTATAACAGAGAAAAGGTTAAACAACAACGCAGCTAAACAACAAGAAGAGAGAAAAAAAACGCTATCGGCCTTGGTTCACGTACTCACCAATTTCTGGATGAAGACACCTTACAGTGTTCCCTCTCTGCTTTCCCCTCCGAACTCGTCCATATTTAAACTGCTCATATAGATCTAACATAAACTTGGGTGGTTCGTCTTTTCCCTTAGGCTCCGGTAATAACTGCTTGTCCTTTGTAAAGTCTTTAAAATCCAACAAATGTTGAACAGCTTTATGCAGTAGAATGTTTCTTCTGTCCATCCACTGGTGATCCGCGTAAATCCGGTGAACAGAAAAGAAAACCGCGAATAGAATCACAACACTCTGTAGAGGTTGAACTGTCAAAAAAGGCATGTGCATCTTCGGTCTCTGTGTTAAATAAACTGATGTGGTTACATCCAATGTAAAACTGACACCAAGCGTGCACACCACGGTTTTCCTGGCCAACGAAAAGTTGAGAGCAATCTTCCGCGTGTGCGTCGCATTTCAGTTCGTCGGTCGGTCAGTCAGTCAGTCGCTGTCACTGCCGTTGTTGGGAGCGTATGGTAAGTTCCCCGTGGCTTGTCGCCAGTGATTTACAACCACCCCCGTGTCATTGACTTCATTGCTTTCGGTCACGATAACTGCGACAGCAACGCGAGTGAGCGAGTTACGTTGAAAGCGTCCCTGACGGCGTTCTCGGATAAAACGTGCGCGTACTACTATAATACCCCCTTCTTCAATAAAACTCACTGGCTGTGTATGCCTGTATTCCCAGAGAGAGGGGGATTCTGATTCTTTGCGCGTGTGCGTTCCTTGAGATGACTTGGTTATGAATGGGGTTTGCTTACGTTTCAAGGACCACTTATAAGAGCTAGCCAATCATATGGGCTGTCTCCAGTGGGGCCTGCTATGCTTCAGATCCCACTTTGTAGCGGCTGAGCAAACTGGCTCCGAGAGTCTGCCGCGATGAAGATATTACGTGTAATCAATCCCAGCCAACGGAGCCGTCCCCATTGTCTATGAAATAAACGCCCCGGAGCGACACAAGGAGTATGCCGCCATCCACACCCCCGTTTAATACGACGGCTTCTGATGAGGAAGACTAATTATAAAACACGCGCTTTATAGGAAACAATTAAATGCAACATGAAAAACATAAAAACAGGGCAAGTATGGAAATTAAAACGCGTAACGATAAATGCAAATTCCGTTAGCAAGATATGAGACTGATAAGGCGGTGTTTCCGCAAGGCCAGGTCGTTTCATTACAGCACAAGCGCTACGGTGCACTGACATGTCAACTACACCCAAGGGTGTGACAAGCTTCTACTCACCTGAAACGAAATTGTCACACCTTTCGTCGCGGTGACCGGTGTCCACATCGCACTCACACGGATACATACACGATGGCAATGTGATGAGGAGACTGATGTCTTGTTCGGACACCCTAAACATTTGATCGTCGCTTGTATCTTTACTCTTTATAAGTCTGCATCACATTCTTCTTAACACCGTAACAAGATACATGTATATAAAGTTCTAAAAATATACGGAGAAAAAATAAATTTATCAGATTGAACTAAAAAGGTGGTTGTGCCAAGATACTGATACCAGCTTGATAATTTAAGAACGTGAAAAAGAAAGAATTCCACTTGTCGACAATAAAACATTTTTCTTCGGGTTTGTATTTTTATATGAAAACAAATCCATGTATCGTTATAACGGGGCGTCTAGCGGAAATATTTAAGGTCAAAATTCCTATCCACTTGTGCGATAAGAATTATCCGCGCCGATTTCCTAAAAGAGGACAATGCCAAGTTATAAAACCATCCATAAAAAATTTAGATTTTAAAATCCTTCGAGTCAACGTTAATTCGAATTACTTTCCTTCCAGTAAAACGTCATGTCATGTCTTGGCTGATATGTTTACGAACTTGTGCGTGTGCGTTGGTTTGGAATCAAGTGTCACCCAAACATTTTTCCCTTTCTTTGTCCGCCATTTAATCTACAATTCCTGTCAAAGTTCAGGCCCGGCATTGAGACTGAACCCCGCAGTATACTTGTTAGAGAAAAACTGGTAAATATCTCATCGTTTGTTTATGTCGTAATTAGAAACAGTTAGAGAAATCTAAAGATAACGGGGTCAGTGCCTAGTAATTAAGAAATGATTGACAAATTTCAAAGAGGGGACAGGGAACATCAAAGAAACATTAAAAGCTAAGTTATCTTTATATATTTGACTTGTGCTTTTTTCTAACCGTTCCTTCTTTACGGGTGGTCCGCCCTTAACTGAGAGCCCGATCTTGTTCAGGTATTGCTCTAAAGCATTATCAGTTCTGTCCATCTACCTCCTATTTAATAACACTTTCAAGAGAAATGGAAGGTCCTTCAGATCCTTCTTCTTGTTAATGGAAAGTACTAGCTGCAACGCTACCCTCATTAAAGGCTGACAATAGCTTTTCTTAGCCGCTAATCGACGCAGAATAACTCGACAAATTATGAAAGACTGGAGAATGTCTTCTCTGATAATAGTCACATTACTCACTATATCCTGCCGTCGTTTTTGAAAACGACTTTTGATATATAGACTTCGAAGCTGTACGTTTATATCTTAATTTTTCATACTTTTATTTCATATCATTATTATTAATATTATTATTAATATTATTATTACTAGTATTATTTTCATTGAACGCGATGTAAAAGCGTTTTCTCTGTTAACTTTATTTTATTTTATTCCATTTCTTTTTCTTTCTTTCTTTAGTTATTTGAGAAGGGCCTTTCAAAATGAAAAGCAAATATTTACCATAATTACTTATATAAGAATGCAGCTGTAAGGAGTACTGACCCCCACCCCTACGATTTCTGATTTAAAAGAACGCACCAAAAACGTCTACCTGAATCATAGTTCGAAACCGTACCAAATGGCGCCATTTGCCCTCCAAAGCACCAATTTTTTTTTCGGGGCCCTCGAGCGTGCTCCGAACCTGACGCCAAGGGTTTGAGGGTTGGCTTCGCAATCCAAGGCCTGTCAATCCCTAAAAAACCGGACCCCCCCCCCCTTTAAAAATCTGGATCCGCATTTGTCTAAGTTAATGAAGAAAAATAAGTCAATTAATGAAATATTTACTCCATGACACATGCTCACATCTGCGACTCACAGTCGTCTCCTTTGCTGCACGACATCCGACATCTTTAAACACTTGATTCCTGTAACAAACTCTCATATTTACAAGAAGTCTGATATTTTTTAACATTTCTTCTCGAAATGATTTATCTTCTTGGATCATGATAGAACTTAAAGAACGCGGCTAAAGGGTCTATTGTGTTCTCATGTTACTGATGTACCATATTAATTTAAAACAATTTTTACAATATCATTCAGATTAAAGAAAAATAAAACTAGTAAACATTCTTAGCTCTTGGACGATCATTTTATATCTGCTGAAACGTGCAAATATAATTTAACAATAAAACGTCTGATTTTAAGTTAACCAAATTCTACTTGTCTGTGTAGACAGCTTGAAAACAAAAAGTACAAACAAAGATTTCGAAAATGTTAACCGTTTCAGCGCCGTTTCATGTTTAAAGGTGAGTTTTAGACAAGAAGGCTTACTTATATCGATTTATTGCTGCCAAAACGACAAAATACACATACCACCATAAAGTTTTAAATATCATAACTTGGAGAAATACCACACGGTGGCTACATTATTTCCCGAAAAAAGTATTTTAATTTTAATTATTTATTTATTTTATTGGAGTGTGGATTCTGTTTGTGCTGTGTAAAAAACTGGTACCAATGTATCTTTAATTAATACCGAAATATTGAGTTAAAATATGGTTGCGAAACTGCCCGGACATGGTCACAGCCGACTGGCCAGCACCTCTCCGTCTCTGAGTCACAGCCGTGCTAGGCACGAGGTGCGTGATTACGCTGCACTTGCGATTGTTACGTCACAGCAATTTGTGTTGATTACATCACAGCAAGTTCTAATGACCACAAGAAGTCCAAACTGTGATGGCATCCTTTTCTTGATGAGAACATAGTCAATGCTAAAGGACAAAATAACATCCATTCAAAAATTATTGCGTTCAAACACAATGTTTATTCACACGTTTCACTTTTTTCAATCTTACAACAAATTTCAAATTCATCGCCAAAATAACAGATCTTGTATCAAAATAAAAGAGAAAAGAAAGTTATATAATAAAAATCTAATAAAAACAGTAAAATTCATGAATAATAATTCAGCATTAGTATAGCATGAAAAACTTAATCAATTATAAGCATTACATACTACTAGGGTACACTGTACCAGTAATCTTTAAGTTCTCTACGGCGACGCACCATTGTTTCAAATATTGTAGACATGCCCTCAGTCTTAGAACTTTATGATTGTCAACTACCTCTAAATCATGACATGATCATTAAAGTGATACTAGTACCTTTGTACAGTATGTAGCAAACAACTGATGATTTATGATTAAAATGATTTTCTAAAACATGATTTAATGTAAATTCAACAAAAATGATATAAGCCGTTGAGGGTTTTACATGTTGATGTAGTGAGTGTAGGTGAGTTTGGGTGGGGATGAATAATAAATAAAATGTCCATTTATATTGTGTCTGGTGTAATTTATATATATATATATATAAAGTATTAATTGTTTGGCATAATAGTATAATAAGGACACATATACCAGTATAATCACTGGAAAAAAGACATTTGATTGGTGAATTAAAATAGCATTGGTACAATGAAAAGGTAACATCCTTGGGAGATTTCAGTTACACATCAAGGCCACACCTTTTTAAAGTTACCTAAATGTTCTCACAGATCTAGAATTTGATGTAATATCATGCATTTAATACAGGACATCAATATCAAAGAAACTGAGATGAGATGGGGATGGGGGAGGGTTGAAGAAAACATGGCTTCCTCCTACACCACAAAACCTATCTGCATGCTTCATTCCTAAACAAAAGGTGACCTCAAAATAAGACACAGGTTGTCACTTAATGGACACCGTTCCTCACACAAATATTTCCTAAATCTCTTAATGATCGATGACTTAAATTAACTGTTAAGAAATGTTAAGTCTGTGCTGACACTATCGAGGTTGTTATCAGGTGAGGGTCCGCGCTGTGGTTGGGGCCTGATAACCATGACGACAAGTTATTTGACCCTGCCACACTGTCTGTGCAGGAATAACAAGGTGGGATGGGCCTACCACTTAACCTGTCACCACAGGGCCAGCCAGCTGAAGCTACAACTTCATACACACATGGTGTGCTATTTTGAACACATTTTTCCTCACTCTTTTATCTATCAGAATTATACCCACACTCTAGTTCCAATTACCCATCTTTTAAAAGTTTTACTATTTACTTTTTTCACCATTGTGAGAATTTAAGACTTCATTTTGAAGAGGCACTGATTGAGAAGTTTTTTTTCTCATTTTGCAAAATAAAAAAAAGTATTCCTCTCTCTCTCTCTCTCTCTCTCTCTTGAATCCTTACAGCTTAAAATATCTGGACACAACATCACTAGTATATTTCAACATGGGCAGATTGTGTTATGAAAGTTGACTGCATTCAATTGAAATAAAATTGATTGATACCTTGTCTTGCTTCTACTACATGGACATGAAAAGTTTCAGAAAGCTCCACCCTCAGCCAAGTTAACTTACTGGAACTGAATTTTTATTTGGGACCTCAATGACGTGTATGACTGAGACCCATTTATCTCATTCTATCCAGCCACTGTTGGATCAGACTTTTCACTACTGGTCAAAAAAGGGTTTGTGCCAATATGACCAAAATCCCCGATATGATGGACAGGAAGATGTCTCCATCCAACCCTTCAACCCCCTCCAGCCACACAGCACAGACAGCCATTATTACAAACTGAAATGTGGTAATTTATGGAGGATATGGCAGCGAGCAATGTTCTCCTTGGTTGGGTCACTTAAGACTTGCAAACTGTGTAATTTTTTCCCGTCTTTTTCACTGGCTTGCCCACTGACAGACACCTGTCTGGGATGAAATGGTCCCAGACCCCTGAAGGAGAATACATGTGACACACAGACGTGAAGACATATATTTTGTATGGACAATCGAGAATAATCACACTGAGATAATATGGTGAGCTGACCCTTGACCTGTGTATGCATCACAACATATTTGATGAGGTCAGTTTTTGTGTGCCTTTTACAGAAAGCATTAAGGTAAACATGCCCATATACCTGTGGATTTTTTTTCTTATTGAGCAAAATTTCATTATTGTTTTCAATACTTGGCAATTTCATAACATCACCTAGGAATTCAGAGCGCTGTTTATGTTATGCATGCTGATTGTCAATAGCTCTCTGTGAGAAATGTTTCAGATTTTGCTCCCACCCTCAGCAAGCGCATGTGCTCACGCTCATGTTCGTTGAGGTTATGTTTGTCCTCCCGCATGGTTTGTCTGTGTTTCTGTAGCTGTATGTAACTCTCTTCTCTCCTGGCATGCACCTGGTAAAATAGAACAATGAATCCATAGAGAAGAAGTGACAGATATATTTATGAAGCCTACTTTTCAAAAAAAAAGTTTTCTTTTAACACTTAATGAAGCTATCACTATAAGGTGTAAGTCTTCCACAAGTCTTAAATCATTCTTACTGTTATACATACATAAATGAATAAAAGATAAAATAATCATTTTTCCTGTATGTTTTTTCATGTAAAAGAATCTAATGTGGTGTAAAAATGTCTATTATCATTGCTGATGGTTGTAGTTGTCAGATATTGCATATCAACATACATGTAAGTGGGGTACGCAAGTTATAAATGAGATGTCTTAATAATTTTTTTCTGAAATGAAAGAACTACGATGGACAAGATCTGTTTCTGTTGCACGATATTCAGATTTGGTTAGCATTAAATAATAAATGTATGTATATTCCTAAATATTCAAGATATTTTTTTATTCCAACAAGATTGTACATGACACATGTTTTATGTTAAACATATCCCATAAGTTTGTTCAACACACCTTGATTTCAGTTCTTCCAAATATTTAAAAAATTTTGAGTCAAAATAGAACCTGGCCCCAGGCTGGTTACGTGTACATTGTAGGTGACAGACCATTTTAAGACACTCTCCAAGCAGAGAGATTTAGGACAGCGGCAGCTTTCTTCCATAAGCTGCAGAAGAACTCTACACACAATGTCACCTTTGTCTACATGTCCGGTCACAGAAATCCTATTATCACTCTGAATGAATTATTCTATCCTGTATTACTACAGCAGTTTAAAGAACCTACGGAAAGAAAGTCTACCGGGTTCTTCTTAAGCCTGATTATCAAAGTTATGCAATGTATGCAAGTGCTTATCCCATCTCCTCGTGAAGTGTTATGCAAACCTTGTTCTTCATTTTCAAAAGCAAGCAAAAGTAACATACAGCACAGGTTAAGTTAAAGCAGCTAACTTTTTATCTCATTTTCTAAGATCCCAAAATATGCAATCCTGGATCAAAGCAGGGTTGTGCCAATAAGTCAGGTGTAAACAGACCTTTTGACAGCCTCCACTACACTGTCACCACGGTCAACTGTAAACAGTTTCCAAATACCTACTGATGAGGGGGAAAACGGCTTTTGTCTACAGTGTTTGCACACTTCCCATCCATTCTACAAGCCCAATGGTATAATTTGTGTGCAGTTCTCTTAATTTATAATTACTATAATCCATTCCTTTTAAAGTTCATTTCACACTGAAATTTATTAACAGGGCCATTTATTACCCAGATTACCATTGAAAAGACGGCATAGCGCTGGTTAGAATAGCAAACATCAATTGAGAATTAATGTTTCAATAAATTACTAAAGTGGGCACTAAACGGGCAATCGCTAATGATAGAATCTACACAATTCCAGCTATCTTGTGGCTTAGGTCTGCTAGGTGGAGCACAGAAAAACAGCTGCCACAAACTGATAGTTTATGCATACCTGCGTCTGTGTGGAAAGGTCTGAGATAATGCAAGGTTCAGGGGCTTTTTCAATAGAGTCTCTTGTACAAGATTTTGAGGAAATCTCTCCATCTGTCTCCTTGTCCATTCCCCCTCTTTGTCTTTATCTGAACATATTTTCTTGGTGTGACTTTATTTTGAAACTATTTAGAGTTTCTCCAAGTATGAACAAGACCTCTGGTCCTTCTTTCACTTCATTTTCAAATTACATGCTTTTACGAATGCTATTTTCCAAATTTAAATGAAATTCACCTGATCAAAAAACATTTTCTTCAATTAAATGCAGGGCTTATTATTATTATCATTATTATTATTATATTATTATCATTATCTACCAAACCATCCAAAAAATGTAACAGAATACAAATAACAAATGGCACAGGCCACCCTTCACTTTAGGTCTAGATTCAAGCACTGATGCAGCTTCTACATGTACGTGTACCTGTTGATGATAAGCTGTAAACGAAAGCTCAGAAATTCATCTGAACCCCTGACACCCCCCTCCCCCCCATGGGCCTTAGTGATACTGAAAATATCATCAGACCAAATTTCATTTTTCTCCTCGAGCTATGAAAAATCACCAAAATCAGGCTGTTGCAGTTATGTGTATAACCTTATTGGTAAAATTTGTCTGTGTTTGTCTCTCAGAGAAAGGAACAAGCTAACTGCACTACCTTGTGCAGAGACTAGACAAGTGATACAATCCCTTTTCACACGAGATGCAACTAAATTTATTTTAATTTGTATCTGAAAATTTCATCAAACAAAAAATAACTTCTCAATCTTGGGATCTGTTTTGGAGGGTACTTTTTCAAATGAATTATGGCCCATGATCACAAAGGAGTTTGACAAGGGGCATTCAAATGATCGAGGAAGAATCAAGTCAGTGAAATAGCACATAATCAGTAAGATACTCTGCGTGTGAGTTCTCTGCAATAAAACTTCAACATAACTTGTATGCGGTGGGAATTATCATCATAAAATAACGCCTTACAAAAAGACTGTCCAGATTATAAGAAGCCATTTATTTGAACAGGTATCCCCATTGATCATTCTGTAGGAGGAACGGCTGTCACAGAGAAAAGCTGTGCCAGAGATTACTTACAAAGTCCTGACTGACAGACCATACTGACACCTTACTCCTGGCATAAGAAAAGCTGGGAATATTAGTAGGGCTAACTTACACAAACTGACTCTGGCTTTCAGTAAAGGTGAGAAGGATAATTTCAAACCCCTTTCAGTTTATCTTACCTCACGTGAACTTAAGATAGATTAAATCACTGCGTTAAAAACTATTTGTAAATAAATTATTTACAGAGCATTTTAATATTGTTGTGGGTAGAAGTCGGTATACTTCCCTACCCCCTCCTGTCTCACACTGGATCTGTAGGAAACCACTTATCTAAATCTTTACCTCAGTATCACCTTTAAATAACACTGGAATGCAGTTAAGTATTTATTTTATTGTCTTCTAGTGACAGCGGTGACTGGGCATTTATTATGCATCTTGTAAAAATGCCAAGGAGCCGTTACTGGGGACCCATACGGCCCTGATAAATAGCTTATTAAATTGCTGGTCATTTTACTTTGAACACACCCATGGCCAGCTGAATATGGGCAGCTTTTGAGCTGATTTTCTTGTTTTTTCTTTTTCTTTACCTTTTTTTCTAACACATTTATGGAGATGTCAATATTAATTTTTCTTAAGAAGTCTTTAAACAGCAGTGAGTCATTATCAATGTTTATAAATACCATAGTTCCATTGCAGATATTTTCATAAAGTTTCTTTTTATCTATTTATTTATTTTATTTATTTATTTTTTTTGTTTTGTTTTGTTTATGAATTATATATCCGGAACTATAAAAAGGCTTTATCGCTACAGATTTCCACCCAAACAATAAGCATTGAATATCCTCATAGGTATTGTAACACAGAAAGAATTTATGAAACTATTTAGTACTTTGGCCTACAGGCATTGTTTCGACCCCCACCCAATTATTGCCAATTATGACTGAAATGATTTGTGCCAGTCTTCAGGTCTACACTGACCTTTCATCAGAATTTGTAGGTATAAAATAACTTTTTGTTCAAACTTCCAAATAATTTTGTTACTGTTTTAAGGTCTTGTCTAACCTTTAATCAAAAGCCACGTGAATGATATGAATATCTTTGCTTAATTGCATTAACCTTCCCTTCAAATTTGTTACAATTTGTAAAACTTGTATCTCAGATAAATACTAAAATTTAAAAAGTCTGATGATATATTAATCTCACTTTAAAGAATTCAAAGTGACCAGAAAAGGGCAGAAGAGACATAATCGGGGTCAAACTTTCTTCAATATATGAAACAATCATATAGGTAAATTATACAAAACTTTAACATAAAAAAGGCCTATATTGTATGCTCTAAAGACTGCAGTGCATGTGAATTCTTGCATGTTTTTTGTTCTGTGACAAATTTTTTACAGGATCTCAGCTGAAGGTGACAAATTGTAAGTCACACATGCAGGTGTTGTTGACAATGTGTCTGCTGCTACTGAACACTGGAACACAGGTGGTGGTCTGCATGGAACAGGAAACTTCAAGGATTACTTTTAAATCAAAGGTCAAAAGTGTGTGTGTATGTGTGTGTGTGTGTGTGGGGGGGTGTATGTGTTTTCATATGCTTGCACACCTGCATGTGTGTGCATAATTATATGTTTTTGTCCTAGGTACATCTGTGGGGAAAAATGGGAAATCAAATAAAATTACATATTTTTGGTGTAGTAGTGTCTTTACCTTTTTTGCAATTCATTATTTCCTTTTTTTTCATTCACATAAATATGTTTCATTTTTGAAATTCAAAACTAAACTCACTTGTGACAAGGAAGCTTTAAAATCACAAAAATAGAAATAAAAAGTAAACAAAAAGAAAAGAAAAAACTGTCACTGAATTCTTTACCTTATCCAGTGCTGCCTTCTCCCTGACCAGTTCCTGCTGTAACTCCTCCTCCAGTTTCTGAATGGTCACCATCTCTTCTTTTAGTTTCACAGCATTCTTCCTCTTAGCTTCCAGAAGCTTGTTCTGTAGTCTGCGCACCGTTTGTTCCTGTTTCTGCCTGGCATACTCTGCCTCTCGTACTTTATTGTATAAGCTGTGCTCATACTCTTCTGCTTTAGTTACTGTTTTCTGTAAGTCAAGTGTAGGATTTTTCATTAAATTCATTTTGACATGGTTTAGATAGTATAGATTTCAATATAGAGTATAAAAAAAGCATACCACACAGCAATTAAAAAGATTATAACTTGTAACCATGTAGTTAAAAAATATACAGGTATATTGGTTTGGCATAAAAAAATCAAGATGCATCTGATTAATCAATTTACATTTGTTTGGTAATATCTTCTCTTTTTCTAAACACAAAAAAGTGATAAATATTCATTTAAATACTTGGAAAAATGAAATAAAATTTTAAATAAATAAATTGCACATTAAAGGTTGGACAATAAGCCTTACATAGGGTAGCACTTTTACACAACAATAACAAATAGTACTACTACTATTATTACTTATAATAATAATAATAATAATAATAATAATAATAATAATAATAATAGTAAACACCTACCTGAAAATGTCTAAGATGGTCTTCATGTTCCCTTCGTCTTGCCTCAATAAACCTTTTCTGGAATCTCTCTGAGTACTGGTTCTCCATTATCTCACTCTTTTCCTTCTTCTCCTTCACTGCTTGCCTCAGTCTTGATACTTTTCTGGCATCATGAGCCTATATGGAAGAATTTCGAAAGTTAAATCATAAGAATACAGAAGAGGACATGACAAAATTCAGTTTTTTCTAATAATGCTGAAAAAATATATAGTAACTGCTGACATATGCAGGGAAATTTCAAAATAAGTAATAAATTTAGAAAATCCTTCAAAGATAAGACTTCTAGCATGTTCAATGCAGCAGATCTAGCAGTTTAGCTAGTGACTGACAGGTGGTTTAATTTTTTGTATCACATTTAAGAAAGGCCTATCATCTGCTTTGAGCTAAACAACAAATACTGTACTTATGAAATTTGTATTTTTCTTTAAGACTCTATTATAAAATGGTGCCCAGTGTTGTTTCATGCTGTAATCAAATCTTTCATGCCACAGCCTGAAACCACTTTAAAGTTCTAGGTTAAAATACCTCTTGCCTCACTGAAATATGCCTAAGCACATCATCATTCTTAAATCACATCACTGACAACATAATTAAAGGGCAAATGTATACTTATGTGGTCTCTTTATATCTTTATTACTATGATAAGATTACATGTACTTCAGTATGAAAATTCACTACATGATATGAATGATAAATCTGCTATCTCATTTTTCCCCAATAGGTGCATACTAGGCGAGGTGAATTTAGCCTCACATCTGGAGGGTTTTAAAGAATTCTTTAAATGCAAATTTCATAACGCAAAATGGGTGATGTACAATTTGATTTGACTTTGGAAAACAATTAAGATGGATGAAATACTGTTTGCGTACCTGTAGACAGCAGGGCACACTTTTTGAACTTTTTTTTTTAATACAAAAATATGTCACAAATGTCACAACCTGTGGGTGCTATTTACGTACATGTAAGTTCTGCTCAATTTGCTTGGCCTTGAGATCTAACTCTGCATGGAGTGCTGCCTGATTGAGCTGGCGTTGAATATTGCTGTTGTCCTCAAGTCTAATCTGTGTGTCTTGTAAATGGCGCCCCTCTAGAAAATAGATTGATATTAATTAATTTTTCTTCACTGGAAAATGAAATTACATTTAAAAAATGGTTATTCTGTCATATTACCTGAAAAAATCAGAAAAATCTATCTAAATATGGATTGAATGAAAATAAATTTTGCCTTTTCATTAGAGCCTAGGGTAAAACTTATTCTATTACCAAACACAAAAGGTAAAAAAAGAAAAACATTAATAACGAAGCAGGCATCAAATAAGAAAAAAATAGAGAAATCTAATCTTTGACAATAATATATTTCTCTCATATTTTTGTTATTTTAACAAATAGCAAAGCTGTAAAAGGTAAATTAAAATGTCACCTTCTCTTCCTTTCAAATTGAGGTGAGCCTTGGTCAGGGTGAGATCTGCACTCAGTTTACGGCGGTTCATCAGAGCTGTTTTTACATTGGAATCACTTTTCCTGCAGACAAAAAACAAAGAATCTTCAAGTTACAATACTTTATATGAAATTAATGTTTATTACACAGCCAGATGTCAGATTTGATAGGATTTTTTTTCTAGAAGTTAATGTGACAAAAACACTTCCTACAAATACATTTTAGCAACATTTACTGGTTTCGGTATATACATAAATACTTTAGATCAGTTCTGGAGCCAGTTAATCCTTGTTAATCAGTGAACAATAGACATCTAATCCTCTAAGCTTGATAATCTTATTTGTGGATTAATCCTTATTCCCACTACTTACGTCAGTTTGTGATCTAAAGTCCTTTGCATTGTCAGATCTTCATCTATTCGCTGCTTGTTCTCCTTCTTGCTATCTCTGAAATATTAAGTTTAATTACAATTTAACCACATCAGGGATCAAGAATTAAGTAATACTTGGTAATACTGTGTACCAATTAGAAACCAAAATATTTCTCTGGCCCCCTCCCCCTTGAACTTTTTCTTCAACTTCTCCTCAAAAATAAGGGTGGAGAAAAATAAGAAGAAGACAAAATTCCAGCTATGCAATTTAAGTTTTAAAACTTTCCACCATACTCTAATTTTTTTCAACCTGTGACAAATCTAAAATTTTCATATCATGAACCTTTACTAACCCTTAACTTTGTCAAAATATGCATACACAGTTACAGGGGATAATTAAAGATGGAATATGGAATTAAAGAATATTATAAGTCAATATGCATTCAGATTGACAAGGGATAATTAAAGATGGAATTAAAGAATATCATAAGTCATGAAATGGACAACTGTCATTATATGGTACTGTCTGAACCATCTGTAAACTACCAGATCAATCAGTGCTGCATAGTTATAGTTTATATTCCATCTTGATTAAGGGATCATTGCCATTGAAGCTATCAGTCTACGTAGATTGCTCCAACTGAGTGGGAACTTTCACTGAATGCAATCACTTTCATAGATTAACATGCCCCCTGGTATTGAGTAGAATACAGAAAAGCTGGTAATTATACAAGTACTTTGGAAAGAAGAGGAGGCGTGATAATATGTTAAACTGATTGCATTCAGTAAGAGTCCCCACAGAGCTGGAACAATCTACATAGACCAACAGCTACATTGGAAATGAGCCCTAAGAGGCCCATCAGGTTACATTTAAGGACAAAAATGCATTTTTCAAAAACTTAAAATTTTTTTATTTAGTGCCACACTGAATCCGTTCATACGTTAATAATCTTGACCAGAAATTGACTAAACTGCATCACCAAATATCATTAAATAACTACCGTAGATTACATGAGGACTCTTTAGACCTTAAAATTCCAATTAAATCCAACTGATTATATAACAAACAGTAAAGCAGCCAGTACAGTTTTTATTTAAAAATAGATTTCTGGCCCAAGTGTATACAAGTCTCCTGTGAGAAGAATAGATTGACAATTTCTCATTCACTGTCAACTTGTCTATGCAGAGCCCAATACCAAACCATGCTAAGGGCCCACTCCAAATGAGTTAAGTGCCAATAGCTAGTGTGCAGTAACTCCATGGGGACTCTTGCTGAATGCAATCAGATTAACAGATTAACACAACTCCACTTATTTCCAGCATTACTCAAATAATCAGTTTTTTTTTATGTTCTACTTAATGTCAGGAGGAGGCATATTATTCTGTTAATCTCATTGCATTCAGCTGGAGTCCCCATAGAGTTAGTGCGTCGCCTGTTGTGATCTAACACATACTGAACGGCCCCTTATTCTGAGACCACACAGACCACACCAAATCCAGGCTAATACAAACCAGCCTTGTTGCTGGCGTGTGGGAGGAACCAATAAAATACTGTGTGATTATTTTCTCCCGCACATCTGGTGGAAGACAAAAGGTTGTTATTAATGGCAGGATATAGCCCTCTTGCATGTCTCACTGCTCTAAAAGATGGCATAACTCAAATAAAGGACAACATTTTTTATTTCCAATCTACAGTCATTCATAAATCTGTTGGTGTCCTCACACAATGCACTTATGAGTATATTTCTAAAGGCTTTTTTTAAATATACAATAGACTATAATTAAATGATAAGGTATAACCTTCTTCCCCTTTCTGCATGATATGACTAATTCTTGTATTTTCAACTCCTGACCTTAATTCTGATATTCTATTTATTGTGCATTTGTTTTCCCTTTTTAGGAAATGATGAGTAAGATCAACATATTTAGATACTAATGGCAATATTTCTGTATGATATAACTGCTATTCATGTAGGCTACTTTTTCTTTTGCATTTCATGGCTAATTATTGTTCCAGTAATGTACTGTTATCTGTGATACTCAATATTTACTAGTGCATTTTTTAACTGTCATCACCTAATTATGAATATTTTATTTTAATGATTAAACTGAATGCACAAAGCACAACTTACATAATTTTACTTTGCATTTTTACCCTGTATCATCCTTGTCAGGGATTTTAATACTGAAGTTTAAGATTGAAGAGAAAATTTGCCAAACATTTTTCATAAAAAAACAAAGATATTACTTATTCTAACAATATTATAACAGGGTGTGGTCCATGTACTGTAGGTAATGCAGAGAATGATGAAGGGAAAAACATTTAAATCTAACTATCCAGAAAAAAGACAACTCTTCTTTATGCCCCACCCTCATATTTCAATATGTTATCCAAGTAACATGAAAGTAAATATTGGGTGTGGGTATGCCTGGGGGGAGGGTGGGAGCCACTTCCAAACTTGACATTAAATGTACACTACCAAGGTGACAATCACACTTTAAGTTTGTAAATGGCATAATTTAATTCTAACTTTTCAACATCAGGCAGATGGATTATTTCATTGTCTGTCTAGAAATACATGTCAACAGTTACGAGTTTGTCAAGAGAGTTTCTCCAACTTAATGATGATAGCATCTATTTAGCAGTGCCTGCATGGATTAATTATCTTAAAAGAGAACAGCGCCACATTGACACTGCTCATTGATACAAAGATGTGGGCAATTCACACACTGAGTTCTGTTGCTCCCTTGTTGCACTCAAATAAGAAAAAAAGTCTGTATACCAGTACTTATATACAACATACATCTATCACCATCAACACCTTTGGCAAGTCTTAATAACTTTCTTATGTTAACTGTCAACAAATTTTATATAAAGGCTACTTGTATGGATGGGTTCTGTGGACTAGGCCAGATTTAATAGAATTATTTGACGTGTTGACACATCTGATTGACTCCAAAACACAGAGAGGCAAAACAGGACCGATTCATGTGAACTGCTTTGTACATGCTGCAGCACAGAAGCTTTTAGGACTATTTTTCTCCCTTAATGATGATGATGATGAGCGTGCTATGATGGCACATCTGATTCAATAGGATGAGGGTGGGACAATACAATGTGTCCTATTACTGTCCTTATTTATATCACAGAACACATCAGGACAATCAGCCTGTTGAAATGACTTCTTTCTTGTTTTATTGCTTCTAAATTCAAGTTGCGTGACAGAATGCCTAATTGTTTGCCTGGATGTTGTGATTGAAATTTTCATCAGTGCCGCTTGCAATTCTTAAACTCAAGTAGAAAATTTCAATCTACTTTCCACTAAATGTCAAGTATGTAAAACATGAATCATGAACCCTTTGTCACAATTGAATAAAAATGCACAGAATAAGAAAAAAATGAAAACAATAGTTTTATGATTTTAAAAGAAAATTCAGATTCGAGGTAAAGGTGAATTTCTACTCAGCTAATACTTTGCACAGTGGCTTATATTTCAAAATAAAATGGTAAACAAACAAAAAGAAAATAAATATAGAAGGATGAGACACAAATTGGACTGGCATTAACCTTTGGGTCAATTTTGTGGTCATGTCAGCAATTTTTAAACCTGCTATCCCATAAATATATCTGATAAGCAACAAACCTACTGAAGAGATAAGGATACCTTTTTTTAATCTCTAAAATATCATACCTCTGGGCATCCTCCTTGATAGATCTGCCTTTCTGAGCCTCCATATTTAAAGATATGGACAGTTCTGCTAGCTCTTGCTTTAGCCGAAACTGCTCTTCCTGAAAAATAAAATAAATGTATTGTATTTTTAACATTAACACTTCAGTCTGTTTTTTTTTCTGACAAATGCATAATAATTTAAGTGTTTAGATAAAGCCATGTGGTCTTTTAACTACATAATGTAGTATTGAAACAACACGAGGCTTTAAACTTTTAAAATGTAACTACTGCATGAGCAAAACATATCGCTAGACAATCTGCAGAAAAAGATTATGTTTGAAACTTAGGAATAAAATTGTGCTTTTTCTACATTTCTTTCTAACTAAAGTAGAATATTGTTCATTCTTTACAGATGTGTAACAGACCTCTTTCTTTTTCATCTTCAGATCAAATTCTTGTTGAATTTTCATCAGTTCTATTCTTCGTAGTTCCATCTCACTCATTTTGCTTTTATACTTACGAGCAAGATCTGACCTTTAAATAAAAAACAAGTAACTTCAAATTAATTCACCAAGATAAACTGTAATTCTTAAGTTGAACTAAACAGTTAAATAGAGTAACAGCTTGTAGTTCTGGCTACCTGGTAAAAGCCGTATACATTTGTAAATGTGTTTATATGTGTAAATGTGTGTAGTTCTTTTTCTACATGATATATATTTCACTTAGAAAAGGGACTATTCTTCAATTCAGGAGAACCAAAAAGACTGACATACTGAAGTTTATATGCAAATCATAAATACATATTGCATGTCACTCATATCAAACAACTACATTACTTCATCATTATGTGCAGTTGAAGCCAAATGTGTTAGATGTGCCAAAGAGCACATCCAATCATTTCTGATTGCACCTGGAGAAGGAATCTGTTGTTATAAACTATTTTTGACTATCACATAGGGCTGTAAAAATTATTTCTTTCTCTAATGAATGAGAACAATTGAATAAAGGTTTTAACAGTATTCTTACTTGGCTAGCTCAACTTTTCTTCCCTTATCCTTGAGAGAGTTATCAAAACTAATTGATTTTTCAGTTCTTTGTTTTGTAAGCTCCTCTTTCTGGTGAACATGATCTCGCTGCAAGTTAGTGTATTTTTCCATTCCTTGGTTAAACTTGCGATCCTCTAGAAATCTTTTCTTAGCAATAGCTGGTAAAAAAAAATAAAACAATATAATTAAATTTATCACATGCAAATGAATTCTATATATGTCTCTTTTTCACTGGATCAATTGTGATTTTCAAGTTACATAAATAAACTACATGTGTATTGTATGTCTGGCAATAAACATATTCCTTGCTTTTCTTTAAATGCACTTCAAAAGAAAAGCATTTATATAGAGACTAAGTTCTGATCTAATTTTTGTTTATCTTCTTTAACAGCAATTAAGAAAAATCTTTTGTCTACTTTTTTGTTCTAAACTGAAGCAAACTAAAGTAATTTTCACCTTGTTCAAAATCTTTCAATGACCTCCTGACAGATCTTTAATTTTTGTTTATCTTCTTTAACAGCAATTAAGAAAAATCTTTTGTCTACTTTTTTGTTCTAAACTGAAGCAAACTAAAGTAATTTTCACCTTGTTCAAAATCTTTCAATGACCTCCTGACAGATCTTTGATTTTTGATAATATCTCCTTCAACTCTCTTCAGCTCTCGCTCCTCCTGCTTGTGTTGCCACATGTGATCCTAGAAATATAGTACAAAATAATGGTACAGAATATAGTACAGTATACAGTACAAATTAGAATAAAAAATTAAACAAGAGTTGATATCATAAATCTCATGAAATACTGTACATAGCAAGCATAAAATATATAATATCATACAATAGAAAATAAAATACAAAGAAAAAGTTTAATAAAATATGTAGAGGAAAAGACTTCTATTGGGAAAAGATTCAACAGCTTGGCATAACATTGTGTTTTGAAAACTCCTCACAGAATAAAAATATAACTGTCCATGTTCTACCAATGATCCCACTGCTTTCCATATTTAATTACTAGTACATGCCATGCCCTGAGTTAAGGCCTGGCAGTGGTGGAAGGACAGCTAAGAAAGATATCATTTGCCTCCTATAACAAGAATCAATAAATCATTAAATCCCATCAAGAAGGATAGACCTAAAGAACTACAATGTCCATACCTCCACTAATCGGATGCGCTTTTCATAGTCCTTCTGGTCCTGTTCAATTTTCTGGGCCAAGTCTACGACACTGCGTGGTGTGGCTCCTGGGCTCCTTGGTGACTTGCCTTCCTTTACATTAAATGTATGAGTGTACTTGGAGGAATCCAAAAAGCCATCTGGTCCACACTTTCTCTCTGTCTCCCTTAAATTAAAATAAATCCACTGTTAACTGCTGATGGTATCAATTTACTCTACAAACATATATGACAAATATGTTAATATGAAATTCACTCACATGGTAAAAAAAGGCTGATATATTTTACAAACAACAAGTTACAGAGGTAGAAAGTGTGACAGTGTTTTCTATCCAGATTATTTTTTTCCATAAAAACATTGATAAGCATGTGTCCTGCAAGATGATTTTGGTTCCCCCACAGAAAGAATTATGTGAAATCATTTTGATATGTTCTGGGACCAGTGTCACACAGGAACTTAAAATCAAAATTTGGTCATAAAATTTGGCAAAACATTTTCAGTCTACTTTGACTGTTGGTAATCCGTGCAAGTCTACTTGATTGAAATATATTGACTCTACTTCATAAAAAGAAAGACATGGCTAAAGTCATAGACCAACAGTTCTTCATATTCTAATTTAGTAGACTACCATGTACTGGTATTTATCATGAATTAAAGTAGACTTTAGCTGAAATTTTTTGTCTAAAGGTTAAGTCCATTTGTCAGTCTTTAGTTCTTTTGTGAAATTATCTCTTGTGTCAAGAACCAATACATACTTTAGGAAGGCAGCATATTCCTTGGCTTCTTTTGATTTTTCATCCTCCTCATCTGAATCTGGTGGAGGGCTCCCAGGCCGCTTGATAGACATGTAGCGGCTGTGCATTAGGGGGTGACGATTGAACGGCAAGTCTGTCAACACCATCTTGAACAGGCTGGTAACTACTGGAAAGAAAAACAATGCCACTGAAAACATTCCATTTTTGCTAATGTGCATTATGAACATTCGATATGGGAAATATCTTTCCTAGTAGTTTACATGACTATGGGATAGCCTTGTTTAGTCATCTGTACCAGCAGATTGCTGAGCAGACCAGTGCTAGAAAGAACTGGGGGGGAGTATACTCCCCAGTAAGTCCTAGACTGGGTTCCCATCCCTTGATCGATCTAACAGGATCGGTCCATCTCCACAGGGTCCCTCACTAAATTGCTTTCAGCCCAAGCGACTTAGACTTCTGGGACGCCCACTAAAGCTGCTATTGCTAAACAACAGTTAATCACCCCCTATCAGCCTCAGTAAGCATGACAGACATTTAAGCTGCTTAAGTTAATTGCATTTAAGCGAGAATCCTCTTGGAGATAGTTCGACCCAAAGTTAGTTCGAAATCGGATAGTCTCTATCTTCTGATAGACCGGCATATGATAATATAAGCATATAATAATATAAAATTATAAACACATTATATTATTTGATATTTTTTATGCTACTGTATGGTAAGCTAATCACTAAATCAGTATATCAATTAAGTCTTGGATTAAATACTGATTGGAAATAAAATAACTGCAACACATTATTAAATCAAAATTATATTACCAAAAGACGATGATAGTCCTCAATGTTACGGGTTTAGCACCGAGACAATTGTGCACTAATCCAATGTTTTGATAAGGTATCGACTGTGCCGTGTCAGTCTGACACACAGGCCTTCACACACCTGCAGTCAACGTCGTCTTGGAGACGGCTTGCTTCGAGAGTATATTGATGTTCGCGGAGTGCAGGAGATCTCGTTGTTCTACAAGGCAAAAGCCAGAAAAGATTCGTTGCTGCAATTGTTTTAGAATTAATTAGAGAGTCTATAAAAGTCGGCAAATACCAAAATATTTCCATATTTTTTATGTAAAATACTCGTAAAATGAGTGGTCGAGAGTATATATAGTCCATAGCAACGTTATATTAATGCGCGTCAAATAAAACTTAATATCATATTTTTAAATCTCATAATATCAACCCAATTCTTTTTTTACTTCATCAATATACAAATCTGTGTAACTCCTAATATTATTCAACAAAAACTAAGCATATTACATACGGATGCCATGTACAGACAGCGCAAGAATAAATGTTTACTGTAGACGTGAGCAGGTCAAAACAATTTTAGTGACTGAAAGATGGAGGAAGAAGTGCCAAGTGGAGGTGACAATATTGTCACCGAATTTAATACATATGAAGACTTTCTTGACTCTCAAATCACATCTTTAGATTTATATTATCTTGAGGTAAGCATTTTGTGTAGTTGGTACATTTTAACAGAAATACAGCTGTGAGTAATGACGAAAGCAATTCTTTCAAAAGACTAGAGAAGGGAGGCTTGTATTTATTACTAGTGGGCACGTTGAAAAATGACAATTTCAAAGGAGTATTTCTAGAGATTTTTGAAATAGTTACAACATAAAAGATTGACCAGTATTCTTAATTTCAGTCATGTCACATGTAATGTACTCCATTCATCGTTTTAATGACACTACACTTCTATATAAATATTAGGATGAAGAATTGGCACGTCAATTAGTGGAGTTAGGTTACAGAGGAAGTGGTGAGGTTTTAAAAAGGGAGGAATTTGAAGCTAGAAAGGCTGCAGCAGAAGCCAGTCGTCTGTCTAAGAGAAGTCAGCAAAAGTGAGTAACTGGTGGTTATTATTATTATTATTATCATTATGAAGATGATGATGATGACAGTTTATAATCTGTCTAATATTAACACACTGCACGTGCTTCTCTTGCCTTACCAATATTTACTGTCAATTATATTATCTGAAGAGGAATAAAATCTTTTTATGAAATGATGATAAAAGAAATGATAAATGTTATAATTATAATAATAATAATAATAAACCATGTCAGATACATGTAGCATACTTTATGTAGGCTATATAATCTTGGTGTGACTGAATATAATACTTGGTATATTTAGACATAGTAAAAGTATTTCATTTTTTTCCCTTCAGAACATTAGCAAGCTCTGGAAAAGAACTTAAAGATCCATTCTTGAAAGCCTTGGCAAACCGGGAAGAGGCAAATAGAAGTGGGAAAATGACAGTATGTATAGATAAATTGATTTTTTCCAGTTCCAGCATATTTAAACAATTTATTGTGCAATAAACCTAAATGAATGTGTGTTGTAATTTTTTTGTCCAATTTTTTGTCTCATAAATTTTCAGTCAAATATATTTAACCTTGAGATGAATCAAAATTATAATTTAAATATTTTAATTTTTCTTTGCAGTCTATCATATTTATTAGAGACAGGAATGCAAGGAGCCAAGAAATATCAGGATATATAGATTTTGCCCACAGGCTGAAAACAGAGGACTTCGAACCATACTTTAATGGGAAAAAGAGATTACTACCAAGGCCATCAGATTTGAGGTAATAAGCAATTGCATATTCAGATAATTCTGTTTTTATTATTATTATTATTATTATTATTCATAGTTCATTCTATTAGTGGACATTGCCTTTAAAAGTAAATCCACTTAAAGCTTTTTGCATGAAATGTGTTTATGTTGGTTTTGAAACTTAAAATTTTGCATTTTAGTTTCTACAACTGGGAAACGCAGACATCCACATCAAACCCCACACCAAATTACCAGGTCATTGCTGAAAATGCATCTGGCCTGCTTTTTAAGAATAAAAGAGACAGAAAAATTATTAATGTTGATCCAAAGGTAAGCTTGGATAAATGGCAGTTTTATGATTTCAGCTATTTGTTTTATCAAGATAAATAAAAAGTTTGGTGGTTGATAATGTTTGATAGATCTTATTCTGTTTGATAATGCTTCAATATTATTCAAAATTAGGGTTTCATTAAACATATTATCAATGTTAGACAGATTGCTGATTTTACATAGTTTTACTACCTCTGCCATCTTAAGCCTTGCATTTCCAAAGGAATGGACATTTGTCATGTAACCCTTGTAAAAAATTATAACAATATAACTCAGTTTCATTTTTATTTATTTAGGCACCTACACCTGGAGATAATTCAACAAGAACTATAGTAGAGACTCCACGTTATATCCAAGCAGTCATTTATGATCACATTACTAGGAGGAAAACATAGCACATCAGATCAAACAAAGCCTGACTCTATCGTGGATTTTAGCACATTTATCCCTGTTCAAGAATTAAAAGGAATACATTAACTCTCTTGTCTCTTTAAGTGGGCAAATAATATTCATGAGAAACAGTTAAGTTGTTGAAGACTATGGATTACGTTAATGTAAGAAATATAAAAGAGAAGCCAAGTTGAGGTTTAATATTATGGAAAAAAAAACTGTGCTCATATATTTTTTTTATAATAAATTGAATCAACAAAATAGAAATGTATTATTATAATTGTAGTTAAATGTATCACATGCTCTCTTGTCCTGTTCCCTCTCCTTTATACAATTAGAAACAGTGCTGCTTTTGCTGCTTTTTACTCCTTCTGACACACTTATTTTTGTTAAGCGAAATCAAAATTTACAATGTTAATTGTGTTCAAAAGATGTTCTCACATTTATAATTTTTGCTCAATATTTTTACAGTTTTCCAGAGAATCAACAAAAGTTATAATTGTTTCTTTAAAGTGTTTGTCATTTTCTTTCTGTCATTAGATAACGCATATTTGAAGTTTGTAGGGTTGGGGGTGTGGTAACATTGTCTACTGCATTTTAAAGAGAACATTTCTACCTCTGTCGATTCCTTTTCTTCGTGTCAAAACATTCACCCAGGATTTTGTAATCTAATGGAAATTCATCTCTATAAACGTCCGACTCGAATAAATTTTGATAATTTTTTTGCATCTTCAGCAATGCTACAGGTGGTCGGGTCAGGCTGGGGTCGGGTTGCACTGCAAGCCTACATGAAAGAAACACCTCTATGCCCTCATATTCAAAAGATTTCTTTTCACATATCCATATATAAAGTGTTAGAAAAATTCCTTGTTGTGGGCTAATTCAGGATCTTTATAAATAGGGCGGGCGAGGCGCACCCTTTCTGTTAAGTTTCTATCGTTCGTTTGCTTGTATACGTATTACGATAGGAAGTGTAGTGGAGAACCTCTATGTTGGGTGGGAGGGCGGGGTCCACGTGTGAAAGCATTCCACGTACCACTAATGTGCGACATGTACGGAGGATCGGTGTACGGGTGGGGCGGTCCGTCTAATTAACAGCGCGTTATTTAGACAGACCCAAGGGTGGGGCGTGCCACATGCAGTACGTTGGCCTAACTTCGCTTACTGCGTGGCATACATGCAAAATGAAATAAAATTGTACAAATGTATATAAGGGCCATATGATAAAATACATCGCATATATATGCGCCATGTCGGTAGCAAATTTCCTGTATTGCCAAACAGCGACTTGACGTTTAATGCCCCGTTCAAATGCTGTGTACCGTAAACACTCATTCTCAGTATATTGGTCCATTTAACTTTTTTAAAAATGTTAAATAAAAGTATGCCAGCAGAAGATCTGTCCAAAATGAACTTAACTAACAGGAGTCTAGCAATATACAAATGAAACAATAATTACTAGCTTTATCTGTTCTCATAAACAGCATAAGCGGACTAAATTTAATACCTCAATTATTTTCGCTCGCAGAACCATCTCACCTTCTCCAATCGATCTAGTTCATTTTTACATTTTTAAGTAGAAAATATGCAACTTGTCAGGTAGCGAGTATGGTTTCTAACGATTCAGGAAATGTCTTGAATGTTTATTTCAAATAACTCAATAAATAGCTATAGTTTGCGGCTACTAACATATGTCGCAGGATTTTTAAAAATTGAAAAACATTTGTTACGTTTTTATTTTGGCGCATGTCATTATTTTAGGTGCTTGATTTTTTTTTTTTTTTTTTGGTAATATTACAGCCATTAATAAAATCATCAATTTAGTTTTATCCATTGTTAGCAAGAGAATATGATAACAGGTCACAGTCAATTGTTTAGACGGAGCACGGCAAAACTGCATTCTCATAGAAACTAGAAAGTATTTGAAGAAATGCCATTTAGAAAGGCATTGTGGAAAATATACTTGAGGTTGAGGGCAAAATGTGTCCGTCAAATAAATGTGCGTCTCGTAAAACCCTCAGCGCGGGCACTGTTTGTTGGTATTAAGAACGTGTGAGTATTGTCCCAAAGGGCTATTTTTACAACTTTTGTTGCCAAAATTTGCCTAACCTTCGTTACTTAAATAAGCAAATCAAATTCATATAGGAGATTGGGAGAAAAGTCTGCTAAAAAGCGGGATCGAAATCCGTTTCATCCAGTATTTCTCAATGTACCATTACTAGTGACGCTTGGGAGGGGAACAAACAGGAAGTATATAACAGTCAACCCAATCCGCCAACCAAAACATATGACCCACTTAGACGGCGAAGACGTCCCAGGCAAGAGGAATGTCTCTAGTCGTGTCTCTTGTATATTTTAGCTCCTTCTGGTTTTAAATTGTTTCACCAAAGTCACAGGTCTGACTACAGGTAATTATGGTCACACAGGAAACTTTTAATGATGTTTTTGTTACTAGATGAACACTCTTGTCTTAAAACTGCAAAGTGAAAGTTGTGACGTCAAAATACATTGTACACAAACTAGTACGTGTAAGTAATCGAGAATGGGACCCCATTTTATCCTAGTAAATAAACTAGTATATGAATATACATAATAACAAACAGAGGCGGATCCAGAATTATTTGTTGGGGGGGGGGGGGGTCCGTGGGTTCGGGGCCTGCTTAAGGGCCCGGAAAACTTTTGGTATTTTAAAAGGCGAACGGTGCCATTTGGTACGGTTTAGAACTATGATTCAACTAGTCAAAATTCTAATTTCAAGAGGGGACCATTGATGTGACTTTTTTCAGAAATCGAAGGGGGGTCAGGACCCCTGACCCCCCCCCCCCCCCCATAAAAAAATCCACCACTGACAAAGATATATTGCAGAGACACCCATCCCTAGCTTCTAAATCACTTCTCAATCATTGAGTTGGCTTTTTTATCTTAATTCAAGTGCTTTGTAGTACATGTATGGTGCAAGTAACATAGGATTTTTTACTACATATTATTTGGCAACAAAATTTCTCTTTGATACTACAGTAATGTTGTGTTTAAAAGTTTACTCATATTAAAATATATCTAACAGCAAGATGTTAACATAATGTGTTGATTGGAAGACTGCAAAACATGTTATATATGTATATATAGCCAAGTACAATGTATATGTAGGTTATCATACTAGTAAACATACAGTACTGCTGTACTTAGCAGTACTGATTCCAGTACTCCCACATAAAATAAACTTACTACCAGGTACTTTAAAGTCATGTAAAAACCAACAGTTTACCTTTTGATTTTGGATAAGAATTCTGTGCATACCAGTATATGATACATCAGATTGTCATGATTTTCTCTTCAGATCCATTTGAAAACATTACAGTGCATGTACTTCACAATGGAAGAAAAAAAAGAAAAAATGGAAGAAGGAGCAGCAAAACCGACAAAAATCAGTATAAACAGCACTAAAACATTTAAAAGAGATGTAAAAGATATCTTCCTCTTGAAGAAAAAGAAACAAGCAAACACTCCAGAAATTCAGAAACTGAAGCATTTCCCTGAAGCAGATTTATACAAAGTCATCTATGATGTTGCAAATGAAATTGCTGTTTGCTACGGGTGCCAGATTGGATCTTTGACCACTGACTCTGATGTTCACTCTTTGGCAGAATTTGCCGTCTTCTGCATGCTTGAAACACTAAGAAGTGAAGAAGACCCCTTTAATAGGAACCGCATGTTGTTGTCTATTCTGGAGAGAAATGATTTGTCAGTTCTGAAAAGGAATCATGGGTTTGAGGATAGAGAGGTGTTTACTGCATCAGGCAAAACATGGCGTCTGTCTGAAATCTTCAGAGAACCAGGTATTTGTATGCCAGTTGTGGAAAAAGGAAAAGGAGACATCAAAATGATGTTATATCAAGGAACGGCAGGTGAAGAGAAATATGGCTATAGATTTCCACTCACTGTGTGGGATGAGGATCAACAGAAGTTTGCTGTATGTGACAGCGATCAGCAGTATATGGACAGCTGTGACCAGAGAGAAGATGATAAACACTCTCTACTGTCAACTCAGAGCCTACCAACATTGGTCCTCTATAACTCGGACCTTTTCCTAGAGTACATTCAGAAAGCTGCATCTGAAAAGAAAAAGATGACTTTTGGTGATTTTGTGAACGGAAAAGCCAAAGAGCCCTACTTGTTCATTGTGCTGCGGCCTGTTGATGGTTTTTCATCTACCACTATGCCATTCCTTGAGACTATGACACAATGCGACTTTTCAAATACCGATTTGTCTTTCCTGAGGTTTTCAAAGATCACAAAAGAAATAAAGGGCTGTAGTTTCTCAAGTGGAAATTTAAGCAATACAGATATGTCAGGTGTTGTCATAACAATGTCAGATTTCAATTACGCAAATCTTTCATTTGCTTCTTTGATTGGCAGCAACTTAAGAAACTCAGAAAATACATGGAAGGACACAGTCTTTTGGTATACAGACCTCAGTAATGCAAAGCTTTCAGAAGAATTAGGACATGTGTTGAAAAAGGGGGATGATATAAATTTGGAAGGCTCTTCCATATTATCCCATCCTTCAGGTAAAAAAAAACAAAAAAATTACACATTAATATTGATAATGACATGAAGTCAAGACAAGATGAAGTTAAAAATCTTATTTATTGGAAGTACTTTACTCCTTGTCCATTATCACTGTTATATGTGTTCTAATAGTTTTGTTCATGTGCATAATGTGGCACAATTCTAAGACAATTCTTTGTGTGAATACAGCAAAATAGCCAGCTAATTTTTACTGTTTAAAATTATACACATTTCAGAAGACTGACTTGAAGTACTGGTATTGATAGCATATGAAAATACAGTTGTAACTGAAATTTAGATTTAAAAATTGGAATAACAGTTTGATCGCAGTTTTCCCTTTTCAGAGGAGATGGCTACTAAAAGTAAAACAGTTCATGAAGATGATCCCACAACAGAAGTCAAATCACGTAGAGAAGGAGCAGAAGCTGTTGGTAATACATATTTAAAATTTTGAAAAGTTGTGTGAAGTTGATTTAAAAACCAAAACAAACATTAACTTTAAGAAAATAAACATTAATTGTTATTTATTTGCATTATTTGATCAAGAACTTCGTAGTAATTAAAATTGCAAGTGTGCCCCTGTACATTTAACATTAGAGTTCATACAATTTTCTCAAAAGCTATAACAAGCAATTTTGAATGATGTTATAATTTAAGTATGTTTTATCAAGAGAAAGTCTTCCAAGATGTTCAGTCTAAGAAAGCTTCCCAGTTACCTGAGAGTGAGGAAGAGTCTTCAGATGACAGTGAAGAAGATCCTGATACAGTGGACAGTTTCCAGGAGTCTGGTGACACTTACGCAGTTTTTTTACCCATGGAGCCTGACAGAGGTACTGGTCTACATATTTATAACTGCATGAATATGATGACTAAATGGTTAAACTGGATGATATCATATTGTAGATGATGCATGTAATAATTCTTGGATTGGAGCCACATCTTATTAATCTTTGTAGTTGACAGTTCCTTAACCTTTGGTGAATGTGAGTGTGTTGTCTATGTTATAACATCATATGTATAGAACATGTCACATTCCAAATGGAACCAAATTTGTAAGAAAAAACCTCTATGAAGCTGTGTTGGACATTTTCATCTATGCTAGCAGACCTGTATTGTGCATTATGTTTTCTAGGGAAGATGCAAACACCTTTGAGTGAACTTAGTGAAGACAAATCTCAGCGTAAGTTTAACTAATTCCATGATCATTAGTCAATAGAGATAAATTTTCATTGCCTTTGACTGGTAAATTACCAGTCATGCAGAATACAGAATTTCAAAGATTTTAATAAAGAATAAAGGGTCAACGAAGAATGTTCCAATACCGTACATCCAAGCAGTAAAACAGAGCAACAGTTTTGTTCAAAGTGATCTAAGTGTAACAGTAGGAGGTATAATGAGAAAAATATGGCAGAACAAATGAATAGCATTTTATAACGTTGTTTCAGAGATCAGACAAGAAGCAGACCAGCTAAATGCAGCAATGACAGGGTCAGGGGACGTCAACTTTGTGTATGCCTGGGCAGCATGCGATGCAAGAGACCTCCATAACGTTTTCCTGGTAGTCTATGTTCGTAGCCTGGAAGAAAATCGTTGCTTGTTTTTGAAACAGAAGCTGGAGGAAATGAAATGTGCCAAGTACAAAATATGGCTGTTCAACAAACCAATTAGATCCAAGTTTCCTAGGTGCCCCAACAATATGGAACCAGTTCCACCTAATTGGGTTAGTAAAATGTGGAAGACTTTATATGAACATTCCATGAAGTTATTCCAAGAGCACAGCAATATTTCTTATATGACTGCCAGTAAATTTGAAATTGATCGAAATGGTCAGTGTCACAGAAAAGATTGTGTTGTAGTGTACGTTAGGGACAAAGGTTACATTCCAGCCAATGAAAGAAGTTTTCCAAAAAGATTGCCCAACGGTATATCTGTAGATGTCAGGGGAGGTTATTACTGCCCATTAATGGATGACAAAGAAGGGGCTGGGACCACTGTAGGTTGGGCTGGGGTTCCTAGAAGGGTGGCACAAGCTGGGGCTGGGGCTGCTGGGGAAGGGGCTGGGTCTCAAACAGAAAGTGCTGGTGCCCTAGAAGAAATGACAAGGAACTGCAGTGGAGATAGTGCTCCTGGTGTGGAAGCGGGAGGTTCTGGGGGCAGGGATGTTGCTGCTGGGGAAGGGACTAGGTCTCCAGTAGAAAGCACTAGACCTGGGGGAGTAACAGGGGCCATGACAGGAGGTGGTGCTCCAAATGTGGAAAACAGAGGTATTGGGAGCAGAGGTTGGGCTCATGGGGAAAAAATTGAATTTCTTAGAGCAGCAGTTGAGGGTTTTGGGGGAGACACTAGAGGTGCATTTAAACAGCATTTAACTATAGGTTGTGGTATCAGCAGGCACAATGACCATTTATATGGCACAGGGACACTGGGAATGTTTGTCAAAGATAAGCTGACCAAGGAGATTGGTCTGCTTACTGCTGCTCACACTCTGATCGCTCGAACACAGATGGTTATTCCTGTGCCTGAGGAAATTGATCCACTAGCACTCCCAATGGAAGGAAGTATGTATCCTAGTGACAGAAGTTTTACAGCGCAAGTGTCTGATGAACAGACTGAAGAAGCCAGTGAGCAGGGTACTAATTCTCCTCATTCTGTACCTACTACCACCCCTCAAGAGAGCGCCAATGCCTCCCCAAATTTAAGGTCATCTCCTGTTGTTGGACCTGTACAACCATCTCTTCAGATTTCACCCTTCACTTCCTTGCCAGCAGGTTCAAGACCGGCAACATTTTCGACTGGCAAAGAACCACTAATGTTACCTGAAGCTTCTGGCTACACATCATGTCCTGATGCAGTGATTCGTTCTCAGTCTCGCAGTCCAGTGGCACAGACTTGTGTAGCTGAAACAAATCAACCTATCTCAAAAATGGCAAATGTGTCATCCACTTCCAGACCACAAAACATAACGACTTCTACTTTAGACTCATTACGACATAGGACCCCATCTGAAAGTGCTTTGCCTCAGGATATGCCACCCACCCTGGTCCCCAATCCCCAAATATCCCCTCTTAACCTACGGGGTCCACAATTCCGCATGCAGGGGAGCTCTGAAGAATTACCAGCAGAAACATTTGTGGTACAGCCCTCAGAGGGGGAGGTCAGCTGGCTGCGTTGGTCTTCAGATGGGAATGAAAGATATGATGTGGAAAATAGAAAATGTGCTGAAGTTAAAAGCCCACGGATGTATTGTTATGGGGTCAGTCAAAGTAGAAATTGCGATTTTTTGCTAAAATTGTACCATCAGAGAGATCAGCCTGGTCCTGTTCCAGTGGGTATTGATGCCGTTTTTGCTTCAATTTTGAAACCACGCCAGCCAGAAAATTCTTCATTCTTGCAAGGTAAAGTGTCCTTTGATGAACCCAATATCCTCAATTTGGATAATATTGTAGAGATTTTAAATGGTGAATGGGAAGCTGAACCATGTATAAGAAAAGAATTAGATGGTACATTCAGTTTGGAAGTCTTCAAATATGGGTATAGGACACAACTCACAAGGGGTAAATTGGATTTTGTTGGTGGAATTCCCTCAGTCATTTCCAGGTATGGTTGTAGTTCAAATGCCAACATCTTACCAAACCAAATGGAAGTTCAGTTATTTGATCAGTCACCAGCATTTGCAGACCATGGCGACTCCGGTGCCATCGTTTTCACAATTTTGAAACAATCTCTGTATGTAGTGGGAATGGTGATAGGAAGGATTGGTGAAAAAATTGTAGTGACACCAATAGAACCTATCTTTGAAAAATTAGGGCTTGAATTTTTGGAAAAGCAGGATTACCTAACAGCTTGAAATACATAAACTGGTTGTGATAGGATTTGAAAACTTGCAGAAACATAATTGTAAATATTGTATTTTTTATTTATATAACTATATGTATAACATGCAGGAGAAGAATATTGAAAAAATAAAGGCACAAGTAAGTCATTATTTTTATTTTTTATTACCGACTGGAACGTACAGGAAACTTGAAGAAAAAACTGAAAACTGATAAATCTCCAGCACTCCAAATTATAGTGTAATATTAAAAGTTTCATAAGTGTTTCCTGCTCATGTAATGTTGTCACCACAATTGTTACAACAGCATTTCTTTCTACAGATCCAATTGCTTTCAGAGACAAATAATAAATGGGCAAAAACTATCAAACAGAATCATGTGTACACATGTAAATTAACTTAGAAACCATTCCCACAGACATTTAGATTGATCTATCCCCCTGGAGAGTCTCACTAGATTGCTGTCAGCTTACCCGGCTTAAATGTCTGTGCCTCCTACTAAAAGCTGTAAGGGGATAATTAACTTTAGTGTGTGCTCGGCTCCCAGAAGCTGACAGCAATTTAGCATGAACCCCCAGGGAGTCAAGTTGATCCAGATGGATCGATCCAAATCTGTGGCAACCCAGTCTTAGAAAAATATAAAAGGTGTCCTGTCCAGGAAATTCATGCTTAGTATTTTCGTTGAATAAAATTTACTTCCCTCTCACAAGTCATTGCTTGATGCATCTTAATATACACTTGGATTCAATGTCTTATACCTCATTCAAGCATTGTATCAGAACCAACCAGCCACTAACAGAAGAATGTGAATCCAAGACTATGAATATAGAAAGAGTCCAGCAAGGCTGCATCTAACCAGCATCCCTTTTGACCTATACAGTGCACAGATCCTACAAAATAAGCAGCAAAACTCGACCTCTGCTATGCAGATGATATCACACTCACAGCAAACAATAACAAGGCAGCAAAGCNGCCACTGACAAAGATATATTGCAGAGACACCCATCCCTAGCTTCTAAATCACTTCTCAATCATTGAGTTGGCTTTTTTATCTTAATTCAAGTGCTTTGTAGTACATGTATGGTGCAAGTAACATAGGATTTTTTACTACATATAATATTTGGCAACAAAATTTCTCTTTGATACTACAGTAATGTTGTGTTTAAAAGTTTACCCATATTAAAATATATCTAACAGCAAGATGTTAACACAATGTGTTGATTGGAAGACTGCAAAACATGTTATACATGTATATAGCCATGTACAATTTATATATGTAGATATCATACTAGTAAACATACAGTACTGCTGTACTTAACAGTACTGATTCCAGTACTCCCACATAAAATAAACAATAAACTTACTACCAGGTACTTAAAAGTCATGTAAAAACCAACAGTTTTATAACCTTTTGATTTGGGATAAGATATATCATACATATATGATACATCAGATTGTCATGATTTTCTCTTCAGATTCATTTTGAAAACATTACAGTGCATGTACTTCACAATGGAAGAAAAAAAAGAAAAAATGGAAGGAGCAGCAAAACCGACAAAAATCAGCTTAATCAGCACTAAAACATTTAAAACAGATGTAATAGATTTCTTCCTCTGGAAGAAAAAGAAACAAGCAAACACCCCAGAAATTCAGAAACTGAAGCATCTCCCTGAAGCAAATATATACAAAGTCATATATGATGTTGCAAATGAAATTGCTGTTTGCTACGGGTGCCAGATTGGATCTTTGAACACCAACTCTGATGTTCACTCTTTGGCAGAATTTGCTGTATTCTGCATGCTTGAAACACTAAGATGTGAAGACGACCCCTTTAATCGGAACCGCATGTTGTTGTCTATTCTGGAGAGAAATGATTTGTCAGTTCTGAAAAGGAATCATGGGTTTGAGGATAGAGAGGTGTTTACTACATCTGGCAAAACATGGCGTCTGTCAGAAATCTTCAGAGAACCAGGTATTTGCATGCCAGTTGTGGAGAAAGAAAAAGGAGACATCAAAATGATGTTATATCAAGGAACGGCAGGTGAAGAGAAATATGGTTTTAGATTTCCACTTACTGTGTGGGATGAGGATCAACAGAAGTTTGCTGTATATGACGGTGATCAGCAATATATGGACAGCTGTGACCAGAGAGAAGATGATAAACACTCTCTACTGTCAACTCAGAGCCTGCCAACATTGGTCCTCTATAACTCGGATCTTTTCCTAGAGTACATTGAGAAAGCTGCATCTGAAAAGAAAAAGATGACTTTTGGTGATTTTGTGAACGGAAAAGCCAAAGAGCCCTACTTGTTCATTGTGCTTCGGCCTGTTGATGGTTTTTCATCTACCACTACGCCATTCCTTGAGACTATGACACAATGCGACTTTTCAAACACCGATTTGTCTTTCCTGAGGTTTTCAAAGATCACAAAAGAAATAAAGGGCTGTAGTTTCTCAAGTGGAAATTTAAGCAATACAGATATGTCAGATGTTGTCATAACAGAGTCAGATTTCAGTTATGCAGATCTTTCATTTGCTTCTTTGATTGGCAGCAACTTAAGAAACTCAGAAAATACATGGAAGGACACAGTCTTTTGGTATACAGACCTCAGTAATGCAAAGCTTTCAGAAGAATTAGGACATGTGTTGAAAAAGTGGGATGATATAAATTTGGAAGGCTCTTCCATATTATCCCATCCTTCAGGTAAAAAAACTAAAAAATTACACGTTAATATTGATAATGACATGAAGTCAAGACAAGATGAAGTTAAAAATCGTATTTATTGGAAGTACTTTGCTCATTGTCCATTATCACTGTTATATGTGTTCTAATAGTTTTGTTCATGTGCATAATGTGGCACAATTCTAAGGTAATTCTTTGTGTGAATACAGCAAAATAGCCAACTAATTTTTACTGTTTATAATTATACACATTTCAGAAGACTGACTTGATGTACTGGTATTGATAGCATATGAAAATACAGTTGTAACTGAAATTTAGATTTAAAAATTGGAATAACAGTTTGATCGCAGTTTTCCCTTTTCAGAGGAGATGGCTACTAAAAGTAAAACAGTTCATGAAGATGATCCCACAACAGCAGTCAAATCACGTAGAGAAGGAGCAGAAGCTGTTGGTAATACATATTTAAAATTTTGAAAAGTTGTGTGAAGTTGATTTAAAAACCAAAACCAAAATAAACATTAACTTTAAGAAAATAAACATTAATTGTTATTTACTTGCATTATTTGATTAAGAACTTCGTAGTAGTTAAAATTGCGAGTGTGCCCCTGTACATTTAACATTAGAGTTCATACAATTTTCTCAAATGCTATAACAAGCAATTTTGAATGATGTTATCATTTAATTATGTTTTATCAAGAGAAAGACTTCCAAGATGTCCAGTCTAAGAAAGGAGCTTCCCAGTTACCTGAGAGTGAGGAAGAGTCTTCAGATGACAGTGAAGAAGATCCTGATACAGTGGACAGTTTCCAGGAGTCTGGTGGCACTTACGCAGTTTTTCTACCCATGGAGCCTGACAGAGGTACTGGTCTACGTATTTATTAGGTATCAGGACAATTCCCCCCCGGTGATGACTAAATGGTTAAACTGGATTATATCATATTGTAGATGATGCATGTAATAATTCTTGGATTGGAGCCACATCTTATTAATCTTTGTAGTTGACAGTTCCTTAACCTTATGTGAATGTGAGTGTGTTGTCTATGTTATTACATCATATGTCACATTCCAAATGAAACCAAGTTTGTAAGATAAAAGCTCTATGAAGGTGTGTTGGACATTTTCATCCATGCTAGCAGACCTGTATTGTGCATTATGTTTTCTAGGGAAGATGCAAACACCTTTGAGTGAACTTAGTGAAGACAATTCTCAGCGTAAGTTTAACTAATTCCATGATAATTAGTCAATAGAGATAAATTTTCATTGCCTTTGACTGGTAAATTACCAATCATGCAGAATACAGAATTTCAAAGATTTTAATAAAGAATAAAGGGTCAACGAAGAATGTTCCAATACCGTACATCCAAGCAGTTGAAAAACAGAGCAACAGTTTTGTTCAAAGTGATCTATGTGTAACAGAAGATAGGAGGTATAATGAGAAAAATATGGCAGAACAAATGAATAGTATTTTATAACATTGTTTCAGAGATCAGACAAGAAGCAGACCAGCTAAATGCAGCAATGGCAGGGTCAGGGGACGTCAACTTTGTGTATGCCTGGGCGGCATGCGATGCCAGAGACCACCATAACGTATTCCTGGTAGTCTATGTTCGTAGCCTGGAAGAAAATCGTTGCTTGTTTTTGAAACAGAAGCTGGAGGAAATGAAATGTGCCAAGTACAAAATATGGCAGTTCAACAAACCAATTAGATCCAAGTTTCCTAGGTGCCACAATATGGAACCAGTTCCACCTAATTGGGTTAGTAAAATGTGGAAGACTTTATATGAACATTCCATGAAGTTATTCCAAGAGCACAGTAATATTTCTTATATGACTGCCAGTAAATTTGAAATTGATCGAAATGGTCATTGTCACAGAAAAGATTGTGTTGTAGTGTACGTTAGGGACAAAGGTTACATTCCAGCCAATGAAAGAAGTTTTCCAAAAAGATTGCCCAACGGTATATCTGTGGATGTCAGAGAAGGTTATTACTGCCCATTAATGGACCACGAAGAAGGGGCTGGGACCACTCTTGGTTGGGCTGGGGCTCCTAGAAGGGTGGCAAGAGCTGGGGCTGCTGGGGAAGGGACTGGGTCTCCAACAGAAAGTGCTGGTGCCCTAGAAGAAACGGCAAGGAACCATAGTGGAGATGGTGCTCCTGGTGTGGAAGCGGGAGGTTCTGGGGGCAGGGATGGGGCTGCTGGGGAAGCAACTGGGTCTTCAGTAGAAAGCACTAGACCTGGAGGAGTAACAGGGGCCATGAGAGGAGGTGGTGCTCCAAATGTGGAAAACAGAGGTATTAGGAGCAGAGGTTGGGCTCATGGGGAAAAAATTGAATTTCTAAGAGCAGCAGTTAGGGGTTTTGGAGGAGAGACTAGAGGTGAATTTAAACAGCATTTAACTATAGGTTGTGGTATCAGCAGGCACAATGACCATTACTATGGCACAGGGACACTGGGAATGTTTGTCAAAGATAAGCTGACCAAGGAGATTGGTCTGCTTACTGCTGCTCACACTCTGATCGCTCAAACACAGATGGTTATTCCTGTGCCGGAGGAAATTGATCCACTAGCACTCCCAATGGAAGGAAGTATGTATCCTAGTGACAGAAGTTTTACAGCGCAAGTGTCTGATGAACAGACTGAAGAAGCCAGTGGGGAGGGTACTAATTCTCCAAGTTCTGTACCTACAACCACCCCTCCAGAGAGTGCCAATGCCTCCCCAGATTTAAGGCCATCCCCTGTTGTTGCACCTGTACAGCCATCCCATCAGATTTCACCCTTCACTTCCTTGCCAGCAGGTTCAAGACCGGCAACATTTTCGACTGGCAAAGAACCACTAATGTTACCTGAAGCTTCTGGCTACACATCATGTCCTGATGCAGTGATTCGTTCTCAGTCTCACAGTCCAGTGGCACAGACTTGTGTAGCTGAAACAAATCAATCTATCTCAAAAATGGCAAATGTGTCATCCACTTCCAGACCACAAAACATAACGACTTCTACTTTAGACTCATTACGACATAGGACCCCATCTGAAAGTGCTGTGCCTCAGGATATGCCACCCACCCTGGTCCCCAATCCCCAAATATCCCCTCTTAACCTACGGGGTCCACAATTCCGCATGCAGGGGAGCTCTGAAGAATTACCAGCAGAAACATTTGTGGTACAGCCGTCAGAGGGGGAGGTCAGCTGGCTGCGTTGGTCTTCAGATGGGAATGAAAGATATGATGTGGAAAAAAGAAAATGTGCTGAAGTTAAAAGCCCACGGATGTATTGTCATGGGGTCAGTCAAAGTAGAAATTGCGATTTTTTGCTAAAATTGTACCATCAGAGAGATCAGCCTGGTCCTGTTCCAGTGGGTATTGATGCCGTTTTTGCTTCAATTTTGAAACCACGCCAGCCAGAAAATTCTTCATTCTTGCAAGGTAAAGTGTCCTTTGATGAACCCAATATCCTCAATTTGGATAATATTGTAGAGATTTTAAATGGTGAATGGGAAGCTGAACCATGTCTAAGAAAAGAATTAGATGGTACATTCAGTTTGGAAGTCTTCAAATATGGGTATAGGACACAACTCACAAGGGGTAAATTGGATTTTGTTGGTGGAATTCCCTCAGTCATTTCCAGGTATGGTTGTAGTTCAAATGCCAACATCTTACCAAACCAAATGGAAGTTCAGTTATTTGATCAGTCACCAGCATTTGCAGACCATGGCGACTCCGGTGCCATCGTTTTCACAATTTTGAAACAATCTCTGTATGTAGTGGGAATGGTGATAGGAAGGATTGGTGAAAAAATTGTAGTGACACCAATAGAACCTATCTTTGAAAAATTAGGGCTTGAATTTTTGGAAAAGCAGGATTACCTAACAGCTTGAAATACATAAACTGGTTGTGATAGGATTTCAAAACTTGCAGAAACATAATTGTAAATATTGTATTTTTTATTTATATAACTATATGTATAACATGCAGGAGAAGAATATTGAAAAAATAAAGGCACAAGTAAGTCATTATTTTTATTTTTTTATTACCGACTGGAACGTACAGGAAACTTGAAGAAAAAACTGAAAACTGATAAATCTCCAGCACTCCAAATTATAGTGTAAAAGTTTCATAAGTGTTTCCTGCTCATGTAATGTTGTCACCACAATTGTTACAACAGCATTTCTTTCTACAGATTCAATTGCTTTCAGAGACAAATAATAAATGGGCAAAAACTATCAAACAGAATCATGTGTACACATGTAAATTAACTTAGAAACCATTCCCACAGACATTTAGATTGATCTATCCCCCTGGAGAGTCTCACTAGATTGCTGTCAGCTTACCCGGCTTAAATGTCTGTGCCTCCTACTAAAAGCTGTAAGGGGATAATTAACTTTAGTGTGTGCTCGGCTCCCAGAAGCTGACAGCAATTAAGCATGAACCCCCAGGGAGTCGAGTTGATCCAGATGGATCGATCCAAATCTGTGGCAACCCAGTCTTAGAAAAATATAAAAGGTGTCCTGTCCAGGAAATTCATGCTTAGTATTTTCGTTGAATAAAATTTACTTCCCTCTCACAAGTTATTGCTTGATGCATCTTAATATACACTTGGATTCAATGTCTTATACCTCATTCAAGCATTGTATCAGAACCAACCAGCCACTAACAGAAGAATGTGAATCCAAGACTATGAATATAGAAAGAGTCCAGCAAGGCTGCATCTAACCAGCATCCCTTTTGACCTATACAGTGCACAGATCCTACAAAATAAGCAGCAAAACTCGACCTCTGCTATGCAGATGATATCACACTCACAGCAAACAATAAAAATGACTTTCAAACTCTCACAAAGACAGTGACGGATGAAAGTAAAGATGCAGGTCTTTGGCTGAACATCAAGAAAAAATTCCTAGCCATACTGATGGCAGCTGCAGGCCAAAGATATTGAAAAACATACAACGAGGGCGAAGAGCAATGGCAGACATGACAAGAATTTGGAGGGATTGTGCTGTATCAGCAAGGACCAAATAACACCCAGTGAGAAGAATAGTGTTCTCAACAGCCTTGTATGATGCGGAGACTTGGACCACCAACCCCCGACAAGTGCAAGAATTTTCAAGCTTTTGAAATTTGGTGCTGGAGAGTGGTGTGAAAAATTTTATGGATGAAACACATCAGAAATGCAGAAATCTTGAACAAAAAGGGTATTCACAATGGATGGTCAAGTTACCAACATGGAGCCAATTTCCTTTTGTCAAGTTGCCAGAGTTATCACAGATGGAAAAAAATGCTGATAAAGGAGAGAAATGTTTCCCTATTGTGACTTCCCATCAGAATTCCCATTTTTAAACTAGTATACATAGTATATGCTTTCATAATAACAAAGGAAAATGTCAAAAAAATGACAAAAATTCAACCTTTGCTTCCATAATAATTTTCATGTAAAAGTATATATTAGAATATAAATTTGATCACTGATATGATAAATTTCAAATAACATTTTTACAAAACAATCAAAATCTTTGACTGCATTAAAGTTTTACTAGTTAAAATACAGTAACTCACAAAAACTGCATATACAAAGTTTACCAATGTCTTTTTTAACATAAATAAATATATACATTTTAGAAATCTTACAAGTAACTAAAGTAATATCAATACTCAGACAAAACATGACTGCTATACATAATGTACTTTCACCAGAAATTCTACAACACACTTCAAGATTTAGAAAAATAATGATGTAGGGTATTATAAACTGATGTTTTGCTTTTCTTAGGATTATGTCTCCCGGGCTGATTATCAGATTTTCTCTTTGCTGCAGAGGATGGAAAACCAGTGGCATTGGTGGAGGCACTTGCACCGTTACACTGTTTCTGTAACTCCAATGCAAAGTGATAGTCCAGGTGTTCAGGTAGCTCCCAAGCCGAGATTTTCCTACCACATTTCTCACATGTTTGCATGTCCAATTCGTCCACTGCACTTGTGGAAGGATTGCCAGGCAATGGGCCTGTGGTCATTTTCTGAACTGACCCTATGTGGTCATTTAATAGCAAAGAAGCTCCCTCTTTGATTTCAAAGTTGTATTCCCGTTGTTCTCTCTCTGCACAATTAACTTTAATATTAGCATTTCCATTCAACTTTTCGTAAGTTCCTTGACAAGTTCGTGCATTGGTCAATACTTTACTAAATGCTGAATCATTTTGCACTTTATCACAGTCTACTTCTAATACTTCACATACTGCAGAGCCATGATCCCCATCTAGTGCTTCCAGAGAACAGTCAACTTTAACATATTTTGATTCAAAATCCTTTTGAATCAATTTGGAGTTTCTGTGTGATTCATTCAGAGGCAATTTGGTTACTTTGCTTTTGAAGAAACTTTCAATTCCCCCTCTAATTTTCACAGGAGACTTACTTGCACTAGGACTGGAATCATTGTTGACAACAGTTGCACTTATTTTGGACCCTTTTTTACTTTTAGATAAAGGCTTTTGTTTACTTTTGCTGTCACTGACAAGGAATTGCTTGATGGTGGGGTTAGCAGTATTGGACATTTCATCAAATTTCCCTGCAGACATACCAAGGCATATGATGGCCGGAACCCTATTAAAAATTATATAAATGTTAGTTACTCATCTTAATAAATGGCTGAAACAAAGATCATGGTGGTCAATATTCTGACAAAAGTGTTGAACATTTTAATTTTTCACTGCAATATTTTTCATTTAATTTTATAAGAATACAATGCCAGCTAGAGGAACCAAAAATAAACTATTAAAACTCGAGACTTTTTCCTCATGGAAAAACTAAAATATCCTGCAGTTTTAGTATTTAAGATTTTTTTAATCATTATGAGAATTAAATATTGTAAGCAGAATTCAAATCAGTCATAATTGAAAATGACACAATATTACCATGCAGACTGATGAGGACCAGCAGTGTTGAACTTCTGTAGCAAAGAGAAAGCATCATCACAAATCTTCTTCCTTTCATATTTCACAATCGCACAAGAGCGTGATGACGACACTGGATTGGGGTTGCTAAGGTAGCGCACACTTACATTTAAGTGTTTAGCAACTCTGTTGTTCTAGAAACAAATGTATTAAATACAGATCTACAAACATGTATTTCATGTTAACTCCATGCATGGCCTGGTAAGATTTACCTTTAGGAACAATTCACCTTGCTTTTAGGAATTAACCAAGAAAACAGTTGGACAGGACTGTCCACTACCAGAGACAAATTTTGTGAGATTTAAATTTTAAGACGCAAACCTTCATGCCAGTCACCATCTTTGCAAACCAAGAGCACATATCCTAACTTTATTGCCCTTGACTAAAAAGTAATGTTTCTACTGTCAAATCAGAAAACGAACAAAGTTACGTTCTAATAAGTGAAGATTTCCCCAATTACATGCAGACTTGTGTTATATTTAATATCACCAATCTTCAGAGAAATACACTAAGAGACAGTATGTGCGTGTCTGTGTGCGTGCGAGCATGCGTGTACCTGTGTATGTGCATGAGAACCCCACCACATATACAGGATGGCATTATGAATGTACTTGTTTATCACTTGTACTTGTTTACAATCAATCATCACATAATTCTGTGTTACATAAGAGAATTATCTGTCAAAAGAAATTTTGCCAGACTTTACATACCACTTCTTTGTCTTTGATCAAACGTTCTTCCAACTCTCCAGAAAGTTGATCCAACCAATACCTTACCTAGAAAGATTTAAAAAACTGTACGTTTCAATTTTATCTAACTGGGAGCTGATTTCCGTCTGCTTTAACTACAAATGCAACCATTTCATTTTGAGAAATATGAAAATATTTTTAATCAATTCTTTTATTTCATTTTGAGAAATATGATAATATTTCAAATCAATTCTCTTGCAAAACATCCACTAAGTATTATCAGACTTTTCACCGAAAACAGACAAGTTGCACTTACTTTTTCCCTGGTGTCAAGGCAGTTCTTTCCAGTGAAATTCTTACTACATCCAATAGACTTTGCCAGTTGTCTGGCTGACACTGCTTCATGTTCTTCCCCTCTACACACAGCAAACAGCCAAGATCTAAATAAACATTATTACAGTAGGTAAAAAGGGTTTAAAAGAAATGAACTAACACCATTTTTATTCTCAAATTCTACTATGATATGCATAAGTTTATCACCAGATGGAAGTTCCAACTTGAACTGTGAATTCACCACTTTTGACATTTAAATGCAATTTCAAAGGAGGTCATTTTATATGTGCATCTACTCTAATACTGTTCATCAATCTTCATAGAGAATTTATGCATAATATTATCAAGTATTTGCTAACATTTGCTTGTATATTTTCCAAGTGTTCCATAAGCCAAGTCTTTGAAAACAAATAAAAAACATTTTCTTTAATCCTTTAATATAAAATTACCTTTCATGAAAATACTGTCTTCCCACATATCCAATATATCAACACCGTTCTGTTATACTTACCCAGCTTTTTCTCCAAAATAGTTCTGCAGCTGTTGTTCAGAATATTTACAGATGTCTGCCACATTTTCAACTCCCAGCTTTTGAATGACTTCCTCACCAAACTTCCCACCAAAACCTCTCCTACAGAAAACAATTATGATTCTTTTAATTCATTCCCTTGGTTCTACTCATCTAACATGCAATCACAGTATCTGTATAACTCATGTAAATTGTTTTAACAGTTGCAGATGTGCAGATAACCAATTTATCTAAAAATGCCATCCAATGTCTTGAGTAAAACCTGTCATTAATTATATAACCATTACTTAATTACCATTCTTTAGTTCTAATATGCTATAAAGGAAGAACCTTTGCTTGTTCAACACAATTTTCTTTTTTTTTTCTAATGTAATAGTCAAATTTAAAATTCAACATGATCCAACTTACAGCTTAGTAACCTTCAAAGTAGTAAACATTTTATGAACTGATGAATGAGGAAGAACTGTCTGCTTGTTAGGCTTATGTACGCCACAGGAAAACTTTGCTAGCATCTGAAAAATATTTATAAATGAAGATATGATAGTCAAGTTACCAAAGTAGGCATATTGTGATCTAGTCCAAAAGAAGCCATTTTAAAAAAACCTTGTGTTACTCCTTGTCCCCTCTTGCTAGGCCTAGGTCAATCAAAAACTAAGGTTGCTTTATGGCCAAGGTAACTTTTATCCAGAAGATGCATGTGTCAAGCACTTATGCCAAAAATTGTGATCAAGTCAAATAAAACTGAAATATCTTAGTGAAAACGACACCTAAGAAATGGAGAAAAAACACTCAGCTTACAACTAGTTTTCAAAAGGAAAATTATTTGTTATAATGTAGTAACTTGTTCTTCACCTTATTGTGAGCAATACCAGCTGAACACCTGAACCCAGTTTCCTTGTACACAGCAGCCCTCATCTCCTCTGCTATGACAGCCCCCACAGCCAGCCTCACGTCCTGGTCACTGACAGCGTCATAACATGTGGACAGCCAGTCCTTAACTCCTTGCTCACGGAGATCTGAGGAGGAAAATGGTTAGTCAAACAGCCACAGCTTATCAACTTTGAAAAACTAGAGGATCAGAGAGGCGATACCGCCTCCGAATATTGTACCACCAGCTGGAGCAAGCGCATTCGTACAGACCCCCACATACACAAAATAAGGGACACAGCCACCAGTCTTGTGCTTGACAAGCTGTAAAAATGCAATCAACNCATGTGACGCAGACTTCAGATTGCTGGTTATTTTACACAATTTTACCATATATTCTAAAACTTCTGTCGAGTACGAATCATGGATAGGAACACAGGAAAATTCTACCCATCCCTAAGCCTTCACTGATATTCCCTTGCAAGAAACAAAACAAATAAAAAAAATTAGCACTTTTTTTTAAACAGAAATCCTCAAAAAAATTTTAAAATCTACGAAAGATACCTAAGCCATCTTGTGTCTTCTGGCTGTCTTCACCCTCCCATCCTACAACATAAGTGTTCTGGAGTTGACTTGCAAGTATCCTGGTGTTCCCTATTTCATTTAGCCTCTCCTCAACTTCTGCAGTGAGGTCAAGATATGCCTCGTCAATACTGGCCCTCTCTACACATTTACAGAACTTGGACAAAGTTGCAATCACTTCTGCTCCTGCTTCTCTGAATCTGGGAAGAGCAGTGATAAACAGATAGAATTTTCTTTATTTAAGTTCTGTTGACTGACATCTTTTGTTGATTTTATCCTGGCAATAAATATACTCAAGAAAAAAATGAAATAATTTCTACACTTCAACTAAACAACAATTATGAGAAAGTGACTATAAATTAATTTTGTAATCAACCAGTCTTTCTGATACAAGAATCTTCAACTTTTAAATTATAATAATGCCTACATTTTTAAATCTCAATAACAACTCACTTAGTAAGATCAGCCTTCCCTCTTACTTCTGGCACTCGACAGAGAACAATATCTGGACATTTTTTCTTGGCCTCATCTCCTCTCATCTGCCTGGTTACACCACAGGCTCTGGCTTCATAACCCACGGCAATTATACTGTAAAACAAACTCTTAACTTGTGAGCATTGACATCTATCAACTTAGTATAAAAATGATTTTACTTCTTACTTATCAAAGACATGCGATGTAACTCAATGACACAAAGTGAGATTTTTTTCTTAAAATTTGTTACAAAGTGAAAGAGAATATTTCGCACAAAGAAAGGTGTGTAACATGTGTCATTCCACTTCATTTACTAAATTACTACAAAAATCTTCACAATCTTTAAAGATCAGTAAACCAAATACTTCTTGCTTATGCACACATGCCACTGATCAAACTATTTAGCATTATGTCAAGCAATCACCCACCCTCCTCCTTTCCATGCATTATACTGTACTACAGCACATGGTTTTCCTTTCAGTGCTGGGTTAAGTCTCTGTTCCACTTGTACATAGAAACAGTCCATATCCACCAAAGCTATAACTCTGTCCATGGTCTTCTGAATTCTGAAAAAAAAAAAGGACACAAAACTTCTGTTTATAAAAATAAGCTTTAAAAGACATTAATACCAATCATTAATACCTCCCCCCCCCCCCCCCAGTATTACCCTCCAACACAGCCAGTATATATCAGAACCGTCAACAGGAGTGCTAATGAATGGATTTTTGTGCTACTCCATAATAGGTTGCATATGAGGTGGGTAGGTTAATCAATGTCTCTGCTACTCAAAATAGTCTGGGAATTTATTAATTATCAATATTTTTGGTTAAACTATTAAACTTTCAAGTTCTTAGACTTGTGAGACTATTTATATGATCAATACCCGTTACAGGTAAGGCCATCATTCTATCATCTATGGCCAGTTCTTGCGTTGGCGTTGCATAATCTCACTAGTAAACTCAATGACATTGTTAGCTCATTCCCAGAGTGTTCTATCTACAGAAATCTAAATACATGGAAAAAATATGTGCATATAACGTCTTATCAGTGAAAAATACATCCCTTACCCCTACAGGTATCATTAAATATTTTCATTCTCTCTTCCCTCAATTTTTTAGGTAAACCATTTCTGATCTTCTTTTACTGAAGAGCTAATAAGGTGAAGGTCACTTGGTAGGTAAACGATCATTTTTTGATAAAAAAATATGCAGATTTTCCAAGCACTAGACAAGTTTTTGTGCGTCTGAAGTATTTTAATTTTTTCTCGGTTTAAGGAAGGCGACAGCTGTGGCACAGGTGTACCATCTAATATCTACTGATAACTCCATTTACTTTTGTTTCAAACCACCCAAAACGGTGCAGGAAGCGATGTTTGTTTACAGAGGCGTTAAGTTATTATGTTAAGTAGCTGTGCAAAGTGAAACTAGGATGCAGATCATGCAGTTGTGTTGATTCGTGCCCGGTGCCTTAGTGCGCCCCTTATCTCTGTTTGCGTAAGCGGTGAGATATGATAGCGACTGTTCATACCTGATTCCACAGCATTTAGATTAGACCTACAGTAGTGGGTTACATGTACATGTACAGCGTACTGATATCGGATCTACTGGACTGGTATTAGAAGTGTATACACAGCAATGTTGTCCCGCGTCATTTTATAGGGATCGGGTTACATGTTTTTTATGTGCTGAAACTTTATTATCTTTACATACAACATAATGGCAAGTATCGGTGTTGTGTTTGTAGCAGCCAATTGAGCTTACTGTATGTTGTTTGTTCTAATCCAAACTGAAATGTGTGAAGTTGACGGCCATGGCGTAATAACTTAGCTTGAAGTTTATTTTTCTCCAGTTATTTAAACATAAATCCAGTATGAGAACCTCCACTATTTACCCTTGTTTATCTATTCTTGATAATTTTTGGCTTTTAGAATATATTATCAGTTTATCCTATTATATAATTTAAAAACTGATAAAATTTTCTCTTGTCACACAGTAGACAGCACAACTGTTACATTTATGATTTTAGGAAAATTTCAAGAAAAAAACGGGTGACCAAGACCCAGAAGAAGAGGTCCACTTGCTGACCATGGAAGACCACCCAGGGGACAATGGCCAAACAGCTGCAAGCAAGGAACAGGAATTGCAAGGTAGCACTCATATAGACACAGAAGATAGTGTCAAGATTCCTCCCCCTCCTGAGTTTGAAAGAAGGCGAAGTCAGCGTGAACGCGGTTCATTTAAAGGTGACAATTTTGGGTAGAACACATCTACTGCAGATATTTGCTTATTAACAACATTAGACTTTTTGTTCCAAAGCAGCATTTTTGTTTTGCTTTGCATTATATCTGAGTGAGGGTTGACCTTCCTTCAAATTGTGTGTAACATTCTTAGATTTTTTTTTATTATTTGCTGTATTGATATGTAATATGCAGTAGAGATGCACAGTCAAGAGATTACTAACATTTTAGAAGCTTTTAACATCAACAAGGGAAGGAAAAAATTTACTTACTGGTATGCATATTTCTTGCTTTCAACTAAATCCACTAAAATGAACATTTTAAAAAGCTTCACTTATGGATTAGTTAATATCTCTTTTGCTATTAACCTTTTATTTGAAATCTCCAGTAACATAATTGCATGTATAATATTTGCTTATATAAGAACATATGCATTATTTAATGTTAAACACTCAACTTGCTCTCGTTTTTCTGAAAATAAAGGTATAAACAACTTCTGTAATCTGTGCTCTTTTCTGTCTTTCTGCTTGTTATATAGCATTATTTCACTGTTAATTTACAGGTGTGGTCAGAAGGGTAATTTTTTCTCTTTTTTCCTTATAGATTAAGGTTGCATTTCATTAGTTAATGATTTTTTTTAAAATCTGATATGTATGTTCTGCACGTTTTTTCACACATTCTATCTTAAATTTTTTTAATGAAAGTCTCATAGACAGCATTAAATGGATAAATTTACATTACGTATAACAAGGTATATATCGTTTCTAAATTAAACTGTATTTGCACAAAACGTTATTCTATATTAATTACTGGTAATGGTTTAACATAATTAAATCTGGTCATGATGTAAAAAGTAAAATTCTAGAAGTAATTTTTATGTGAACTATTTTTACTACTAGTACAGATCTGCATAATAAGACTGTGAACATCATCAAATGTTTAGAACTGCACAAATATTGACAACATGTGGCGGCATAACTATGTTGTTATGTTTACACAGTGATTCACCTTGATGTTTACTCATACAGCACACTCACACTCAGTTTAATATTTTATTTGGGTTATAATTGAGTTGTGCATGTAAGCATTCGTTGCTCTCACACAAATAATAATTGGCGACCCTGGAACCCAAAGATTTTGAGATGTATAAGACACTCCAATGCATGTCATATTTATCAGCAATTATGTAGTAGACATTGGTAGTAGTACATGATATTGAAACAGTAATTTTTCATTTCAAAGTAAGCTTTCTACATCTTTTTACAGCCAGTAGGAAGCTTCATGTAACATGGGCAGGCTTGGACCAAGGTGTATATGAGCTTTGTACTGTAAGGTGGATGTTGTAGTATTGTTGAGATGTGTTCTGCACCAAGTTTGTCAAGACTGGACATGAGTTGACTTAAACTGATTTCACATATATTTTAAAAGGTTACTTTGAAGTCATTGAATCCACATGGACTTATAATTTACATTAATGTTTTTTTATGTATGATTTTATTTTATTTCAATACATACAAGGAGTACTATTTCATTTTTACATTTTTCTTCGTCTGTAATAGTGAAGGGGATGCTGGAAATATTAATATATTGTCATTTAGGTAACATCTTAGCTTTGGAATAAGTACCTCTTGAAAAATATTTGTTGTTGTTGTCTGCACATCCATATTTTATGCTTTTATGACTACATTCCTATTGATTTTAACATTAAGTACAGACTGCTTCAATTGAAATGATTTTCTTTGATTAATGAAATAACATATGTATATTTCAGAATGATCTGATGCTCAAAGAACCAGCTATTACTTTCTGTCACAATTATTTTGACATTTTATAAAAGCCTGCTGTATCTTTGCATCTGTGCATATGTTTGGTAAACTGCAATTTATTTAAGAAAGATGAAATATCTCACAAGGACTGAATTTATACATGTATAAATTTATTTTGGACAAAGATTAATGCATATTTTACGTAGTTCTTCTATAGGTTTTAAATAATTACATCACATATAAATTACTAGTCAAAATAAACTCCATACAAAGACAATACTGTAAACAACATATGCTAATTTTTATGGCTTAAGTTAAATGTTTTCATGTTCTTTTCAGATGATAAAACGTCTACACCTCAGAAGACGAGACCGCCACCTCTTGCAGCCCCTCAAATATCTCTCTCACCCAAGGGTAAGTTTCTTTCATATTTGGCTGGGGAGTATTGCCTGGTGGTATTGATTCAGTGTTCTCTGGTTTTTATGACTCATAAGAGTGATTATGCTTAATGATGACAGTACAAAATTTTTGTTGGTTCATGTCATGAAGTTTCCTTTCTTTATCAGGCAAAAGATAAGCTGTGTACAAGGAAATGTGGTAATCATTGTCAGAAAATGTAGAAAACACATGCATAATTTAAAACAAGGTGCCACTACTATAATCTTGTTTTTCATTTAATGTAGGTCAGTAAGAAGTGATATTGAGTTGGATATAGCTGGGAAATGTTCTACTTATGAAGCAAAGGATAACTGTCAAATTTCTTTAACTTCTGTAAAATTTATGAAATTGCAGCCATGGACATCTGTGTATTTCTCCCAGACATGACTGGGATACAGATGACTCTGGAAGATGGCAAGAATGCTACAGCTAGTGAAATATTTGAACTGGTGAAGGAGGAGCTTGAACTTCCTGCATCTTCTGCCTCTATATTTTCACTGTGGCTGACATCTCCTTTACTTGGTCAGTAAGGAGGAACATTGAATATTGCATGTGCATTAACCTTAAAAACAATTTAATGTTTTATACCTGTTTTTAATTGATATATGCATTGCTGTTCATTTTCTCTACACAGATTTATATAAAGGGGTAATGTTTTGTATCATAGCTCCTTGTGCATCTCATTTTGGTACCTATGATACAGACAAAAGTACATTTACAACAAAAAAATTAACTCCCTTTCAGAAGTTCAATTGAAACCTCACCATAGCCCATTCAAGTTAACTATGCAGTGGGATGAATTTTTGAGGAAATATACAGTGGAAACAGAAGATGAAATATTAAGAGGTAACTCTTGAAAAGAAAAATATTTTGTAATTAAAAGTATTTGGTATTTTACAAAAAAAAATTTTTCAGTTAACTTGATAGTCTTGTGAATAAACAAATGGTATTTAATGATGCTATTGTGTTATCTTTGCAGATGAACCATCTTTGGTTTTCCAGAGAAGTGTGTACTGTTCCAGGGCAAGAGAGGAGATGGTAAGCTCAGTTGTCTCATTAGATATTATTTAGCTCTGACTGTGTTGTGTGGCTCGGAAAAATATACAGAAGGAATTTGTTGATCGAACTTTTCTGTACCTCCACAATTGAATATGTTTAAGATAAGTACATTGGAAAAGTATTTCTCTATGCATTGCAGAGTGTTTAATGATATCCATACTCTAGATAAGATATGATTAATAAGATAAACATTCATTTTAGGTCTCAAACAACACAAGATTAATGATGAATTTTAAAAGTGAATCACGCAAATGTAATTTTATTTTCTTCCAGGAGGCAGATCCCAAAGTGCTCCGCCTGCTCTACCAAGAAGCAGTGCGTAATGTTGTAGAAGGCAGATATCCATGTGAAGAAGAAGTATATCTGAGATTAGCTGGACTGCAGGCATTAGAAACAATGGGAGCGTATAACCCAGAGACTCACACTGAAGATATTTATGAGTACGTTACACTTTTCAGAAAGATATTTGGAAACAATATATTATTATAGCATACTTATCAGCTCTGAATGCACTTCACAAAACATTTTGGCAGATATGCAAACAGCATGTTGTTTTTGCCTGCATTTAAATTAGAGCACTTAACTGAGTTAAACAAACATCCTTCTTTATAACAAGATAAGCGCTTCACGGCATGTAAGGTAATTAAGATTTTTTTTTATTGGTGCAGCATTACTTGACACACTCAATATCCTTTTTATTATTGTTAAAATATAATACTTGTACCTTTTAATCATTATTTTATTTTTCGTAGAAAAGAGCTTCATCAATATTTCCCAGATTATGTGATAGCTCATGGACAAAAGAAACTGTCCCGGCTGTTCTCAAGCACAAAGCACCCTTTGGTGTACAAGTTAGTGCACAGTCACCAGGAGTTCTCTCAAAAGAAAAGAGAATCTGTGGACATCTACAGAGAATACATGCAGATATGTTGGCAGTTCCCATTTTATGGGTGAGTGTAGACTGTAACATGTACTAAGCAAAGTAACCGCCACTCTCTCTCTCTCTCTCTCTCTCTCTCTCTTTGTTATGAATTATGAAATGGTTCAACTTTTTAGTTCTTTTAACTGGTCTTTTTTGTCAGCTAGCATAACTTTATATCATCAAGAAGCAACGTAACATGTTATAGAATTAAATTTTAAAGGAAGCAAATAGATTCTTCTGAGAAGCTTATATATGTGCACTTTTTTGGAGAACATTTTGTGTCAATATATGTGGAATTCGACACTCAAATCCATCACAGCTTCCTAATATAAATTCTTCACCAATGCTATCCCTGTGTTGTTTCAGGAGTGCTTATTTCCATGGTCAGATAGAGAAGCCTGCAGGTGTGCTGGCAAAGATTGGCATACAGCGCAACCCTGACACTGAAATTACTGTAGCTGTGAACAGAGAGGGGATATTTGTCATAGATTCAAGCAAGGCAGTAAGTGACAGAATATGCAAGGCTTGGTAGTTAGGCTTTGTTTTTGTGAAATGATGTTCATGTCTGAAACACTGAGGTACAAATAGGATATACGAAAGATAAAGGACTATACTGCTCAAAATTTGATGGATGCCTACAATTTTCCAGTAGCTGTAGTTGATCCTAAGGGATTTTACTGAAGAGTTCATATGGTTGTTATGCAGATTCATCTTGATAGTCATTCATTTACAGAGTTTAATACTTGGTCTACCTTATGAAGACTTGTCTTGGGAGTATGCGGAGTCGGGATCAGCCAAAGACAACCCAAACTGTCAACCATGTTTGTTCCTGCAGTTTGAGGCCACAGAAAATAACACGACGGTCACAAAATTATTACAAATCTTCTCTAAGGAGGTAAAATGTGCACATTTTTAGTTAGGGTTTTTTTTAGTACCTGGCTGTGAAACAAGTTTCAGATTTTGATGTAACTATAGAAAAATTCATATAATATTATTTATTTATCACCATTTTATAACATTAATATGCCTATGTGAAAAGATATAAAATTTATATTTATGTATATTTTTATTTTCTTCTCCTGTTTGGACTGGTGGCACTGTTTTCTGTATAGCTGGTTGACTAATCCCTGTGTTAAGATTAACTTTTTTTATGGAAAACAAGACAACTTAGACAAACAATGGAATTTTCATTTGTTTCTGGATTTTAGGCCAAACTGATGGATGCCCTGATAGAGACTTGTGTAGCAATCCTTCAGGAGACAGAAGTTGAACCTGCCATATTAAAGGAAGAACATGCTCAAGCCCAGGCAACTCCAGACAATGCAGACCTGGACTGTGTAGATGCACCATTGCCAAAGGAAAAAAGGGGTGAGATTTGATTTAACATAATAATGACACATGAATCACAGTAGTGCAATAAATTTTCCCACTTCAAGTAAGTGAATAATTTTCACATTTTATTATTTATCATATTGTAAAATTATATCAACTGATGGTTATCACTTCTCCCTAGAATATATGACTTAGGATAAAAAGGCCCAATGTTTATTATCTTTTTTTTCAGGGCAGCTATTTAAAATTCTTCAGTCAGGACAACTTTGTAATAAGATGGACAAATTATGCCTTGCCACATTCAGTGTAGAAGGTATGCAACTTTATAGTTTAATGAGATAATAATTGGCTTAACTCTCTATTCTTCCCATCCCTTCAGTGGTCAGGAGGGTGAATTTGTTCTTGAAGCTTTTCATAATAATAGAAATTTAGTTTTTAATTTACTTAAAAGTTAAAAGCTCAAAAGTGTGTCTTTTTAATCCATGAGGCACAGAACATAAATTTTATTGAAGAAATAAATTTTGTCTCATTTCTTTATTAGTTCTGTAATTGTTTATGTTTTTCAGGTGAATGCATTGATAAAGGTAATGTAAGGACGCCCTAGGAACTAGAACCATGCAGTCACTGGGAGGTTGAATCAATTTCTGAAACTTAAATGACCAAAGATAATGCAAAATTGTAGTTACAAAACCATGGATTATAAATCCCTGTAAAAAAAGAAAGACGAGTCTTTTGCACTATTGTAGTAAAAAGATCATAGATTATGCAGTTGTGTAGAGGAAAAAATACCTTAGATTGTGTAATATAATTTGAAAAAAAAATGTCATAGATCGAGCTATGTTGAAAAAAATCAAGGTCATCTGTCACCCACAGAAGGTCAACCCATCTATTGAATATAAGATGGTGCTCAAACCTTTTTTCTGTACTATGAAGGCACCAGGTGTTGGTGTCCCAGGTATTTTGACTATGTTTTCATTTTAGTTTTATCATCACTATTATTCTCATCACTTAAGTCTAGGGTGATATGCTGTTATACAGACCGAAGAAGAGATATCAATTGAGGTTATCATTTTATAAAGATCTGCAAAACTACACTTTAACTAAAATAAAAAGTTGAAAATTATTTTATTATTTTAATATCTGAATGTCAGTTATCTCCGAGATAACACCAAAAGTTGCAATATAACTTTCATTTGACATTATTGTTGTCTGGTCAGTGGTCACACACACTGGTCAATATTATGTTTGGTGATGACTTCATTGGTCAGTTTGATGTTTTATCAGACAAATTCATGGATATAAGATATGCCTACTATTATGTACAGATATATTATAATATATTTAAAATACCTTAAGCCAAGTTTCCTCTCTTTATGAGACTTAGTAAAACTGGTTTCCTGCTTAAGTGTCTGCCATTTACTTAAAGCAGATAGCAAATGAGTACACATCACTATAAGTGTTGTTTTGACATCAGTTGAGGCAATGATGTATCATTGTGTAAGTAAAATGTGTCCAGGATTTTTTTGCAACTTTGTCCACTTAGTCATTGTCAAATATACAAAGAATCTTTCTGCATTTGATTTGATATTTGTCTTTGCAGCTCAGAATGGAAAAAAATTTAAAAACCATGGTCTACAGCTATCTTTGACCACCAAAGCATTGCAGTTTATCAGACACATAGCACTATCTAGTTAAAATGTTCCCCTTGAATGGTGCAATTGGGTTTCAGTTTATTAATAGACACTCCTTATATAGGTGTATGTAATATATTTGTAAAGATGTTCATTTTGATACCATATACTAGTACCTAACCATTTTTTTTTTCATTAAATAAAAAATTGAAACAAATTTTACCATTTTCTAGTTATCCATTTATAGATAGATACACAAGTTGCAAGAGTAAATAACCTGTAGCATATATGAATACACTATAAATAAACTATAAGAACCAGTTTCTCTTGCAACTTAAATCCACATGCCAATATTTGAAACTAGAAATGCATTCAGAGAGGGTAGACCTCTGCCAAAGTGCTAATATATTGTGGTAGTTGAGAGCACAGCCATTGCGCAACGTCATTGACCTATCTCTCAATGGTGAAGTACACATATGAAATTCTTAAACCCAGATCACTGATCACCACCAGTATCATTCCACTTCATGTTAGCCTATTGCTGAACTATCCTGTAAAATTCGTCAAAATCCATCTGAAACAGTTTGATTTCGGCTGGTGATGAACAGAGAGACATAACCTCACTGGCGCTAGTAATTTATCTCTCGGACAGCAGAAAAAGCTTTAAAACTGAACCTATCACAAATTTCTGGTCGTAATGTCCAAATTATTTTCCCTCCAGTCTGCAAAGCACAGAAAGAAAGAAGATATCCGCACAAATATCATTTTTCAGGAAATTAAATCTGTGGTTCTTCTTCGAGTTATACTATTTGAAACATGTTGATGGCATTTGGTTAAGTTTAGCACTAATTACTTGACAGAAGCACTCACTTTACATCACTTCACGGAATCATTAAAATGATCATATGAAAACAAGCACACTTGTCAAAAGAAAACATTTATTACCAATAATACAAAACACTATACAAAATCGAGATTCATAATTCTCATTTAAAATGCACGCAATGGTCATTCATCCAGGATATATGACGTTATTCTTAAATTCAAAGGTGACTAGACTAGCTGGCAGGAAGAAATGCACACTTTATGTCAACAGATTGAAAACCTTGGAACTTCTGCAACTGGGGAGTCAAATTCATGCAGTAAATTAGGCCAGTCTTTGTGTGCAACATGGCAATAACTCTAGTTTTTTGTCTTAAGTGCCAGTCTTCAGTGCTCTTGCACCACGCACTATGTTTCATGCATGCAACAAGCCATTTCACATCAAAATGAATTACAGTTTATATTTTCTAACCAAATTACTATCATCTGTATATACTGAATCCATGATTTCTTAAAATATTTTTCTGCTTCAGTAATTTTTTTTCTAAAAAAAAAAATGGGGAAATGCATGTTGGTTAAATAAATTAGTACTGCCATGACACAAAAGCCAAAAAACATCAACTGAGAGGCAAAATACAGAAAAAAAGACAACAGTACTATAGGCCATACAAAATATCTAACAAATATCACATTATGAACATAAATAAATTCATACATCAACACTCAGTTTAAGCAATTAAAATGTTCAGCACCGCTTTTGATTTAGATTATATCAGACAAGATAGTTTTATTATAGTATTACAAACAACGTGAAAAATTGAACAAGCACCTTAAATACTATTAAACAACATACATATATTTAAATAAAAAGCACCCTGCATATCAAAATGACTGACCTTTTTATTTATCAATAGGATGGGATAAAGACCAATTTAAAGGATCCCTGATAACACTATAATGACAGGCTTATCTCCTTGTAGCAAGTGTGAGAGAACAAGGGCTCAAGGTACTGGGTGCTTAAGAACGAAAGTGGTCTTATCTGTAACACCACAGTTCTTTTTACCTTTCTGGCACAAGAGGAATCATAAGTGATATACTTCAATGACATATTATGCTTGTTTTCTATATAAAGAAAAAACGTTTTAAATGATTATTGTTGTTAACTAACTTCAGTGGACTACTACAAATTTATCCTGAATTGAAGAAGACCAAAATGTTAGGTCTAAAAGTTAAGTTGTTTTAAGTTAAACTTGCCTCTGCTCCCGACTCCTAATTGGGAATGTCTACTTATCCTGCCATTTCACAAGGCAGTGATTACAAAGTGTTATCTTTCAAAGTAATTTTTTTCTCCACCCTTATTTTCACAAAAAATAAATCTAATACATGCAAAACTGAAACTGGTCCATTACACAAACCACTGTAAGAGACGTAGTTTGGGATAATACTAAACCCTCCATGTTTGTTGCCCCTTTAACATTGGGGCTTACAACAAAATTCTTTTAAGTAGGATTAAGTAGTTTAAAAAACTAAAAGTGAAATAAGAAGAGTATTATCTGAACTCCAAGATGTGAAACACCAAATAAAAAGCACATAAAGAAATCAAAAATGAGAATTCAATTTCATGATGATTTGACAGCTGACAACTTCCCTGTCTGTATTACACACAACAAACCACATTATATCAAACAATACATATAAAAGTAAATTAAATAAATTAGTCCATTGACTTTCTTTTTATATCTGTAATATATATACCACACTTAATAAATAATATTGCACTTTGGCTGCAAGTTATGCTGTGTCCAACTTTCAACCTTCCCCCAGCCAGGCCTTGTGTTAACATTGATTGATGGACCATAGGTATATGGAGAGTTGTGCTAACGTCACCTGAAAATATAACCAAGGTTGTGCTAGAGTCTGAACAAGTAAAGTATAGTGAAATCGGCAAGACTGCCCACAACTGTGTGACAGTAAGTCACTTTTATGAGTAACACACTGCTGAAAAGTCCTGGAAATTTTACCACGTTTAGCAAAAGCAATGCTTTACCAAATCAAGATACCATATTCTACATACCCAGTTCCTGCTAATGTATTATTTGGTGTGTTCCCTGCTGATCCACTATTCACATTACTGACGGTGCTTGGAGTGGGGGCGGCTTCAGTGGAACCCAAAGAAATGCCAGGAGGGGCAGTGCTTGGGGTATTACTTGATGCGTCCACTCTAGTACCGTTGGTCTCCTGCAGATCGGGTTTCCAGAGCACACTGTAGTATATCGCCAAAACTATAGCCGCCAGCGACACCGCGAGAATGTAGGCGAGGACAGTGGCTAGACGAACCCATTTCTTGTTTTTGGTCGCCATCTTCGTTTTGTTTTTATCACCCGTGTATGTCGGAGCCTTACCGGCAGAATTTCCCCGGTAGTTTGTCAAATTGTCCTCTTTCACCATTGTCAAATTGTCCCCGGGCTTGACAAAATACGATTCTGTGTGCTTTCCTTGTTGAACCTACCAAGAAGATGGGTGATTTCTGTTTTTTTCACAAGCGATCATTTCGACGACCTCATCGTTTGTGGATAAGCCTCGGTTTCAATTCAAGATGTCTGCGCCCATGGAAGAGGAACCGTCTCTGGTTTCAAAGGAATTACTTGGAGATTTTATACCAGAGAATGAAAAAGATTTTATCAATCTGGCGTCCTATGTTACTATAATAACAGGGGCTATAGTTGCACTAATATTACAATTCATAAGAACACCATATGGGCGCTATGGGAGCTCAAGTTGGGGTGTGCTAATTCCTAGTCGTGTAGCATGGTTGATACAGGAGTTGCCAGCATTGTTTGTCCCAGTTTATCTTATATTCTGCACCGATTCTTTGAAAAGAAGTGCTACTGCTAATCAAGTTCTTCTGTCGGCCTTTATAGTGCATTATTTCCAAAGGTGAAACGTTGTATTTGATGCTTATACAGACCTTCCAAACTTAGCACGAAATTCACTCATACATGTACTTTTGCCTGCAATCTTCCGTGAGAAATATTGTAAAATTCGTGAGATCTAGGTTAAATCCATGATTCCCGTGGCAAATTGGTGAGAGTTGGAAGGTCTGTTTAACTTGAAGCAGCTACGTTGTTGGTGGCAATGACTGAGTAAAATTAATGGATGGCAATACCATGTAACAAGCAATTGTGATCATATGTAAAATTTTTGCTTATTTCCTGTTTAATGAAACTCATCTTAGTGAAACTCATTACCTCTAATTGGATTTGTTTTGTCATTTCACAGGGCCTTGATTTATCCCTGTTTAATCAAAGGAGGGAAACCCACCCCATTTATACCATTCTTCCTGGCTCTTGTTTACTGCACATTTAATGGATATCTGCAGGCCAGGTTCCTTTTGCAGTATGCAGACTACCCAAACCACTGGGTCCTAAGTCCAAACTTTATTATTGGTAAGTTGTAAGGGGATGAAAATTGAATGATTTTTAAGAAGCACTAATAGATATTGGATGAAATTAAGCTGGTCTTACTACATTTAGTACTGAGAAATATTTTGTGGTCCCCTTTTATGTTATTTATTATCATTTTTTTTATTTCATAATTAATTTAATCCACATAACCCATTAATTGTGCTCACGAGAAGTGCATTGATATCCAAGAAAGAAAAAAACTGATGTCAATTATATATTTTCTCTATGCACTGAAATTGAATTCGGCCTTTTGACCTTTTCAGGTTTACTGTTGTTTGGTTTTGGAATGTTTGTTAATATACACTCTGATCATGTTTTGAGGAATTTACGTAAACCTGGAGAAACTGGGTACAAGATCCCACGAGGTATTATCACTCTCACCTTAGATTTTTATGTAGCAATACAAGTTATTTTATATTTAAAACTCAAACTGATTATTTCTTAAACCTATAAGTCTCTAGTTGGTTTAACTAACATGACATTATAACTATAAGAATGACATGTATGTCTTGAACCTTATTATGATTATTTTACTTTTATTTTTCTGACAGGTGGAATGTTTGAATATGTTTCTGGAGCAAATTTCTTTGGAGAATGTTTGGAATGGACTGGTTTTGCCATTGCTTGCTGGTCTCTCCCAGCTTTGGCTTTTTGTATTTTTACTTGGCTGAACACTGGGCCAAGAGCCTTCCACCATCACCAGTAAGTTGTATATTAGTGATTGCTATCAATAAGTTTTGATTTGTTGTCTAAGGTAAAACAAAGGAATGAATTCTTGATTATACATCATATAAAATCTGTTGATAGCCTAAATAAATAACTATATGAGGTTTGCAAAATTTGAGTAAAATTAGAATTGAAATATTTATATTTTTATTTACAGGTATTACCTAGAAAAGTTTGATGACTATCCAAAAGAGAGGAAAGCTTTGCTACCCTTTTTGATGTGAAATGTATTGAACTTATTCCTAGTGGCATTGCTTAATACCTGACAAAATAATTGTCAGTATTATATGATCTATCATGCACAAATTTGTTGATTCACACCATCTATTTTTTGTTTGTTTTATTATTATTGTAACACTGACAATCATTTTTAACCACATAATGTTCAGCACATTTACATTATTTCATTTCATCTATTTTATACATATAGTAAACTAAGAACGGTAGTCTCTGTACAGACTGCTGTCAATATTATGGCCACATCTTTTCAGTGCCAAAGAGAAATTTATAAAGAACTAGAGATTCGTGCATATATTTGTTATTACACTGCAGATCTGATGAAAAAGTAATGCACAGAAATAACATTTTAAGTAATTCCTGTAGGTCTATTTGATATGGCTTTGATCCATAGTAGCAGTATTACTTTGTGATTAAGAATTTAGTCAGTTATTTTAAGGAAAGAGAATTCCAAACACAACTGATGTACAAATACAAACATTTTAATATGTTCTTATTTACATTTATTTATTCCGTTTGTTCTTTTATTTACGTTTATTGATTCCGTTTTGTGTGTTTGTCTCAAAACTTACGCAAATACACATGAAATTCTTTGTGAAGAAATATGTTGCTATGTAGAGGTGTTAATGTACAATTGCCATACAAAATTCCATACCTGTTTGTGCTTTGGGCCAATCCAGTCGCTATTTTTTCAGGAAATTAATAAAAACTAGATGCTTTAAAGGACATTTGTATCTCGTTTGTCTAATTGCTTTTTGTTTACTTTGCCTGAGCGAGTTAAAAAAAAAAGAAAGAAAAGATTGCGGTCTGTTCCTCTGGTTTTGCTCCTGGGAACCCTGGTCAGAAATGATAAGCTTGTGTTAATGCCTGGACGTCGCGTGCCAGAGCGCTTTGCCGTAATGAGAAAATGGTTTATTTATTTCGTTTCATTGATAACTACGCGATTCACGAAATTGTACGGATTCACTCAATTATGGTGATGTGGAGTGGATGATTGGACATGTTTGTCTCTAAGCTTATCTACATCAAAAAGATGGACTGGGTTAAGTGGTAATTCAGTATGTTGGACATTACCTAACAGCACAGACTTCCTGATTAAAGAATAACGAGAAGAAACTGTACTCTATCTTCACACGCCGGGCTGGCAGTCTTTGGTTACAAGGAAATCGGTCACANATCAATAAGTTTTGATTTGTTGTCTAAGGTAAAACAAAGGAATGAATTCTTGATTATACATCATATAAAATCTGTTGATAGCCTAAATAAATAACTATATGAGGTTTGCAAAATTTGAGTAAAATTAGAATTGAAATATTTATATTTTTATTTACAGGTATTACCTAGAAAAGTTTGATGACTATCCAAAAGAGAGGAAAGCTTTGCTACCCTTTTTGATGTGAAATGTATTGAACTTATTCCTAGTGGCATTGCTTAATACCTGACAAAATAATTGTCAGTATTATATGATCTATCATGCACAAATTTGTTGATTCACACCATCTATTTTTTGTTTGTTTTATTATTATTGTAACACTGACAATCATTTTTAACCACATAATGTTCAGCACATTTACATTATTTCATTTCATCTATTTTATACATATAGTAAACTAAGAACGGTAGTCTCTGTACAGACTGCTGTCAATATTATGGCCACATCTTTTCAGTGCCAAAGAGAAATTTATAAAGAACTAGAGATTCGTGCATATATTTGTTATTACACTGCAGATCTGATGAAAAAGTAATGCACAGAAATAACATTTTAAGTAATTCCTGTAGGTCTATTTGATATGGCTTTGATCCATAGTAGCAGTATTACTTTGTGATTAAGAATTTAGTCAGTTATTTTAAGGAAAGAGAATTCCAAACACAACTGATGTACAAATACAAACATTTTAATATGTTCTTATTTACATTTATTAATTCCGTTTGTTCTTTTATTTACGTTTATTGATTCCGTTTTGTGTGTTTGTCTCAAAACTTACGCAAATACACATGAAATTCTTTGTGAAGAAATATGTTGCTATGTAGAGGTGTTAATGTACAATTGCCATACAAAATTCCATACCTGTTTGTGCTTTGGGCCAATCCAGTCGCTATTTTTTCAGGAAATTAATAAAAACTAGATGCTTTAAAGGACATTTGTATCTCGTTTGTCTAATTGCTTTTTGTTTACTTTGCCTGAGCGAGTTAAAAAAAAAAGAAAGAAAAGATTGCGGTCTGTTCCTCTGGTTTTGCTCCTGGGAACCCTGGTCAGAAATGATAAGCTTGTGTTAATGCCTGGACGTCGTGTGCCAGAGCGCTTTGCCGTAATGAGAAAATGGTTTATTTATTTCGTTTCATTGATAACTACGCGATTCACGAAATTGTACGGATTCACTCAATTATGGTGATGTGGAGTGGATGATTGGACATGTTTGTCTCTAAGCTTATCTACATCAAAAAGATGGACTGGGTTAAGTGGTAATTCAGTATGTTGGACATTACCTAACAGCACAGACTTCCTGATTAAAGAATAACGAGAAGAAACTGTACTCTATCTTCACACGCCGGGCTGGCAGTCTTTGGTTACAAGGAAATCGGTCACAAACAAATGAGCGAATTCTTGACATTTCGCCCGCAAAGAAAATCACTCGCCATTTTTTCTCCTTGAGCACGATCACCAGGTCTCAATAATGTGTTTCAATTGCAGACCTTTCACTTAGTGCAGAACTAAATCAATTGTAAACTTGGGGGTGGGAGAGCAAAAAAGAAAGGAATGATAAGTTGCACCGTTTCATTTTGTAATTCTAAGCTAGCCCCATAAACTACACACATTCCTCTAATTTCATCTCGGATTGATTTACGTAAGTTTAGTACATTTTATTGAAAAAACTTGCCGTTTATGAAATTGATATATACATATAAATCCACCTGCCTTTAAATGTAATATAAAAGGTATAAAGCGATTACCTGCTTGATAGCAGGATTCCTAAACACTTAGCAACACTGTTCTTTTCTACATGGCTCTAGAAATGAAAACATCCTTTTACCCGTCAATGCTCAAATTTGTCAAACGTTTTTGTAATCCTTCAACTGTTTGGTGCTTGAGTCGCATAAATTAAATTCATAAATTGTATAGTCGACCGTAATTTTGATCGTATTGCTTATGGTTTAAATATCGATTTAATATCCACGTATTTTCGCAAAGAAATCATTCTATGTAGTCAAATTGGCTTCACAATGAGACTACTCAATTTATGTGAGAAATTATGCCATAAATGAATAAATAAGTGAAGTCAATAATGGCATTCTATGAGCAGAGAGTTCATTACACACGAAAGACCCCGAATAATTTAACGGTCTTTTAGTCTTCATAAATCTTACAGCTTTTTTAGTTTTCAGTGTCATCCATGTTTGTTGCCCCATCCGAAACCAAGACACAGCACTGATTTTTTTTTTTTTTTTTTTTTTTTTTTTTTTTTGTAAGAAATGTCTTCGTGTACTGTAAAAAGACTAGTGTCATTGTCAACTTATCTTTCAGCGTGTAATGAGTCTCAAATAGCCACGACCCGTCGCCTTTAGTCAGGTTTCCACGAAACCACGAAGCTTATTGCTGGAATTAAGAATAATCGTAAGCTTCATGTATGAACCTTTGAGAATACTTCCTTTTGTCATTTGTTTCCAATTTGTGCTACATTTGTCATTTGAATACGATTTATCTATGTATTTTTTTTTAGCCATCGTCATCTTGTGGTTCTTTGGGTACGCTGTGCCTCGACCTATAAGCTAAAAATCGACTTTTGTCCGTTTCTTCATCGTAATCCTCTTCCTCGTCAGATTCATCCTCATCCTCATCCTCGTAACCTCCGTCAGCATTCTCTCCATCATCAGCACAGCATTGATCATTTTCACCATCATTTTCATCGTCGTCATCATCATCATCATCATCATCGATTCCTTTGTCCTTCTTGGCTTTATTTGTAGCTTCTAACATTACTTTGATCATAGCAAAATCACTAGCGTCCACTAGATCGAGAGGCCGTTCCCCCTCGTCAGTTCTGATCAATGGGTCGGCGCCTCTTTTCAGTAAATACCTGGTGAAAAGGGAAGAAGAGATAGTTACCAAGGACCTGATGTATCTGAGAGAGGCGCAAATGACTTAGCGACTGGATGATTATTAGCTGGTGAGATTAAGTTGCTAAGAAATGTGGCAAATATACATGGGCAAGGTTTCAAAGTGTTTTAAAATTACGCGTTCTCTTATAGCCTTATTGCCGTTGCTTTCCGATATCAACGTGGCCATAACACGTAACATTTGATGAGGCAATTAGATATATCAAATATGTAAATATGTAAATTTAGGCGTAAGTCAAAATTGATGTGGGTTGTGTGAATGATATGTTAATCAAATAAATATAAAATCTGACTTCTCATATGTTCCCCGTGCTTTAATGCTGTCACATTCTGTACAGTTGATGTGAACATTTTGCATATAAATACAACATCGGCCCATGTATTGTAAGGTTTAAATTGAAAGTTGAAAATCAAAGTGTATATATATATATATATATATCAACTCAAGTTCACGTGTCACCTTGCGATATCAACGTGTCCTTCAGAGCAGGCGGCGTGCAAGGCTGTCCACGTGTCTTCGTCTTGCTTGTTGATATCCGCTCCATGTCTGATCAGCAGGCGGACTGCAGCAAAATTACCATCTAATACAGCTGTGTGTAATGGAGTCAGGCCTGCAAATAGATGCGGCATTTTTTATTTACGCTTTAAAGCAGATCATTCAAGTTTTCGACAAGAATTGACGGATCACTGCAACGAGAGCACAATTTTCTTGTATCCCCAGCCCAAATTTGTCCAGTATTTAGCAATTTTTTTTCATGATGATGATGATGATGATGATGGTGGTGGTGATGCACGTTATTTATGCCCCCCCCCCCCCTCAGACGACCCCCCAACCCTTCCCGTAGAAAGGCGGAAGATTAGTAACTGGTGTCAGGCGTTGATGGATGTGTATATTCTATGACCAGCACAGTGCAAATATAGTGTATGTTTACAACAGTCCGTATGTCAAGTAGCAGCGAATTTTTGTGGAAGTACATGTACCTTTACGTTCATTTCTGCGTTTTGAGAGAATACTCAAGTTCCCAGTTTTTTGTTAACAACAAAACAACCTGCGGGAGTCGTAATACAACCTATTTTAATTAAGTAGTGCACATGATTTGCGAGACATGTTAACACCTCTTGCTGATACGTGCAAGAACGTGAATAAAATGTGTAATAAAAGTTAAACTGCCTTAAATACCAAGTCCGAAAAAATGGGATAAGAATTTAAAAATTGTGACATCTGATACACTTACACATATGTAACAGTGAGAAGGCTATTAAATTTCTTAACCTGTAAAACGACCGCTTTATTTGGAGGCGCTTGACCTAAGTTTCTGGTATAATCATGAACGTTGAGGTTGAATAGTTGAGGATACAAAATAATAATGCTCAAACTTCAACAAGACATCTTTCAACAGCAACACTAAATACTGAACTCTATCCCTCATCACACCCTGACTCTAGTCTTCGAGTTCTATGCGAAACTTGCCCATATTATATCCAAACCCATGTCGCACAAAACGATAACGCATGCCGAATTCATTCGATATTCAGGGTGCCGTAACGTGAGGATGTGTCAATTTGCATGTGTAAACATTTGAGAGTAGCAGAATTTGTGCCCCTCACTGTGTTCACGTTGGTTTGGAAATGTCAGGGTTATTGCGCACCTTCTGTATTTACCGAAGAAATAAAAGAACTGACAAAAGTTTGACCTTAAAGAGAATAGGACCTGTTGAGCAACGTTTATATCTGCGTTTTGGTTATCTTCTCTTTCTTTTTATATTTTTAATTTTTCACCGACAAAATGTTTTTTTTTTCCTTTTTTCGTAATACTGCGAGTGTGTGTGTGTGTGTGTGTGTGTGTGTGTGTGTGTGTGTGAGAGAGAAAGAGAGAGTTTATGTGTGCGCTAAAAGTGAGCTGGCCTGAACATGGCAGGTGTTAATGCAGCTGGCTTTAGATTTTCCGGTTTCTAAAACTGACCGATGTCCTGTCATATCTTAACTGACGGCTCATGTCCATTTATAGTTGGCGTAATTCCAAACTATGTGTTTCAGTTTCAGTAACCCGCCTGAGATATTAAAGCAACGTTTTTTTTTTGTATCCTTTTTTAAAGGCAGCGTCTTTACTTAGGGGAATAAAGCTTAGGTTATCAATGACCAGGTCGCTCGTCCTTACACTGTATATCACTAAGTTTGTATAAAGAATGTAGGACAAAATAAAGTGCCCTCCCTAAACCAAATACGACTCGATCTTTAAATGCCGCCATGGAACCGGGTTTGGGTAGTATAACTTACGTACACTGATACACTCAAAGAGTATCTTTATGAACCTGTGGAAAATACGGCATTCATCACAGTCAAAATTTATGGCACTCTTTGGCATTTAGGAACATAATGTAATGAAACCTCAAATGTTTATTTACAAACCTATGCCTTGATTGCACGCAATTTTTAGACGTAGCTTAAAGAATTTTTTGGAGAATTCCCCCCTTTATTTTCCCTTTTTTTCTTTTTTGTTTGTTTAATCGTAAGATGGTTTCCGTGCGTTATATATACACACCTGCGGTATTGATGGAGTTGATATCCATCTGCAGACTGGCTCGCCTCAGCATGGTATGCACTGCCTCTAAGTCATTTTCTTTCAGATTATCATCAAAGACGATCTCGTCCGGAAAACGTACCCTGGGTTTCCCCGGGTGTTGTTTCGCGTAGAGACTGGCTCTGCGGCTCATGGCGGCTGTGATGAACACCAACCCAAGACCCACAGGGTGCAAGGTTATCGCATTGGTTGCAAAAGAGGCAGGCAGGCAGGCAAGCTCTTGGATGGCCTACTGTTCCTCCCTGGAACTTGTGATAATGAGCGTGTGATGAGCGTTCCCTGGAGGCACTCGTTTGCTACCTGAAGTAATTTCAAATCTGATAGAGAGCTGCCTTTAGATTGTAACTCCTTGCCTGTCGATCCCTGCTGGAATCTTCAGTGTGCTATATCCCGTACAAGTCGTGCAGTTCCGTTCTCAGGTTCAGCAGGCAAATGGCTGAGAATGTTTGCCAATGTTTATTTTTTTATGACGATCAGGTTTTACAAACATTCAGTGAAAATTGGTTTAGAATCGGGACGTCCACTATAATGATTTCACTTCTGGCGCCGTAAGGTTATTAGTGGTATTGGTGCTCTTTTTTTAGCTGCCAGATCCACCTGAAATAAGAAATAATCAAAATAATTTTGACATTTAGGCTTACTTCCAAATGCCCTTCTCATCACATAGTCAAGCAAAAGCAGCATTGTCTTTATTCTAGTTCTGAAATTTTGAATGTGAAAAATTTTCGTCTGAATACATTTTTGTGTAATGAAAAGCAATTTTACGCCAAGTGGCACTATTTTTACTGTAACAGTTATATACTGCTAGTCAAATAGTAAAAAGAATAGTGCCTTTAGGAAAAGACATCCCCTGTGCTATCTAGAAATCTGAAGTTTGCCAACGTATTGATCTGATACAAACCGATTGTAACTTAAAACAAGTAACACTTGTCCGGTTTTGAGTATTGCCAGCTGTTGTCGAATGCGAACTTTTGCTTGGTGTGTCTGTCTAATACCCCTGAGTCTCTCAAACACAAATTTTTTATAAATCATCCGAAACGTAGTGATATGATTCTGAGGAAAACCCTGCCGCATACCTGCCTGTAAAATACCGCTGTAGCCCATTTTTTAACAGATTTTGAAGCCAGTAGGCTGTATTCACTTACATGTAAAAATGCCGAGATTACCTATCGCCAGTTTTGATGGAGCCAGTTTGATGTTCATTAGGGGAACGCGTGGAAAGACAAGCAAATATGATGCACCTGCCTTTACTTCTTTGAAAGAATACGTAATTCTAAAATACCGCGTTACCGCTGCCAATAAATCTTTCAGAAAAAAATACTTTCAAAACGAATGTTATTAAGCTCTGAACATTAACCCATGACAGTGATTAATGTGGAACGAAGGCTGTTAATTTTTATGATATCAGAACGACAAAATTATAATCTGATGTTGTTGCAAAAAATGAAATTTTTATCGTACTCCCTTTATCCATTATCCAACCGTTTTTGCAGCTATTTCTTCAGCATACAGCCTTCGTTAGGGGCGGTCAGCGATGTTTGGCGGACTTTATCCTGAATGTGTATGTGTCGCTTAGTTTAAACTGTTGAATTTTATATACAAGTATAAGCCTTTGTAATACTGTAGTCATTAATAGTTATACGGCTATAAATATCTAAAACAAGATGTGCTCACCATGGCTACACATTCTCTCCCTTTCCAACTAAAGTATGCTAAATCATTCCTTTCTTTTTACTGGGTTGCCAGTGCCGTTACGAATGTGAATACAATGTGTAGTGTTACTTTGTGGTGATAAGACTTTGACAAGCTCGAGTAGATGAGAGTAGACCCCTTTTGATATATCGATATTTCATCAAATAGTTATCGGGTTACGTTGTCACTTCATAGGTGGTCTACAAAGGATTATTTATAATTCAACTATGTCTGGGGTCTCTGTGTACATAACCTTGTGCTAATATATCTATCAGGTTAGACAAAATATTTTCCTAAAGCCTATTTAGTCTGTGACATTGTCCCCGCCCTCTTTCTCTCGGGGCTCCACTCCCTCTTCACTTGAATCTCATGGTTCTACTCCCGCTACATTTAAATCTCTCTCACACACATGCGCGCACGCAAGCACACACATGCACGTACACACACACACGCGCGCTTCCACTCACCAAGGTATTGATTTCAGTATTTTGGCCTTCTGACGTCCACAGTTGTTTTGAAAGTAACACATCCCCCATATTTTAGTTCACGCGTGAATTCGTTATCCTTGAATAAGTGAAATCGCCCGTGTTTTTTTATCCCTCACACACTTCACGTGAATAATTTAAACTAAAAAGAGCAGACTTCACGCTTGGACTGACACTGTTGTCCTAAACGCATGGAACTATCAGGAGTCTACCGATTCCTTTACGCATCCAAGCTATTAAAACCTACGCTAATGGGTTTGTGCTATATTTTAGGCCTAGCACCGCGACCCTAACAGATAATTGCACCTCAAAGCTAAAATCTAGACCCGACTGCATTGAAATTATATGTATATATACCTACATATCTGGGGTACATCTTCGGTGTAAAGTATTATTTTGTCTGATCATTGTGATGACTGTCACTTGACAATGGTAATTGCGGGTTTGCTATGTCCAAAAGTGGGATTTTGGCACGCACACATGAGATCCATTGAATGAAACTGGACTCCCAGTTGAAATTGAACTTAAATTTTGCTGTACAGCGCCCCTTAATTTCCTCATTGTTCTGAAGTGTTGAACTTACCGATATGCAAAACTAGAAGGAAATAACAGTTTAACAAGCAACAGATGGGCTGTTGAATTTCTTTTTGGACATCACCGAAAACATAATACGTGCAATAAAAGCTTCTTGAAAACCTGAAGTAATAGCATTAGCTAATTCAGTGAACGGTAAGGCAACTGACGCACCTATGTTCTTTTTCCTGAGGAACCGTGCTTAATAATTACGTAAAAACGGTATAATAGATGTGCATCATTCGTTATTCAAGAGCGCCAGGTGAAATTGATCGGGGATTAAGGGGATTGCGAGGGGAAATAATGCCTAAGTCAAAATCGACCCCCTGGTTTAGCCACCCATGTTAAAACTGACAAAATCTCGTTAGGTAATTAATTCAGGAGTTTTGTTGACATACCCTGAAACGCAAGATATTGAAGCATTTGATTCTCAATCATAACAGTTAACATTTCGTCTTGAAGTGTCGCACAATCAACTTGGTAATCTTGCAGTATTTACAAACACGATCCTGGTGAATATCCATTTACATTCCATTAGAGTGCACTCGTTTTACATTAGTTTGCCCTTTTCGGGCTCTATTTACTAAACTAAACAACCAAGACTGCCTAAGGCTGTTTAATCTATTTTGATTTACAGTAAAAAGGAATTGCTGAATCAAAGAAAAGTGTACATTTCGGAATAAATTTTGCGTTTTAAGATAATAATCAAACGTGTGTAATAAGGAACCCATTATGTCATTACAAATTACCTATAATCCGCTACTCCGATGCATGTCAAACATAAAGGTTACTGCATGACGTTTTACGTTTGATCCTCAACTGGTGTCAGGTTAAAATATGTTCACTGGTCGAAATGAACCCTTTCTGTTTACGGTATAAACCATAAATAAAGTCATAAGGGATTCGATTGCCCAGAGATGCAAGAGATTGTTTTTTACCAGTCGTATGTACACTAGGGTTGCTGGAATCTATCTGTTGAAGATTATCTGTGAATGTATTTTACTAAACAAAAACCCGTGTATACACGAAAGCTCTGGCACTCCCAGCGCCAAGTGAAATCTTGAAATTATTTCAGTTTAGCTGCCTTTCACGCCACAAAAATAAGCAGAAAGAAAACGAAAAAATACTACTTTCAACCAAAATTTTATCTTTTTTTCATAAGAATAAATTCTTGTATATTTTAAAAGCGGGTTTTGTCCGTAAATTTACAAGTGACGCACCTTTATACGAGTGCGCATCCATATATACCTATACCAATCACTGTAAACGATAACGACTGTCCTCAAAAATACGCGCTCAATGACAAAGTCTAAAGTAAGGGAGACAGAATAGAAATGATGTATTAAAGAGAACAAGTATACTTGAAGGCCAGAAAAAAGAGGCACTCTTGTACCAATTCGTAATCACTTGTTTTGTAAATCTAAGTGCGCCCCAGGAAAGTGTCAGATATAGTTGAAACATCCCACTACAAGTAAACCTGTAGCCGAACATATCAATCTTGTTTGACATGGTTGCAATTTTTAAGATAAAAAAAAATAAAAGCAAATCTGTAAGACAGAAAAATACCCTATCATACTTTTACCTATACTCGTGCAGCCTTCCTCGTCAATTCATATTCATCTATCATTGTCATCTGAGTGATGTTCCTTAGCCCATAAAGTCCGTCGAATACTAATTTACAGTCGTTCTATTTCAGTGTTGAATGTCTTTAAATCTATATTATTCTTAGATTAACTTGATAATATATTTAGTATAGGCCATGAACAGAAAACGCGACTGAAATATGATAAAAAATCGATGTTAATGTTATTTTATATCTCTCTTGTTGGCCGTAATGTAATTATTACGTGCATAATTACAGTGTGAAAGATTTAGTGACGTATATGAAGAGTTAGGTAACTGAAAAACGGGAAATGCATTATTTGTAGCTTGGCCTATTAAAATCCTTGACTGCCATGGTTGATAATAAGCATCGGTGTAGAAACATATGGTGGGCATACAGTAGTAAAACGACGAGGCCTTGTCGGGTTTCAGCTAGCATTTTGCAGTAAATGAAATTCTGAAAGCTTAAATGAAAGGCACCATATCAGTTGAGTCTCACGTTCACTTAGAAACTACATGTACATTGTAGCTTTTTGCTATGGCAAGGTTACTCTTCTTATTGTAATTTTAACACCAGGCGATTCTTGAAAGCTTGTTGAATATGGTGAAGAAACACAACCTACATACCTTTCCGAAGCACCTGCACTTATTAAAATGTGTTTGTCGTAGAAATGACAGGCCAAATCGCCTGTACGAAAAGCACAGACATTTTTCTTAGCAAAAATAGTAAACAGTTCCTTAACTAACACAAAAGATGCCAATCTGAAACAATAGGAAATCCCATATCTGTCTGCCACTCACGATATATACACTTTCGTCCATTTGATCCCTGAGAGCGTTTGGCCCCTGGTCAAGTGCCTGGCAGTTAAAAGAATATAACCCAGCAAAAAACCTAATGGAGTTAAGGAAGGATGCAGAGTTTAAAGATGTCTTGTATTCTATTATTTTCTCATCTCGACAACAGAAAAACAGCTGTAAATACATTCCCCGGGGTCAAGTGACTTACATAAACACTGTCTCAGATTTTTGTGTTTAGTTCTATTTCTGTGCTTAAGTGCCCCATAAAAAACTCGAATGTCAAGTCTTTGTTGTTTTTAAAGACGCCGGTTTTTGGAGAAGAATGAACGCGGTTCAAATTCATATAATTGAAAGATTATTAAGGAAAGTTTGCGTGTTTTTCTATTCGATTAGCAAATCGGGTTCATGTTTTTGCCTTCTTCTTGTAGACTCAGATCGGCTTCTTACACACGGAACTCTGCTGCACTCCTGTATAAGTACGCGTGTAGAACCTAGTTTTCGGACAGTAAGTTATTCCAATGAGCTATATACACCCATTGGTTATTCTTACGGGCAAATGCAGGTGTTGACCTGGAGGTGATATGCACGCGTGTCCTTGCTGATGCAGCTGCCCATTTTGCACTGATTAAATTAGGACAAGGATCGTTCCCTAGTCTTAAAGTTAAAGTTATAGTATTTTTATTTGATGAGAATGTGGTCGTTTTCGCTGACACCCAACCTGGCGAACGTTACGACTTTCGATAACAGCGAAAGACGACGCACGCATGCACACGTTAACAGCAAACGCTCTGGCTAAATAGACGTGCAGGGACACCAGTGCAACGTCATGTTATGAAAAAGAATTATCACTGAACAGCAAAGAAACAAAAAACAAGCTGCAAATCAAATCATTGTGGCGCTGCGGCTGCACAATGTTAAAGCCCACAATTCGAAGCAGAAAAAAACTTGTCGGATCGCGTGTCCTACAACTCGAAACAAATCCGACAAATGTGACATTTCTCCGCTAATTTCGGTTCCACGGTAAGGGCGTGTATCTAGCAAAACCACTACCACAGCCAAGACAACCAACTAAGTGTTTTCCGGAACTGAGAAAAGTAATTGCTGATGGCGAACGCTGCTCTAATGTAACACCACAGCGACTGTAGCAAGTCCAATCAATATATGATTCTATACGTTAAGTAACACCGCCAGTCTAACAATATTATCAATAACTTACTTCATAGGATCTCTGCCACCATGTCTCTGTATGTGAATATCAGAAGATACAATTACGATCTAAATATTCGAAAACAAATGCGGTCATAAAAACTGCATTTTCATGTTACACGGTTTTTGGAAGGTTGGGCGGCTTACCTTCTTTGTCAGACCGTGTGTGTGCCCTCGCTGTTCCTGAGAGCTGGCTAATGTCACAAAAACAAGTTACGATTAGACAAGTGGTTCAGAATTGTAGAAGTTGAGGCATACAGTTATAGTCAACAACATTCTCTGCTTGGTTGATCCCTGAATGTCTCAATGAATGCGCGAAACAGTTGCGCTGCTTTCAACGTTTGGCGCAGTTGTACAGCGTGTCGCGGAATTCAAGCCAAAAACACGTCGGTCGACATGTGTTTTAGTTTATGACAAATGCTAATAAGATGTGAAATCTACTGTCGTTTTTGAGTGGGGAAATTGTAGAAACGTGTCTCATGTGTCTGCAGTCAACAGGTATTTTCGTTTATGACAATTCTAATTATAAGTGAGATGCAGCATATTGCTGTGCGCAGGAAAACATTGTAGAAACCGTTTGGTATAAATCGTGAACCCAAAAGATATATCAACTGCGCCCTCCATGTACATTAATGACTTGGAAGTAATTTACTTAAGATAACAAGGGATTAAGTCTGAAACTTAACATTGAGCCCGTACAATCAGAGAAAAACAGAGTAAATAGTTTCCTGATAACACCACTCTCCTTTCAGCGTTTCTACCACTGAGTATATTTGTTCCAATAAGCTCTGATTGTATGTACTATGGAAACGAAATGAAATATAAGCTTTCTACGCACAGCACTATGTACAAACTGTACTCATGATACATAATATTGCAGCTTACATAACCATCACGGCGTTCGACAACACTAAAACTGTGGCAACTACCCACAAAATCTAATACAACACTAAAACAACTAAAATTAAGCATCCTACCTTGGCGAATTGTTCAGGTACGAATGTTCAACTACGATAGCGAGAGCGAAGAGTACTTAAGGCCCGGGGTTAAACCGACATACGAGGAAAATAAACTAGTAAAACGATCTATCGATTAGTCAGCTATATACCATCCCATACTGGAAGGTGAATAGACAATAAAATGAATAGGAAATCGCCGTATCTTGGTCGAAATCCACATATAAGTTTTATTGCTGTTTGGCTTGTGAAGTGCTTGTTGATAGGCAACAAAAGAGCATTTCGATAAAGTACCCTGCGGTCGGTGTCAAGCTAATAAAGTGTAATTTGGGATTCTAAAGTATTTGACCCCATTCCTGGAAATTGACCTTTACCACATCAGAGAATATGATTCCTAATTTAACAATTGTCTTTCTCATTTGAAAGGTGTCACACTGGCGTGTTTATGAATCACCTGGTCAAGCGTAGGTCGATATGTTTCGCAATAAAATTAAAACTGTAAAACTTAAACGTATTTCGCAGAAGTGACCCATACAAATACAACAAAAGTTATAGGATTTTAGTCGGATGTGCCAGAAATCCGTCACAGGGTACCACATAATAGTCTAGTAATAAAATATCATGAAAGACATTATATAATATCAGGACTTGATAACAGACAAGATGAAACTTGAAATATTGTTAATCAGACTTCGCTTTTTGGGTTTTCATTTCCGTGCGTTCTGTAAAGTGCCGGATCAGGTTATGAGCAAGAGCTCTGATAACCAATTTGAATAATTTGATCCTATTCTACTCTTCAATTGCCATTTAATAGATTTTCCATTTACGACGACAGTCTGTGAAGGGACAGCCAATGTAAGAGACAGTGGGGTCGAATTTATTCAAAATGCCTTACATCATAGTAATCAACTTTTCCATTTAGCTGCCAAACACCACAAGTAGGCTACATAGTTATTGATCTTCGCAGGTTTATCATTGTGTCGTCAAATTGTGTTTATTTCGCCCAGATCTCATCGCCTGTTGTGAAAATCCTAACCCATATTGCACTTCCACAACGCGATAAGGGGATTATATCGGAGAGCAGGTTTTTACATTTATTAGCTACATTTTGATTGTGCACTGTTATAAAAACACAACTACAACTACTACAACAAATTTCGGCAAATGTACAATAGTACTGTAAAAATTAAAGGTTGTAGATTTTTCTGGTATAATAAAGGTTTGACTGATTATATTCTATTTCTTTTTCTTTGGAACAGAAGGGACTAGGAGAGGAAACAAATGGCATAGGCTGGTAAAATCTGGGAAAACGCATCATTCACCAAATGTCGACATATATTCTTTATTCATTCCACATTCATATCATATATACATAAATACAAATATTTACAAATCTTCTCTGTTCATACCTTGAATAAAAAAATTATTTGGTGAACATTTTAAAAATAACGGAAAAAATTCCATCATTTCTATGAAGTCCAGGTACCACGATTCCCAATCGTATACACATTCTTTTTTCTTTTTCATTGGCGTTCACTGTCAATATCACAGACGTCTTAACAAGATAACATAAAACGTGCATTGAAGAAAATATTGGAACTGAAACATGTAAAAAATCATCAAATGTCTTTGTAATTCAGCAAATCCTGTTTTCATTTTGTGATGACCAGATCACCACAAAGACTAATGTGTGGCTTTGAAATGTTCAATAAATCCTTTTCTAAACTTTGGTTTATGGATTCATAAAAAATTCGGCAAGTCTGCTGTCTTGTCGTATTCTTTGTTCCAGTGCCATATATTTCTGTGGAGCAAGCTCTCGGTGTCTGAAATTGTAAATTGGTTATATTATTCTGTAGAAATTTCAAAGATCCATGCTTCCAAAATTTCTGTTGTAGGGGGCCTATTTTTTGGTTTTAAAGTTATAGGTTTTCATTTAAAAATCAACACAATACCTTATTATTCAAACATCTGAAAGGAATTCAATTAAAAATTCTTCCATTTGAATAGATCTCAACATTTGTCTCTAGAGGATATTTAACACATAACACTATACTTCACTCACCTGTTAAGCCTGGCCTCAAATATGTTAAGTCTGAACATCATTTCACTGCAGTAGCTCATATAGTCTTCCTCATCTTCAGGTGACATATTCACCTGGTGCTGCTGGAACCACAGCTGTTTCTTCTGCAGGGCCTCAGTTTCCTGGAGTAAAGAAGAAAAAAAGTTATTTATACTTGTCTCTGAGGGAATATTCCTGCAGTTCCTACTGAGTAAATTTATTATTTATTTGGTTTATATTTTTGGGCCAATTTCTGTACTTTTATAATTTTACACACAATAATTAAGGAATTAAACCATCAGTAAGTTCATAATCACCTTCTCAAAGCGGGCCTGGATTAAGTTAGCTTTGTCAATGAGTCTCTTCTTGAGGTCTGTCAGTGCTGCCTCCTTCAGTCTAAATGCAGTTTCTTTGTTGATTTTCTCTGGATCTCCAAGCTGGGCAATAAATGGAGCCAAATAGTCAATCTCCATGTCTTGTCTGCGCATTTTCTCTTCCAGTTGAAGGCGCTCCTATAAATTATTATTCAGAAGTGATGGATAAAAGGGAAAATGCTAGCAAATGTGCTGGAAATCTTAATATCAAAGCTGTACATTATTGCTGCTGCAAGTATGAGCATAGCCACAATCTAAAAAATATTTTATATTACTACAATCAGCAAGGCACCTGTTCTTTGAATAAGCATGTACTCAGTGAAGAGAGCAATAATACATAACTGAAATTTTAGATGTTTTACTCTAAACATTGATTAAGAAAGCAATTCCTCACCAGTTCCTTCCTGTGTTTCTTTGCCTTTTCATTTCTCTCCGTATCGTACACAGATATTTCTAACTCTGATGCTACTTCCTCCTTCATTCTATCATTCAGTATATCCCTCACCTGTTTAATGAGAAATATCATTATCAGTTTACAAATTAAAAAAACATCAATCTCCCATTCAAAAAAAAACAAAAAACATACATTTATGACACTCTCTGAGTCCACAAATTTCATCTTCAGCATAATAAAAATCAAAACTATCATCAAATATATATCTCATATCTATCTGACTCACATACAGACAGAAACAGCTTACTTACCTCCTGCTCTGAATCTCTGACTTTATTTCTGCTTTTTTCCTCTCTGCGCACCAAGTCCACCAACATCTGGTACAACTCTACCTGCTTCTTACTACTCTGATTGGGATCCACCTGAGAAAATATAGGGAACAAGTTGATCAATCACCATCATATCACTATTACCTAAGAATATTTTTTGAAAGTGGTGAAATTTTGCACCTGGGGATTTTGCACATATTAAAGGTTGTTCCAAAAATTGTTCAAAATAATAATAATAATAAATACAGGTCTGCTTGAACTTTGACATCTAGACACATTCTTTTCATGGAAAACTTACATTTGTGTTCAAATGACAAATTCCTCTATATAAAAATTATGCACGGTTTTATATTTCTGAAAATATTCTACAACACTATAAATGTTATTTTCAGATATTTTACCTGAAAGGTGGTATGCATATCCGGAGTCATCAATAAAGTTGCACCTTTCTCATCTGCATTGGGAGGTTTAATGAACTCTCTGGTGGAGGCAGACACCCTGACATCCTCCGTGTGATAGGTCAGCAGGATCTTCTCTTCTTGGATGCTGAACACAAGGTCTGCTATGTCTTCATTGGCAGGGATATCCTTGTTACGGTGGAATTTTTCATGGATTTTCTGTATCAAAATATTCAGATAATTATTAGGGAATAAAAATTAAATCTTGTCACAATTAGTGGTTGTCAGTCTAATCTTTTTATGTGAACAAATTTCTGAAGTGAAATAATTGAAGAAAATAATGCAAGCAAATTACTTGATCGGGATTAATGCTGTTCCTGTAGGCTTGTGGTCAGTATGTGGCTAAAAGCATGGTAGTTCAGTCAGATTTGCAAATGGGAACAAAGAGTCAACATTAAAATCAAGTAAAAACGAAGTTGCTTACCCAAATAGGCCTATGATTTGGACCCTCGGATGGACCAAACTTCTTGGCTCTTTTTCCAAATAAGATGTGTCTGTAGTACAAGAAGTCATCTCTATTCTTAAAGTGTTCTGTCATCTCTACAGGGGTCTCTTCTCTCTTCAGAAGACCATCTACACGAGCCTCGTGGTAGAACACCATGGTCCTCTCATTCTCTGGACCAGAAGCACTGCGCTTGTAGGTATGTTCTGAAAGAATTTTTTTTCCACTGATACCTTTGCCACATAAATAACCATTTGAAAGCTAAGTCCATCAATTCAAAGAAAAATATCTTTTAAAATTTTACTGTATAAGATGCAAAAATCGCCTCTTAAAAATTAGCAACAATGCACAGATACATGTACCTAAGAGAGCAGTATACACTTTGCTGCTATAGAATAAAAGCTTTTGTCATACCTTTTAAGCATCTCTGCCTTCCAGGGTAGTAGTGTTCTATGACCCAGTCTGTCCGATGGTTGTAACCCCTCATATAGAGTTTGTCCAATCTATGATTGAAAAACTCTTTAACTTGCACCAAGTCCTTCACTGTAACAAAAATGTCACATTACAGATGGGTGTGTAATAAAGTTAAACAAGTTAATTTTTCTTTTACTACTAGATGGGTGCAACGTACTATTCTGAGCACTCCTAGTAACTCTCTTCTTACCAGTATACATCCTCCATCACCATGTTAGTACTGAAAAGTCCCCTGCATGCTGGTTATGGGGAAGAGTTACTGATAGAAGAGTCTGGGTGTCAGTTAAAAAATTGTAAGCAATTTGGATGTTTATAAAAATTAATGAAAATAGCACTCATTATCCACATATCTATCATTATCTACAGTATTTACGTATATCTACTTACATTCATTATCATCATAGACTGATAACTTTGCAGTCAATCCATCCTTCTGCAGATAATGAGCAAACTTTTCCAGCTTAGACTTCTTGTAAAGTTTAATTTTTTTGCCTTGTGGGCAACGCATCTGGAAATCTGCAATAAAGAATTTTCCATAGTCAAAATTATAAACGATTTGTCAAGGATGTTGATTTTCTTGTTTGTATCATCATTCTTATTAATAAAATCATAAAAGCAGTGATACATAATGATGGTTAAGTGATAAAGATCAATTTCTCTCATGTGTATCAATTAGTAAATAATAGATGGAAGTTAACTAACTATTTTTGTTATGAATGAAATAAATTAAATCTGGAATTTCTACATATTATCTTGAAATTTCTAGTGGAGGAACAGCATTTAAATGTGGATTAAAGTAAAAAGTGAAAAGTACCTCTGAGTGTGATCTTGATAGCCTTCACCCAGGATGGGGGCATATCTAACTGTTTCTCTGTCTCATCCTCCTCTTCCTCTTCATCATCATCATCATGATCATGGAATTCTGGGATCTCCAGCAGAGGTTTCTCATTGCTTTGGAACATGAATTCCCACAGAGTGCAGTCACCTAGGTCATACTTCATACCCTATCAAGGAAAAATAAAAATCTAGTTAAAACTGACATCATGTAAAAGTATGAGGGGAAACCGGGTTTGAAATGTTCTAATTTCAACTGGATGATCAAGATTTACATTGGTTGAAACTTCTAATGTCACAAATTGAAATTCTCTTTATTTTATATTAATGATTGAGTACGTATAAAATGACAATCATATTTACTGAAAACAAAACAAAAAAAATGTATATAGTACATAAACATCAAAAACAGAGAAAGCAGAAAGGGGAGAAATGTTTAACAAAACAGATATGATAAACCCCTAACTAAACAAACTTTAGGGTACATCTATTGTACTAGAATTTCCTCCACTGACCTTCACTCCATCAGAACAGTCCTGCATGTTAACCCAATAGTTCTGGTGGTTCCAAAGACTTTCAATACCAAGATACTGGTGGGTGTCCAAGGGGACAGACAGACCTGTCAATGGTTCAATGAAGAAACTTTCTGCAACTTCACGTTTGCCTTGCAGGACAAGTACCCAGGAGTGGATACGTAGACCAAATAAAGGATCTGGAGGTGGCTTTTCTGCTTCCTACAAAAATACAAGGGTATTGTTATGTTTAAATCATAGCATGTTCATTCATCATAATTTATTTTGAAAATTCTACTTCTGTGCATTATTATTCTTATCCTGTTCATTCACTTTAGTTTTCTTTTGTTGTAGCATTTGTTAGAACAAACTTAAATAAGTGAGATAAAATTATGAGAAAGGATATAATATGATGATTTTCTTTTACAATCAAACTTATTTTTAAATAAAAATTAAATATGATCGCTGATGTCAAATAGACCATTTCAATTCCTTAAACATTTTTACTCACAGCTATTTTCTCTTCCTCTTCTTTTCTTCTCTTTGCTTCTTCTGCCTCTCGTTCAGCAACCTTTCTGCTTGCCATCATCTTTTCAAATTTACTGGTCAAATCTTTTGGAGGCTTAACTGTATATTTCTTTACTTCTTTCTTTGCTGCTTCCTTTACAGCCTAAAATTTTAATTAAAAAGACTTAAATATTTCCTCACTCATGCCATGCTGTCTAAAGCTTCAGTTAAATTATTTTTAAAATTGAAATATTCTCTGCCTCGGCTGTTATCAGACACTATTTGAATAATTGATATAAAAATATTACCTCTTCTTTCTTTTGCAGGAGTGGACAAATTTCTCTTGTTTCATCCATGAGGCAAGTCTCCTTTGTGGCATATCCACTTACAACATATGCATCATATCCATTTCCTATCAGCAAAGAACACAGAAGAGTGCTGTATTCAAAGCAATTGCCCTTCTGTCTGTTTAAAACTGTGGTTGACGACAGCAGTCTCTTTGGCTATAGGAAAAATCAAAAAGACTGATAATAGGAAAACACAACAAAATGTTACTTAATGGCAACAATATCATATAAGACAATTCAATAAATTGCTAGAGTATTTGTTTTCAATGCTTTCACTGAAGGAACACCTACTTTAACTTTTGCAATTGCGTCATTTTCATTCTGTGTGAACAGTTTTACAACATATTATATATCATACTTTGATCTTTTTCTTAAGTTCATTTTTATAACAACAAGAATTCAATATTTTGTGAATTGGTGAAAAACCTACCAAGTCAGTTGGAGGATTTAGTGGCTCAAAATTGAGATAATCAGCCACAAATTCTGAAGCCCCATCCCAATCATATACTTCAGGAAACTGCAGTTGAGTTGGGCGGATAGTAGTAGAAACAAATTTCTGAAAAGGAAAAGTTCTCTTGAAAAAAACTTGTGAATACAAAGGAAATGCAAAACAAACAACCTACTGCATGGTTTTAGACACATGCATGTTTTGAAAAATACTCAATTTTTCTTAAGTGTAAAGCTAATTTTATAATAATAAAATGATTCATATCCTCCTCATAATTCAGACCTCATATAGCAGTAGGTAAATGATAACAAACTCATTCCACAAATTAAAAAAAAACAATTACCTCCACACCACACTCATTGACTGGGTTGAGAAGCAAGGGCTTCCTGTCTCTGTACAAGTGCACATACTGCCTTCTGAAGTTCTCAGCATATGCTAGCACAAGTTTTTCCTTTGGTAAATTTTCCCTGTATGATTGATCAAATTCTTCTAAGTCGAATTTTTCTTCAGGTCTACAAGGACAAAAAATTACTAGCTGGGTATGTAATGGTTAACTAACAATTGTGAAATAACATTGTTCACAATTGTTTTATGGGCAAATATAGTTCTAAGATATAAAAAAAGGTTTACACTAGAGTTTTGGCAAAATTAAGACAAATGCAACAAGGCAAGGCGGTGATGAAAAATCATTATTGCAACACGCAGAGTGAAGTCTGTGGAAGTACCTGTATGTTATGTATCCGTAAGGACCGTATGCAAAGTTAAAATCAAAGTTTGGTGCAGCGTGCATTACTTTGTTATCTCTGCTTGACAAAGACAAGTGATAATCGCTGAATATGCATCAGAAGCAAAGCGTGTTATCTGCAACTTACAAAACTTCTTTGGGTTGTTCAACCTTTATCTTCTCAAGTTCTGCTTTCAAATTTTCTACTTCTTTTTGGATATCTCCTTCAGTAGGTGGCGCTTCTCCGTCTTCGCCATTATCGCCATCACCGTTTTCCACACCCTTTTCAGGGTCTATCTTCTCGTCAGCTTCATGTTCATTTACAGTGTCTATTTTTTCCGTCTCTTCACTCATTTTTATCTCATTCACTGTGAAATCTAGCTAGTTATTTCTTGGGCCAAATAACTAACTGTTAGAAGCTCTTGTGCTTACGCACCCTAGCAACGCAGTAAAAAAGAGCCATATTTCATGTATCAAAATACCTAATGAACTGGGGCGAAACATTCAAGCATTTATCCTATAATAATATGCGCATTCTATTTTTTCAGTTGTAAGCCAAGTTAATTAAATCACGCCACTTTAAAATCGGGTGCGCATGAATTTAAAATGAAATAAGGCACAGAAACGGATATAGCAAATGCGCACGCGTAGGTACTTTTATCGATAGATGTCAACTATTTCAAGATACACTCATTGTGGTATTTGTTGCGAATTTTTATATCATTAATTCTTTGATATTCTCTCATGAAAATTAGATATATGATGATTTAAGTAATATTACGATGTTTTATGACTTCTCACTACTAAAATTTGTTACTGCTATTGGTCTTGTATTGGATAAAACACCATCTATTACCGTAGCAGATAGTCGCAGACCCGCACGTGTGTGGGTAAATACACTTACAATTTTAACTAAAACATATGATCATGGATCGACAAGGCTTCGTTCAAGACATAGAGTTTGCTTTATTGAAAGGGGTAACACCCATGATAGACAGTTCTGATTTCGAAAGAGGTACGAAAGTAGAAATTGTTCAAATATTGTAATTTCACGTAAATGTATCTGATGAATCATACTAGACTAGTACTAATACTAGTAGTACATGTAAGCTAGTAGTATATTTGTCAAATTGAATTAGTTTGACATATTTCTGGGTTTTTTATCAGCAAACAACACAAAATTGTTTGTCTTTGCTCATTTTAATTTGTATACTTTCAGAGGCTAATGCAAGAGAACTTCTGAAATATGCATCCGAAGGCCAATTTGAGCAGGCATTATCATCAATATTGCCCAGGTGTATTCTCAGTGATATCAAAAATACAACTCCAGTGGACCAGATAGTTGACATAATTCAAACATGTGTCAAGTCATATGTGTCATCAGGAGGGTCAGAATCATGGAGGTAGGCAGCTTAAAAATGTGAACCAGATGATCAGATGTAAAAACATGTTCTTGAAACATGCTGGAAGATTGTGTTAGAATCATGTTTGACATCGTACACCCGACATGTGCATGTAAATTTATTAAGTCTATTGGTTTGTCATATAGGTCCCAGAAAACATTAAATTGAATTAAATTAAGTGCTGGACATGTTAAACTTTCATTGGTTTAGATGATTGGGATTAACTTGTAGAGTATAATTTTTTAGGATTTAGATACTTAATACAACAGAGAAAAATGTTATTTTCACTTCATATACTTTTTTATTCGGCATATTCAAATTCTTGGCCCAGATAATATTATCTTGAATGTTATTATTTTGAATTTTAACATGTTAATGTGATATTTAATCTTTGTAATCAACCACTTTTCTGTGTTAATAAATATAATTTGACATACCCAGTATTGTATACCAGACAATATATGACAGTATTTTAATTGAGATTTGAGAAATAATATATTTATACTGAACCTTTTTCAGGCAATTAGAGATTTTGTTGGCAGCTATATGCAGTCTCCAGTTGTTTGTTCAGAACAATTGGACTGGTCCTCCAACTAACAAAGACCCAGTGCAGTTTTTGCCTTATGAAGAATCAGAGTTTGAAAAAGTAAGGAATATTTGATGAACAGTCATAGAAAACTGAAAGTCAATTTTCAAAGATATTACTAAAAAATTAACAGATAAAAGGGCACAATTTCTACTCCATAATAATAAGCTAAACTGAAATGCAATTATTTGATATATTCATCTATTTATTTGGTATTTTATCTTCTTGCTTTAGATCAAATATCATGTCCTGGATTCCCTACAAGTAGATGGTGAATCAGCTTACCCACTTGCAAGGTTTCCATTGTATCTGCTCATTGCAAAAACTTTGTTGCAAGATTGCAGAGAGTCCATGTCTGGTTGTATTGTGAGTATACTAAGTGCATGTATATTCTATATGTTTAGTTTGATAGAAATTATGTTAGTCATCTTGTCATATTTGTAAGCTGTCAAATTTGAATTTTAATTTATTGAAGTTTTCATTGCTATTTTCATATTTGGTTGGGAAAATTGAATTTCAATATAAGTGATTAAGAATTAAATTAAAAATTAATAGGTACCTTAGAATTTGACTATAAGTGTACACAGACCAAAGTTTTTGTAGATATCTTAAGAATTTATGATTTGCTTTTCTTAGAGTAATGACTGGTGGCTGTTTAGATGTCTTGTGACGCATCAAAAGTTGCTACAGGAGAGGTCACCCACTCTCAAGACAGCTGTTGTGGACCTCATTGATTCTGGTAAGTTGTAAGCAGTGATTTAGGAAAAGTATTCATATATCATTATGTGGTGATTGATACTAGGTCGTTTTAATTTCACTTGCAATGGTTTTATGTATTTTATTTTTCAAGAGGTAATTTTGAAGGCAATATTGATGCAAAAGCTAATGCACACTGAAATATGATTGTGTAATATTTATAATAAATTTCCTTCATTAGTCTGCCAACTTTGGATTTTTTTTTTTTAGTTTCGAAAAATGATACCTTGCTTGAAAATAATGAAAACAGACTTCTCAAGATGCAGTTTTACATGGAAGCACACGCTGCCAGTATGTTCTATTTTGAGAACACCAAAGCTAAACAACTCATTGAAGTGGTTCAAAAAGGATCTGGACTACAAATTGAGTTAACTGGTAAGGTTATACTTTTTCTGAGACAGGTACATAGGTAGAAAATTGTTGAAAAACAAATCAATATGATATGCCATTTGAAGACTTGCATAATTTCTCTTAGCTTGCAGACAAATGGAACTGACACAACAGATAAACACAAGGTTTCAGTTTGTCCATATTTTTAGAATCCTTGTTGTCATTTTTGAAAAGTTGCCTCCTTATTTTTTATACCCAGGAACTCATTCAGACATGTAAGGTACACACACATTTTTCATTTGAGTCCAAAATGACCCATTAGTTCAAAAATCTGAGGGGAGCCTTAACAAATCATAAAGGTGATGGTATTCTAATAAAATATCAAATTATTCCCATGCAGTCATGTTTGATATTCTGTATCCTCAGGTGCTCTTGGTAAACGCAGCAGATATCAAAAAGAAGACCAAGCCGAGTTGATCCTGAAAGTTTCCAGGCAATCAGAGGCAGGAGATAGCAGAGATAGTGAGAGGGCAGAGGAAACCATGTCTAAGGAGATAGAGACTGGAGGAAATGGAGATCGTGAGAAGGCAAAGGAAACAGCCAGTGCAGCAGAGAGTGGGAAAGAGCCAGAAAAGATAATGCCCAAGGTAATTTACAACTAACACACACAGGCAGCTGACATTTCATGTCTCATTTTAGGCTGCTTAGGTTTGTTCAATAGTATTTTACAGTAGTGTTTAATCAAAAATAATGAAAATAATGATTGAAAATTGAAATTTAAATGATATTATGACAGATTGTAAATAGCCAATTTTCTGAGAAAAAAACATTCTTATGGTGAGACTACAAGTAGATAAGTTTGATAATAGAATGTCAGTGCTTATTTGACTGTTTTACTTTTGCATTCTAGGATATAAGTCTGAATGATGATACATTCCTGAACCATATAGAGTTTACGGATGAAAATAATCCTTTAAATTACAGCGTATCTGCAGTTGAACAAGCTATTGTTTTGAGCGTTTGGTAAGACCTGGGACTAATATTTGTTGTTTTTTTGTAGTTATAATTATGTGATATGTAATAATTTTAAAAAATATATAATCATACTACTTAATAGAATATTTTTATTTTTAGTTTTTATGCTACTTATTATTCATATGAGTATTAATAATAGACAAAATTCTGATAAAATGTTTAGTAGGGGAAACCTTTCTTGTTTTCAGCTTGGACATGCGTTACAATAACCCTGCTCATGAAAGATTAACTGATGTTGCAACCCTAGCTTTTATTCATGTAAGTATTCTTACCTCTTTAAGTCTTTAAAAAAGCTTCCTATGCCAATGCTAATTGTTAACTTCTTGTTATAAATGAATTTTAAAAAATGGGCAAAAGAAAAGAAAAATGGTTTTAAGAAGGCTATATATAGGAATTATCAGAAACATATCATAGTGTAAATTAAAAATTGTATGAAATATCGACTCCTTGCATGATATATCTGAGCATGTAAAAGTGTGTTTTATTTGACCAGACACTTCTACACCTTCCCCAAGACTGGTGTGTTCAGACTGTGGCCCTGAATATGAGGTCCCAGTTGGAGAAGGACAGCAGACGTCGAGTGGAGCGATCTATGATGCAGCTTGAGGTATTGCTTGGATATATGCTTAACATTATACTCAAGTACATGATGCATAATTTTTTTTATAAAGAACATGAGAAAGGTAGCATTTATAGAATCATGTTTTAAACATTAGATAGAATACAGTAATTGAAGGATATGAAAATCTTAAAGGTAGCTCTTTGAAAAGGTTTTTTTCATTGTAAATATAGACCTATTTTTGAATGTGGATGATACAGGCATTTGCCAACGTGATTAGTATTCAGTTAAATAATGAACAGAATAATGGGGAATTTACATATCTTTGAGGTAAAGAAAAATGATACGAGTCCCAGTATTAAACTCATTTTCCAATTTTACAGGAATTAGTGAAACAATTTGATCGCCCTGAACCAGATGGCAGAACGAGATTGTCCTTGGTTTACTGTACGAATCTCCCTCCCAAGTGGAAAATACAGGTTTGAGAGAACTTTGCTTCAACTAAGAAACGGACAAATATTTATTCTTCATTACAGTAACATATATACTTCACTCATACAAAGGTCCAGCATATTAAAAGGGGTGGTGCACACACATCAAAGGTATTTTTTTAATTGGGTGCAATTGCATATTGCTGTGCTAATGTAGGCCTGGGATCTGTCTTTTTTGAAAGGGGCTGTGTCTTCCAATGTCTGTAAGTTATAGTTATCCAAAAAATAATTTTAGCATTTTTTTATTTCTAGGAAGATTTGGGTGATTTCTTTGTGAGTTTGGGTTGTATCAGCAGTGCCATGGAGACCTTTGAGAAAGTAGAAAACTGGGACAAACTGATTGTGTGCTATGTGCAATTGGAAAAGAAAGACAAGGTACAAAGTCATAAGATGAGAAAGAAATGCCTCTTTGGAATTAAAATCTGTAACAGTGGATCTCATTGATTGCCACAGACTTTTGTTTTACTAAGTATTTTTTTTCTACTCAAAGTCTTCAGACAAATAAAAAGCAAGAATTTTCCATATCTGAAGATTCAGCACGCTCATTCAGAGAAGCAGCAGAGGTCATCTTTGTTGATGGTTTTTAAATCTGCATTTGCAATATCTCTTGTAGCATGTTAAAAAATAGTGTTTTAAAAATTCCGGGTGAGTTTAAATGATTGTATTTTAGTCTCAAATGTTGAAAGACAGTATTTTTCTATCCTGCACTCTGCTGGATTATAACAAGTAAATCTTTTTGAATGCCAGTACTGTATTTTACACCTTTGTTTTACAGGCGGAGAAAGTGATTCGTGAAAGGCTGGCAGTTAAGGAAACTCCAGACTTGTGGTGCTACCTGGGAGATGTTCTACAGGATGAACAATATTATAACAAAGCATGGGAATTGTCTAATCACAGGTTTGCTTTTTAATGATTGGAATAGATATGATGCTTATATTAAACCTGGCAGGTATGCTTGGAGAATTGTGCATTTGAAAAGTATATGTTTGACTTAGGAAATCTTTAAAATTTTTGAAAAAAGTTTCAGAAAAATTGAAAATGTTGTTATCAAGTAGCATGTTGTTTCTTTCTTTATTTACAAATTGCATATGTTGATGCTGCCCAATATTCATTATGAAATAGCATTGTACCTCGTCTCTAGCCCACATCTACTCTACTGTTTTAGAAGTGGCAGATCACAGAAGTTGCTTGGGTTCTTGTACCTGAGGACAGGGAAATACAAAGAGTGCATTGAATGCTTTGAGAAATCTTTGAGCATAAATTATCTGCAGGTAAGCATGTTTTAAGTTAGGTGATGTCACAAGTGAGAACAGTTTGATAAGTTAGGGAGGTTATGTATTTGAATGAATTCAAAAGGGTTAAAATGAGTTGATAAAGGTTAGGCTTGCTTTAGTGATTTGCAGTTGGCACACATATATTGAAAAATTCTGAAGTAAGTAGTTTTCAAATCTGTCTGAAAATTTTTTATCCTCAGTGTGGAACACAGTTTAGCTTATGTTTTGTGAAGATGATTACATTGTCATGTGCAATAAAGTTTTAATTCAAGAGTGGAACCAGTGTTAGAAATTAAGGCTGGACCGTCTGCCCGGGTTAGACAACTTTCAGAATGGTCCAAGAAGTTTTCCCTACTGGCAGACATTCTGTCCAGTTACTTCCTTCGGTCCAGCAACTAATTTTCCTAAGAGGCAAACACTGAGTGGAACCATTTTGAAAATTTAGTTTTGGACTTGTCTGTTAGTAGATGATTACTATCACTGTAAGGCCATTGTGTCCTACTATCAGGAAACTTGGCTGGCCAGTGGCAGTTCACCCAAGTGATGAGGTAGCCATCTGTTGCCGAGGCAGATTGAGGCCGTCTTCTGGGTCTTCCGGAAGAGGGTCAGATTTTCCTGTTTGCATTGAGGGATATCTATTTTTTCTGTCGAAAGACAGTCAAAAATGGAGGATAGATCAACAAAAATAATTTGGAAGACTGTAAGAAAATATCTCTGGATCTGCCCCTGTATTGGCTGACATAGTCTAGAAACAAAGAACTTGTGGCTGTGTTATCTCAACTGGATGTCTGACAGCCACATGAACTTTATTATAATGAATCATGGTCATTTGGTAGTGCTAGTTATCGTGAATGAGAATTCCCAGCTCCATACGTGCTGCAGCTTAGGTTGTATTCTCTCCAGAGAAATGAGAGGGATTCAGGATTGAAAAGATCCATCGTTACCAGCCACATATGGCATTACAAGTAATGAGCAGGTTAAAAAAAATGTGTGTGTGTGTGTGCGCGTGCATGCGCTGTTATATATAATTTCTATGTATTTATCCTTGGGTTGCCGGATTATTTAACAACAACGACAACAACGATAATAGTAAAATAAACTATTTATGTTTTTTTCTGTTCAGATCCCAGTGTGGTACTCCTGTGGCTGTGCTTGTTTATTGGTGCAAGATTTCAAGAAAGCTGCCAATGCATTCAGGAATTGTGTTACACTGGAAAGTGATGTAAGAATCTTATGCTCCAGTCAAATAGTTAGGTCTTCATGAGGTGCTGTAGAAGATGATTCTTGAACACTTCTTTTTTATTACACAACTAAGATTTTATTATTTATGGTTAGGGCAGAGAAAAGAATAGTGGTAATATTTAAGGTTTTTAGAATTGAGATTAACAAACATCAATGCTCACATAACTAAGTGCTTTGATAGTTGTCACAAATTTCTGCATATTTACTTTTTTTCTTCATTGCAGAATTTTGAAGCTTGGAATAACCTTTCACTTGCATACATTCGATCAGGTCAAAAGTAAGTTCTTTTTTTTTTTTACTGTCTGAGCATGTCAGTATACTTCAAATGGCTTCAAATGGCATGATTGATTTTTATTTGGCTTGATTAGAATTGTGTTTTAGAATCATTTTCAATGTTAAAAAGTAATTTTGGAGTAGTATTTGCTTTCAGGAAAGGCCCTTTTGTCTATAAACAAATGATTATGGTAATCAGTTATAAGTCTATTACCTTGAACCAATTCACCTTGCAATATTTTGTAATCGGTATTTTAAACAAAACTATTTTGAAAAATGTAACAGACATTTTTTGTGAGAAAATGCTGTAATTTTTTTTCAGAGAAAGAGCATTCAGGACACTCCAAGAAGCAGTAAAATGTGACTATAATAACTGGAGGATATGGGAGAACATATTAATAGTAAGTAACATATGTGTGTGTATGTGTTCTTTTCTATTTATTTATTTTTTAGTCAGTATGATTTGATATTAAATGTTTTACATCTATTTGAAAATTACTATTTTTTTAATCTGTTTCCACAGAAACTGGTATATTGGTTTGCAGAAGTCCTATGGACTGAACTCTCGCGTATTATTTTATTTTTACACATTAATTTCTTGATAATTGAATAGTGTATTCATGTGACTGAATGCTCTTTCCAGACAGCTGCAGATGTTGGTGAATTCACACATCTTATAAGAGCATACCACAGACTTCTGGATATCAGAGATAAACATGAAGATCCCTTGGTAAATGGCATTCTATGAACATTCTTCTGACAAATTTTATGGTTGGAAATTCTTTTTAGGTTATATATAAAAACAGTTTGATGTTTTCACAATCTTTTTGTCAGATTCTAGAAGTTTGGTTCAAAGTTGAACTGTATCCTCTGTTAAATAATATATGAACTGGTTTTTATGTTTTCATGTTCTTTTTGATAGGTTTTAGAGATTTTAGTGAAAGCCATCAACCAGGACCTTTCGGATGCCCAAGACAAGCCAGCCTCCAAACTAAGATCCAAGGCCCTGGAACTGTTTGGAAGGATTACTTCCAAGGTAAAATAAATGAGAGGTTTATATAATATACCTGATGAATATTGCAATGGAAACAGACCAGGCTTTATAAGATAAAATTCAGGGATGAAAAAACAGGCTGTAAAGCACCAGTACTATATACAGCAGTAACCAGTAAACTTATACGAGATTTTTTGTATATTTGTAACTATGTTTGTGTGATAATATTTTTAGTATCTATGTAGAATATATCAATAGCTTTTGGTAGACATAAAAAATTTAAACATTAAATGTTAAGTTCAGAAGTACATTTTGATCATCAGCACACTAAGTTTTTTAGAAAAAACATATATTAATATATCTTCTTACTTCCATTAATTTTATTAAGGTGACAAACAGTGCCTCCATCTGGCACTCCTACAGTGAACTAGTTAAAGGACAGGAGAACTTGTCTCTTGAAGATGAGGAAAAAGCTCTACAACACCTCCAGAAGTCTCACAGGTGTCTGACACTGGTGGCAAACTGGGAGAAAGAGGTCTCCAAGTGTGAGAAAATCTGCAAGAGGTCAATACAGTTAGCAGAAGGTGATTGATATATTTTATTTTTGTGACACTTTCTGTCTGAAAGAACTTTTTTTTAAAATAAACCAAGAGATAAAGTATACTGAAAAGTTGAATAAATAGGTTTTATGATAGATTTTCCATTAAAAAAAAATACATAATATAAATCTTTTTCAGACATCCTACACTTTTATGCAAAAAAGCAAAAAAAAAAAAAAAAAGAAAAGAAATAAAAAGCTTATTCTTTAGGATATGTCATGTATTTTTCCAGCATACACAAGTTACTGTGAGAAGTGTGGGAATACAGCCACAGCCATACAGACAGCCTCTGCCTGCAAGCTGATGCTCAGAGGAGTTCTCTCAAAGATCAAGGTAGGGCATTTTATTTAGCACTATTTTAGACATATACATTTACTTTGCTATAAAGATCGTTTCTGTTGGCCAAAGAAGGTATCATCTATTTTGTAAAAAAAAAAAAGAAAAAAATTTCATAGTTTCATCCGGCTTATGTCAGAGGTTGTTTCTCTTTTAAAGATTTTCTCTATTAAGGTGGATGGGCAGGATTATTAATCCAATATAAAAACTACAACTGCAACTTTTTTTTTTTGAATATGATGTTACATTGCAAGTTATTAATATTAGCCAGATCATGTCCATAAAGTGATGTTCATATGGACATTTCCCCAAATTCAATTTTAACAATTAGGGTATAAAGTTCTCTCTGAAATTTGAGCTGAGCTACATGGTAACTTTTTTTTTTCAGCAAAAACAGTCGACATCTGCTGAGAGTGTGGTGCCTGAACTTCAAGAAGACTACAACAAATTGGAGGAACACTTGCAGGAGACAGAACAGTTGCTAACAAGATTAAAATCCGCATCTTGACTTTCTGGAATTTCAAACTTTTTGTTCGTTTAAAGCCATTTCTCGTCTAGATACTGGACAACAACTAAAAGCAGGAAGACGACTTTCACTAGTCTCTCTTTTTGTGGTGCAACAACAGTATAATGTGAGACATTGCATATCTATCTTAAAACACTTTTCTACGATGGGTCAAGTCTTAAATTTACAACAAACATGTCCACTAATATTGAATGTAAGCAGCAAAAGAGGAGTCTGAATAATTGAGGAAACTTATTTGATATCTTTGGAGCAAATACACCTCTTATATAAATTTTTTTACATGTTATAAATATAATATGATTGTAAATTTCAGATCATACTGTTAATAAGCACTTGACAACACAATTTATAGTTGGAATATTTTATAGCAAAAATAATGGAGACATATTACATGTGCACAATTGTGTTATACAGTGTGAAAAACATCAACAAATTGATTATGACCATTAATCAAATGAAAGGGGAAGCACCATCAAGTTGCCAAGCTCACAAGACTGAGTCAACCAACATTATTCTTAGAAATACTCATTGATGTAATTATAGCCCACTTACCATTAATCCCTCAAATAAAAAAAAATGTAAATTTATTTTTGCAAAAGATCAAAGGTACACCCCGGTTGTGAACTGATAAATTTTAATGAAAACTTTGTAGTCATCAGAATTGTGTAGAGTAAGTGTCTCTCATATTGTACTCCTGCCCCAACATTAATTACAGCAAAAAATTGAAAGACCTCAAATTGTGTTCAGTGACCACAATGTAAAGAGGGTTGAATCTTGAAACAGAAACTCGATTAAAAGACTTCTTTTACAAAATAAAAGACAAAACATTGCTGGTACACATTCACTACATTACATTGATTAAAAAAATGAAAATGGCTCATTAAATGACATCCTTACAGTACTGTTATAATTAGACTAGAAATCCTGTATGATATGATGATATTTGTGCATCGTTTACACAAACAACAAGAATCTCCACCTTAATGAATCTAGTTGAAATCTCTGGCATATTTGTCACATTAACAATCACTTCGATATCTTATCCTGTGAAAAAAGTCCTACTTGGTCTTTCCTTTTTTAATCTGAAATAGAAAATTGAAAATTTTAAAATTCAATATTTACTGAAAACTTTTTTATTGAGCATAGCATCGGTATAAAAGCAAAAAAAAAAAAAAAAATGCCTGTTCTCTCCAAAATTCTGAATGGCTTTTTTGTTCCTTTGTTTGGCCTATCTTTGTAAAAAAAAAAAAAATGGAATCGAGCAACTATCACACCAGTCTTTTTCATAAAAATTACAATCCTCATTAAATCAAGTGTTCACCTTTGTATTATGATAATAGTCCCGACATGTGTGGTGTCAATTTTAGGAGATGGAATTGTATAATTGTACTGTTACCTTAGCACCTAACCGTGCTTTGTATCCTTCAATCTCATCCTGCTGTTGCATCAGCCTTTCATTCATAGCTGCCAAGTGATCGCTCATAGTGCTTAATTGGCTTTCATAGTTTTTGGTTGTAGTTTGCAGTTCATCCTGACAAAGATATTTTATAGAATTCACAATTTCAATATTTATGTTCTTAAATCTGTTGCTGTTACATAAATAAAAATGGATAATTAACATAACCCTTGTTGTATTATATATGCGAGTGCCATGCTGTTGCGTATTGGTATACAAATGTTTCCATAATTTATTAACCAAAGATTTTTTAAAATCTTGTCACAGCACTGGGTGGCAGGGAGAAATATTAAAATTCATGCAAGTTTAAGAGTGGTAACAGATTATAAATTTCTTAACATTTCTAGGCACTTGAAAATGTTACCTTGAGTTGTGTGACAGACTGATTTGCAGTCCTTATTTCTTCCTGAGTTTTTACTTTCGCCTTCTCTGCCAATGATAATCTTTTGTGTAGCGCTTTACACTGTAAATGAAACCATCCATACAAAATACATGTCATCATTTTTAAAACACCACTTCCATGTAAATATACAATCAGCATGAACTGAATTTAATAACCAACTGAAAAATTATTACACATTATGGAGATGGATCATTAGTTCTTACAACCTCTACATAATTTACATAAGTTACATCAAGTGAGAAGTATTGAAAGGTTTCTACTGGAGCTCTTCTTCACACTGCGATGAACACTTCAAACAAGACTGCAGTTGCAGTAGATGAAAAAGCTTACAATAACATGACGGCCAAATTTCGAACATTATACTTGAGCTTGTTCTAACTTGAGTTTTAGTTTGTTTGTTTTAACTGGCATGTCCTATTACTTAAGTCAGCTTAGATCAAGGAGACAAAGTACCTTCATCCAGAGTTCACAAAATTAACCTCATTATTCACTATTGTTAATACGTTACCTCAGCATGGACCTGAACAGCCTTGCTGTCAGCCATCTGGAGCTGGGACGTCAGCTGGTCTATCCTCTGCATGTAGTGCTTCTTAATCAGTTCCTCCCTTGTAGCCTGGTCATCTAAACCACCCTTTGATGTCTCCAGCTGACCAAGCTAAGAATACAGATAGATCTGTTTAACTGATAGACACATGCCTCCCTGCTTGTATAAATATGTGTATTTCATGTGTAATTTAGATGACGAAAAGCCATTTAGTATGCTATCTGATCAACAAATGACAATTTACATTAAGGCATAATTTTTGTCACACACACACACACACACACACACACACACGTACGCACGCACGCACGCACGCACACACACACACACACACACACACACATGCCTAATAGTCTTCATAAAGAAAAAATTCAATCTGAGTATGTCCATAATTATATAAGAAGTGTGCACACCATGCTAGTCTCTATGAACATGGCTGGCTGTGGTGATGCCTGGGGTTGGGGGAGGAGCCCCCTGTCCATGTTATCCTCTAGAGAGCCAGCAGATGTGGATGTCCTTGCTAACTGTTTCTCAAGTTCTGCCACTTTCTGAAAATATTTGAATGAAAAAACAATGCTAATTCCAAAGGAATAATATTATGGTAACAATGTTTGTTTTTGTATTTGATCACATTTTTTATTATTTGGGCTTGTCTGCACATGTCAAATCAAGCCAGTGCATCCCCAAATATGAAATTATATAACATGTATATGTGTAAGCATTAAAACAGAAACAGAGAGAATAGCAAAATATACATATTTGAGTTGAAACAGTCATAATCATTTTTTGTGAACTTATCAACACAATGAAGATAATATGAAATCAAATGCACAACTCTCTCACCTGCATCTCTTTGTCATACTTCATCTTCATAAGCTGGGACTCCAACATCCAGTGCTCTTTATCTTGTTCTAACTTCTTAGTACGCTCTTGGAAATTTGTGACCTGGTGGAATTAAGTTTAACCATTTACCAATTTCAGTATGCAAATGCCCATTGTCAAAAGAGTGCTGATTTGGCAATTAAAAATGCTTTAAAATATTGAGAGACCTAATTTCCTTTAAACTGAAGACACTTCTTTCATTTTTAATAATATCTATTCTGAATATGTCATCAGAATTTGTGGAGAACACATGAAGTTATTTACCCTTCATCCCCTTCTAATGGCAGAGGTAGTAAACAACTCTTACATGGATCACACAGTTATCTCTGCTCAAGAATGAAGCACTATTAGTCTATTAGGATACATTATTCACATTATGTTTAAAAGAACAAAAGGTACAGTGTCTCTGAATGATTATTCAGAAGTAGATTAGGATTTCACTGACTTGTTGAGCTAGGCTGTCCCTGCTCTCTGTAGAACTAAGCAGGGTTCTACGGTTTTCAACTGCAACCCTGTATGGTACTGACTCTGGAATTTGCTAGAGAAATTAAAAAAATAAATAGATAAAATCAAATAAAATAAATATATATATTCTATTTTGGATCATTACCCTAAATTCTAGGATTTAAAATATATTTGTGTGTTGAGTAATAGTTCAAATCTTCAATATTTTCATCCAACGCACAATTACCAAAATCAAACTCAATTATGGAATTATTTTCAAATAGGATTAATCATTTAAAACAACAAAAGCATTTCCCCCTGAACTTAACCAGGAGACAATATATTGGGAGTAGAAGGACAATAAAACAACTAAAAGACCAGACAGAAGAAACAGTAAAGCTTTTTTTGTATTTTAAAAAACACCATGATTATAAACTGAAAGTACTGCACACAATAGTCATTCCAAAATGCTTGTGTCTTTTCTACAACCTTTTTTATGCTAGTCCAATAACATTCAGTGCAGTCTGTTAGTTTCCATACCCTATGTAATGAAGCCATGTAGTTAGCAGATTTCTGCCTCAGAGCTCCCACCACGGGGCTGGACTTTGGACCCTCCATGGACTCATTGGTAGATATACTACTACCTCGAGTGCGATAACCTGCTGTAGCACAGAAGAACTCCAGGTTGGTCCGCATGAAGTTGGCAAACTGCAAAAAGAAAAAAATGCTACCGAAACCAATATTAAATGTTAGTTACATAATAATATGGAAGAAAACAGACAGAACTAGAAATATAAACTTTTCCAACTAAAAATTAAATTTTCACCTTTTTGGGGGGGGTGGGGGGTGGGGGTCGAAACAACCCTTATTATCCAATTGTATAAAATTTACCATTAAGACACAAAAAGAGAAGGAACATAATAATGTATTACTCACTTTCCCAGCACACTTTTGTAGATGCACCAAAGCAGACATGACACATTCATCTGTGGTCTTCAGTTTAGAAGGGGCAGTGGGCAGCTGGTGTTCTAATGTCACCTTGGCATTGTAAGTAGTAGATAGCTCTGAATGTAAAATATACTTAGTTAAAAATCAACTCCATGACTATGACAAACATAGACATACAAAGGAACAAGAAATAAAGAAGTCTAAATGCACAAAAACAAAATATTCCAAATGAAGGCCTAACAAGTGTGAGTATAAAAAATATTGTTAAATTTGTTGTTTGTTTTGCATTTATAAACCATTCACTTTGTTGTGTTACTTTTCTAGATTTTCCCCAAAATAACCCAGTATTGGACATGTGGCAGACAATAACACTCACCTTTCAAAACTGTGTGGAAAAGTTCAAGACCACCTGACAGCTGTTCAAAGAAAATGGCTTGGTTGGTTTTTGGGTGATCACAAGATACTGTGCCTTGAAAGAATAATGAAGACAGTATGGCATTTATTATTATTGCTGAGTATTTTCTATTATCGCAACTTCAATATCTGAAAAACAATTCTTTTCTTGGTTTTTTGTCTTTAAAAAGATCCAAATATATATTTTCATAAATATAATCATATTGTGGATAGCAAATCTTGGAAAAATGTGGCATTTCGCTGCAGCTCAGCTGAAGTACTTCTGCCATCTACTCTATCTTTCAGTGTATTCTTACTTTGCTGAGCAATGACAGCCACATAAGTCTGTATATTGTTGAGTACTGCACAGAGCTTCTGCACTACAGAGTAAAGTTCCTTATTCTTGGCAGCCAGGGCCTCAGGACAGGAGGATAATGAACACTCCTCTTCCAGGCTGCAGGTAAAAACCAACACTGTATTAAAATCAAACAGTAATATATGCCATATACCTTACATGGACTGGTAGCCAATAACAAAAACAGCACTGTATGCAATGAAGAAAATTGAGTTAAATCACAATGGGCAAATTCAGTACGAGTGTACTAGTACCACTCGGTGTGAAAGGGGGCCTTATTAACAGTGAATTGATATAGAGCATTAGAAGTACCTCAATAACTGGTACGGCATTATCTTATTGCTGTATGCCACAAAGTTTGTAAAATGATGGGCAAATTCTTGGAGACCCATGGCAGTTTCCTGGAAAGAAGTCAATTCAACATTTAAAACTGTACGTCTCAATTACGTACTCAATATCCAGTTTATCAATGTAGGAATTTTTATACATTATTATATGTTACTTGCCTTTTTTCTTAAAGACTTCTTTTCATTAATCAATCTCAGAACATGGAAAATCTCATCACACCAATCTGTCACTAATGGTCCAAACTGGCAGAAGATAGACTTAAAGTCTTCAACTGAGAACTTTTCAAATGTAATCTCATCATTTTTTATTTGATGGTCAACTGCTTGATGACTCTTGAAGTTTTTGACTTGAGAAATTTCAGAAAATGTGCAATAAATTTGTTGCTGATGGTCAAAATAGTCAAGGAGGCAGAGTGAACTTTTTTAACTGTAAACATTATATATGTAGTTTTACCAGAGTTGTCAGGGCATCCTCTTTCAAGCTGTTGTAAAAAGCACTAAATGATTGCTCCACTGGCCTCAAATATTGCATGTTTTCATGTAGATACTGGCAAAACTAAAAGACAATAGATAAAACATGATGAGCATAAAGTTAAAGCTTTTTGCCACATTTTAGCTTTGGGTTATAATCACATAAGGAGAGTGGAGAACATCTGTTTATAATCAGACCTATTATAACATGCTTTATTGATATGGCTTTATAAAATATTCTTTCCTACATGTACATACTTTGAACACACTTGTAAGCTATAATTCTGTAATTGTATTACAATCTATATGTCCATGCTGAAGTTCAAATATGGCCATTCATCAAATTTTCAATCTAGTGTTTATAATGCCACAATGATTATGAATGAACACACACACCTTTTTGTTGACCTCACTGTATGGTTCAATCTGGCCATCTGCAGGGTAAATCTTAGTCCTCTGCTCCACATAAGTGTAATAGTTGGCTAAACCTTGCACTAGGTCTTGGACTAAATTGGTGGCTTGACCACAAAGTTCTTTAGCTTTTAGTTGATGTTTTCTGTCATGTGTTGGTACATTTAAAGCATTCAAATCTCGAAATTCTGGAAGTGGAAAGAAAAAATATTATCCTCTTGTTTAAAGCACTTTTAAATTTTATCTTTAGTTTGAATGGATAACTATGCAAAAAAAGCATTATATTTTGTAAAGATTTAAAGTGAGCCAAATTTTCTATTTTTTCTTTAAACTTCTTTAGTTTTTAGCTGGTGTTTTCTTTCATGTGTTGGTACATTTAAAGCATTAAAATCTTGAAATTCTGGAAGTGGAAAGAAAAAATATTATTATCAAGTATAAAGCATTTTTGAATCTAATCTTTAAAATTTGAATAATAAACTTTGCAAAATATACATTAGATTTTGTAAACATTTAAACTGAGACAAACATTCTAACCATTTTTTCTTTCAACTTACTTGTATCATTAAAAGGTAGTTTATCCCTGATTGTTTTAGTTGCTTGGGTCAATTTACTTGTCAGGTCTGTCTGTATCATCTTGAGTTGCTGCTCCCTACAAAATAATGAATAAAAATGGAATACAAAAGGAAAAATCAACAAATTGTTACCAGTCCTACTATTTGTAAATGCATTAAATGATATATTTGTTGTAAAAATCACTAGAAAAGTTAACCAAAAGAGAAGCTTTACAATGAGAGTTGGCATACATGCAAGAGAGTGTGTGTGTACATGCACATGTGTGATAACCCGTGTGTGTTTGCGGTTGTTGCCTCCCTTACGCTGTTTGAGCTCTCAGTTTGGCTTCCTTTGAAAGTTTCTCCTGTTCATGAAGCTTTATTTCTAACATGGCCTTCTCATTCTGCAGTTTCTCCAGCTGCACCTTGCTGTTCTGCTGCGTGGTCTGAAGCACCTGTTGATGTTGAGCAGACTCCTGTTCAAGCATGGTCAGCCTGTCCTGCAAGTCTGCCACCTTCTGCTTATATTCAAGGTCGGAGTTATAAACCTGGTGGATCAAATACCATATTGCCAGTTCAGGATTGAAAGGATAAAAGCCCTGGCTGCATTAAAAGTGTAGATAATATTTAGCATATACTATTATATTACAGGGCAACCATCTTTACTTGCCCTTCATTGTCACTTCAGTGATGTGTATGTATGCAATAAAGGTTCATCCTCTACCATTGCAAAAGTTCAAACTTTTCTACTTCTACACAATTTGAAAGCTATATACTTTTTTTTGTCCAACACTTTTAACTTTCTGTTTGAACTGTGACTTCATCTACCGCACAGTATAAATTTTATCAGACTGTTCTTTCTCTGTTATTTCACCAACAAATGCAATACATATCACACAACACCTGGACATATTACCTAACAGACAAATGCTAAAAAAAAAATACTTTCAAATTCACATCTACAAAATTTAAATTGCAAAAACATAAGATTGCCAAATGTAATTTGTCAAAAATATAACCAAAATGTATGACAAGTAGCTTGAAGCAGCTTATTAATATAGCAATAAGAACCATGCTGTTAATGAACCCAAACTAATGTTTCCAATGGATTTCACTTTCAAAGAAACCTATGCATGTTTACACAGGTTTACTATAAGGTCTACTTGGTAAAAATTGAGGTGCACACTGGACCCTTAGGGCTCTGTTTCACTATAGACTAAAAGTCTTAATTAATACCTGTTTGTGTAGTCTTTCATTTTCCTCTATTTTCTGTTTGAGTTCCTCCCCTATTGCACTACTTCTTGGACTTGTCGACAAAGACACATCATTGTGCTTGTTCTAAAATAAATAACATATTTGTTTTTTATTTCAAATGCATGTAAGGTTTCTGTAAATGGTGTGGTGGTACCTTCAAGCTGTGGTGCTACCCCTTTGTGCATTGTTTCCTTTAATTCCAATTAACGTTTTTTCTTTTTTTTTTTAAATACAGTCATATGATTTGGGGGGATGTCTAAAAATTCTAAATTACAATTTAAGATAAAATGTTTAAATCAACCCACTGGCCTGTGCTTGTAGCATTAAATTTTTACTGGCCTAATATATGCCATATTCTGAAGTTATGTAAAAAAAAAAAAAAACTAACTTGATTAAAAGGTCAACTTGTTGGTTTTTCCTTTTTGAAATGTGGAACAAAAGTTTTAGTAATATTCTTTACTGTTGTTTCTATTAGCAGCAGTAATGAACACAAGTTTGGTCAAAATTTTTGCCTGTAAATAATTGTCTAAGTAGTAAATTTTGAGCTGGGCCAATTACACTTTAGATAAACTGGCAATAATTGAATGGAAATGTTTAAAACACTATAAAATATGCCTTTATTGCAGCCTCAGAATGTATAAGATAAAAAAAATAAAAACTACACTGTACATAAGTGATTCTCACTTTTGATTTCTTGTCCTTTGCCTCTGCATCCACCAATTCACTCTGTAAAATCTCTACACGCTTTGTCAGTTGCTGGTTACGAAAGACAAGGCTGTCAATTTCTTGTTCAAATTTGCGAATGCTTTGTTCTTTCTCTTTGATTGCTTCCTAAAAACACAATCATATTAATTACATAATTATTATGGAGACTGTCTTATATACATAAAGTAGTGTTTTTATATCCTTATTTATCACAAACTTTGTTCAACCAAAATCACTAAAAATATACTTTCCTAGAAGGCTTATTTAGTACTAGTAATGAACCACAAATAAAAGATAAAGATATTTAGTAATAAAATGGCACCAAAACACACAAAATGCCAACCTTAAAATGATTTTCTTTGGTCTGCTCATCTAGCACTGCTTTCTTGAGGACAGGTATTTGGGCCCGCAGCTGGAATATTTTTGTGGAAAGATTGCAAATTTATAAAATCAATATTACAGCATTTAAAGTAAAAAAATGTTTTTTAAATATCAAATCTGCTTTGATTGGTTTTCTCTCAAATGTTTTAGTGTACTTGATGGTCCAAATTCTACGGACAGAAGTAACGAAAACACTTAAAATCTTCAGTAAATAAACATCACTTCAGTTTCACTGACCTACACAAAGCAATACAGTGACTCTGATACCGGTCATATAATTAGAGAAAAATAGTATTTGTCTCTTTAACACCTAAAACATTCAGTCATTATACAAAGGCTGGACATCATTAATGAATATCTACAGGAGCACATGTGGATATACCTTAGCGTATTCAGATGCCAGCTTCTGATACTTGGACTGCAAATCCGCTGCCATCACTTTCTATTTGCGGAAGTGGCGGAAGTAGGTGGACGGAAAACTTGCGCATGCCAAATGTATCCGGATGTGCATGTTCATTGGATCTGTGTTACAGCAGTGGTTCTTTCTTGTTTGATGCTTGAATTTGAGGGGTGTACTGGCATTCCGTATTGTTTTAATAGTGCAAGGGGTTAGTCCTTAGCTAATCTTGAGGGTATACTTCTCGCTGAATGTATTAAAGGTATGCATTTTAAAACGAGTTAACGAGTTGCTACCTACAACCAGTGGTGTTACAAATAAATACTACTTAAAGTATTGCCGCAGTATTACATACTTGGTTAGCACAGCCAGTACATATCAGAACCGTCAATAGGAGTGCTAACGCATGAATTTTCGTGCTAATGCTTGGTATTTTCCGCATCATTCTTCAGAAGACTTCTCATGTTATATCATGTAAAATCAAATGTAAGACTTCAAATTTATATTCTGATAAATTATTTTTTATCTCATGACGTTCATTATTCTTACATAGGGCACTGGATATATATGTAAGAAGAAGGATGGCAGCCTTTCTGGCAAAGAGCCTTTCTCAAAGATGCTCTCTAGTTCTGCAAAGAGAGAAATTATTGCATTGTTATCATTTCTGTGTGACCAGAAGCAGCAGTGCCTGGCAAAAGACATTGCCAGAATCATTTTCAAAACAGAAATTTGATTCATGTACTATAAGAAGACATGTCTCACAGCAAGGTAGAAGGAAAAGAATGTCAGAATATGATAGGCCTACCTTTAAAGTGGAAAATGATGCACTTCTATACACGAGTGATCCTAGCACAAAAAGACTCTCCAGGGGAGCAACATTAGCTTTTGCAGTGGGAGCATTGTCATTTTTTGATCTGGCTTATGGTTTATTATATCCAGTGAATCATCCAGATGATTTCAAGGAAGTTGAAATAAAGGATACTTTTTTAAATAGAACAGCAAAGAAAGTAGCAAAGTATGAAAAATATCTAGTAGGCATATTCATTGCATGTGGTAAGTATGTCAGATGTTTATCTAGTTTTTGCCTTAAAAATATGATAAACATCCTTTAAAAGTATAAAATGCACATTTAACCTGCTGTAGTAAGTAATGAATTTTCATTATAAATCAGTAATTTTTAACTTTAATACTAAGGTACTGGTATACCTGTCCAAAACCATAGCTATAGTGGATTTTTTAAGAAAATAATATTTTGCTTATTAAAGATCTAACACTCATTTTGTGACTTCAAGTTGTGAAAGGGGTTTTATTCAAAATGAAGGGATACAGCCTTATGTAATAGAACTTTGTACTGGTGAAGTATGTATCGGCCAAGCTCTTTAATTGTACTGCAACTAAACAGATTGATTAGTAAGATGTTACCTAGTTTTAAATGAAGTTGCCAGGTAATGAAAATTATTCATTTAATTACATTGGGGGCCAATGTTTGTCATCAGAATGGAATGTTGTCTCTGGTTAACATACTAGAGAGCATTGTATAAATATCATTGATAAAAAATTCACTTCATTACTTGCATGTCATCTTATGGGTGATGTCATAATTGCAATTTCCGGGTAAAAACTGAAAAATCATTTTCTCAAATTTTTGTGTTACCTGAGCACCCACGATCACCATTTTAACATAGGTTTAATGACACCATTTAGTACTCCAAAACCCAGTATAAACCAGTATATTAAGCAAGTATGAGCAGTATATTAAGCAAGACTTTTTTTTTCAGGGTTCATTTGTTCCATAGTTTCCTTCAATCTCTCCCGGAAGGTTGTACACATGATAATACTAAAGAGTGGAGGAGAATACGTAGAACTATATACATCCACATTATTTGGAAGACTCAGGTAAATAATTTGCACTGAAGGGGCTCTCAATTTCAATGTTCATATTTATAGATAGTAAATTTTCATTTTTATTTAAAAGTATTTTATAGGACTTAAAATACTTTAAAATCTGTAAGGAATTTATAATAATGAAGATATCCTCATTAAATGGAATGCATCTTTTTTGTTGCCTGTCATATAAGAAATACAATTTTAATCTAAATCACTCCCAATTACATATCTGACTTGTATTTCTGTTGCAAAACGTGCCCCATCCTGTTGATATGTAAATTCCCTCCGTACGCATTTAAAAGTTTATTTCCTTGTTTCAGGAAAACTGAGATACTACTAGAAAACATGGCTGGCGTAAAACACAGAGTCGGCAGTGGTAGACTGTTAAGATTACGAGTCAGAGGCCGGAGATACCCTGTTTATATGTTAGATGGGAAATACCATGAACCTGAGCTGTTTGATAATCTTGTCAATGTTCACAGACTTTTTTGAGCCAACATTGGGCTTTTTTGAGATGTGCTGACCCTTTTTTTTTTTTTTTTACAGAAAACACTACTGAGTTGCTTATTTGATAGAAATCCCAACATATCAATAAAAACATTGAACAAGTTTCCTTTCCATATACTTCTGGAGTAACAAACAGATAATATTTATACTCTGTTGCTGTTGTAGGTATGGGCTTATATTTTCTTTAAAATGTGTAATAAAGTATTTGAAACATGTTTTTTATTTATTACATCTACAAAGAAGCGTACAATATTATTAGAAATACGTAACAGGCTGTATGAATGTTTAAACATGTGCTCTCTGGTCAATATCAAGAAATTAATTGTACAGACTGTTTCATCTCCAAGAACCAATTTTTTGATATCCAGTATTTAATACATAACCTCAATTTTAATACCTTACAACATTAAACAATAAAATCTCTAATATTATGCTTAATCATTATCATTAATCATTTTCGGACTTGCATAACTCACTAGATGGCAGAACCTGTAAAGTTTGTATGACTGAAGGGGGAGGTATTTTTGGTGTTTAAGTTTTTTAATCTGAGGTCTTTTAATTCAGATGATTAGAAATAAATCAGAATTTATAAGAAAACTATTGCAAAAAATTCAAAATTTTCAAACATTTTTCAATGTAACAAGGGGGTGAGAGGATGGTAAAAAGAATCCTATGTTGTAGAGTCTACATGCTCTTGCATGTAGTCACAATTTCCACATCCTATGGGTAAAGCCTGTTAATCAGTTTGTTCATGTCCATATTCTTCTCAGTTTGAGAAGTCAAATAAACCATTCAGTTGTGAGATATTCATAATCTGTAGTAGTTGCACGATTTTCTTGCATGTAGATCTGGCTTTAATATGTTATGATTGCATAAGGGATTGAATCCATGTTTCTTTTGCTATGCCCAAGTGACTAAAGAGAAAATTATTATTAAAATAATTAAAATAAAAATCTAAAGTTTGTAGGTCTTGTCACCTTAGACAATCTCTTTTAGGTAGAGTCAATTTGATTTTCTTTTTCATAATTTTTGTACTGATAATAGTTTATAGTTTATTTCACTGTAACATATGCATCCACTTGTGTGGATGAAAATGACAATATGAATGCAATTTTTGTGAATATGCTATTATGGGCCATTCCGTGGTATTTGTGTCCTGGGCATAAAATTTTCAAATGTACAAAAATCAATCAAAAGTTGCATTTTCTGAAAGAAGAGACTTCAGGGGATAAGAATTTGTAAAAGATTTATCTGTATTTTTTGAATTCATGATTTTATAGCGCGTTAAACTTGAAAAATGTGAAAATTAGCATTACGGACGGAATTTTTTATTTTTTGCATATAACACTCAAAATAAATTTTAATCAATATCTTTCAATTGAGACATAAATTACATCAATTCCTTGAGGTAAACACGTAAAAAATCAAGTGAAATCTTAAAAAAAAAAAAAAAAAAAAAAAAGATGATATGTATCATGTTTTATTATACCGTTAATGGGAGTAAAAAGCAAATAAGCCAGGAAAACGGTCTCTTGTGTTGTAGCGACCCCTGTAGGTATGACACAAGCACATACGGGTTCTTTTATGATGGCTGCCTCCACGGACATACCACTTATTATTATTTAAAGACAACAGTTGCGATAATCTAGGTTAAAAGAAGCTTGTTCGACAGTATTTTATTTGTTGTTGTTTATTACTGAGTACCTGGTCGTTAATGAGTCAAAAAGGAAAAGGTAAATTTTAATGTCATAGCGGACTCGTGTATATCAGGAAAAAAATTAGAATGCGCCAGATATAAACAGTTCTAAAAATGTTCACAAAGTATTAAAATTTAAGCGAAGAGGACTTTTATGTAGGTTGTTAAATGAGGAACCTCAGTGGTCGCTGGTCACCGGCGGGCCAGTGCTGCTGCAGGACATGATTGACTGTGGCACCTCTAGAGCATTATAATATACCTATCTGCTGGAGTAGAATCATTGATATAATATTATTTTTGTGAACCTAAAACTTTAAGTAAAACGAGCTGTGAAAAGGGGGTGTGGTGGGGTGAGTGGACGTTTTGGTCATGGCTCAAGTAAGTGGGCTCACGTTTGAATTAGTGGTTTTTAAATGGGTTTATATTTTTAATAGTATATTTTTATTAATGCTTTTGTATCATTAACACATTCAATTTACCTATGGAAGCTCCACAGGAAAAAATCAGATAAAGTCAGGTATTTGGGTTGGAGTAAAACATCAAAAAAGGATTAAATGTACTGCTGAAAATTGCCATTTCAGACTTACAGTATTTTGCATGACATGTAAAGGTATTAGCACTCTTTAATTGGTGAGAAAGGCTGTATGTGGAACTTGGAAATTAGTTACTTTATGAAGCCAGCCAATAGCTTGGCATTAATATATGGCAAGTATTTTCATGTAACAGCTTAAGTGGTTCTGTGATTTTTAAATATAGTAATCTTTATCCATATGTAGACAAAGTGTTCTTTTCATAAATGGCCGTCTTAATTCTTGTCTCTTATTTCTAGTATGCACACCATTCCATTCTCTCTTTCAGAAATAAGGATGATTACCAGTCAACTCAAACAGGTGACTCTGTCATCAGGGTTCCTCAGTCTAATACGACACTACACCTTGAAGCCTTGCTGTGGACCTTTGAGCTGGTACAGGGGAACTGCTTCCATCAATACAGAGAAAAAACATTTCAATAATTTTTCTGCAATACAGTCCCAAGCACTGTCACGCAGACAAGAGAAAGAATCGCCAAAGAAATGTTCACAGCTTCCATGCTTTGATCTGCCATTTAACAAGAGGCCATTGCATATGAAAGGAGTCAGCCCTTTTGTGAAACATGCTACTTTTACACAGACTAACTTAAGTCACTTGCAATTTGGGAAGAGATCATTACATAGTCAAGAAATAAATCCAAATGTGAAGCACCATACCTTGATATATGAAGCATGTAAAGACACATTTTACTATATCATATTTTTAAAAGTGTTTTTAGCTGCGGTTGGAGCACATATCCTTTTATTTTACTCCCGTATGGATGTTGACAGAGATTCTAATGAAGGGGAGCTTAGTGATAAGCGTGAAGGATGGTACCAGAAACCATGGCTCCATTTAGGGTTGCAGTTGGGTGTGTTTGGTAAGTATGTGGAAAGCTATGTTTGAATTATCTTGAATAGGAAGACATCTATGAGGACAAGCATTTTATTTATTTTTTAATCATTCTGTACAGTAGAAAATACTTATAGTAATGTGTAATTAATTCAGAAATAATACTTAAGAGCACCCCTTTGAAGTGCATATCAGCGGTTATACTTGTGTTTCATCCACAGTATAGACATAAGAAATGATTCTGGTTTGTTTTAGGGATAATGCTGATTTTAATCATGCCACGAATAAGGTACACAATTTCAGAGATTGTGTTGCTGCCTGGAGGACAGGGAGTGGAAATTAAACATTATCGTCTCCTTGGCAGAGCAAGGTAATGTTGAATGGGTTTCAGTACTCTTTGCATTGTCCAGGGATTGAGAATGGTTTATATTGCTTCAGTATGTTTGACATGTACTGTGTCAGTTTTTTTTTTTTTTTCAAAGTATTTTACCTCCTCTTCAAACACGCAAGGATGCTCATACATCTGTTAAGCTTTTTGAAAAAAACTTTATTTTTCCCTGGTTTCATCATAGCTATTATTTCTCAAAAATATGTCAACACATTTTAGTCATTGATTCTCACTGCAAAGATCCTGATACTTAAGGAATGTGAGGGAGAAAATTCATGGGAAATTATTTTTATAAGTTGTTTTTTATGTGATTTAATGTTCTTTTTTTTTTTTTTTTTTCTTTTTAATGTTTTTCAGAATGTAATTTGGTCAGTCATTTTATATGTAGAATGAGCGCCTTTTATATTGCAGGAAAATAGAAGTTCCTGTTAAGTACATCAGCGGATTACAACACAGAGAATCAGAGAGTACAATTCCACTGCAAATATACAAAGAGACATATTGGTTAAGGAAAGGGACTTATCACCATCCCCAGCTATATGACCACCATATAGGCATTCACAGAAAGTTTTCAGAAGAGGACTGATTATGGGACCATTCCCACAGATATGTGGATCAATCTATCTCCCTGGGGAGTCCACTAAATTGCTATCAACTTATCCCCTCAGTAAGGACAATTACCCCCTAACAGCTTTACTAGGCGTGACAGACATTTAAACAGAGTAAGTTGATAGCAATTTAGTGAGACTCCCAGCACCAGTGGGCCTGCTTTGGTCTTAAAGTGCAATTTAAGACTAAAACTAGGCTGAGGCAATCTTAAAGCTTAAGGAGGGACTCTTAATTTGATCTTAAGAAATCAAAATCAAAAAAGAAAGAAAAATAAAAGAAAGACTTCCTTCAAAACAACACTGAAAGTATGCTGCACTAGTACTTCTACAACCAAGTCTTTCCTTGCCAGAAATTATCATAGAAATTATTATCCTAGAAATTATCTGAGGTAGTATCTGAATCACCCTTATCAATTAGGCAATTAGCACTTACTTGCCAAGAGACCACCCTTTGCTACTCACACAATGGCCCTCCACTTGATTGCTATCTTCACCTGTCTGGCTGGAAAGCCAGTCCAAGTTTGGACTGGATGTGTGAGGGGAGATAATTGCTTTACCACTTCAGACCAATTATAGACTTACTCACTGGACTTTCAGTTTGTTATTAGTCTTAAGATCAAATTAAGAGTCCCTCCTTAAGCTTTAAGATTGCCTCAGCCTAGTTTTAGTCTTAAATTGCACTTTAAGACCAATTCAGACCCACTAGTGCTGGGAGGCATGGGAACCCAGTCTATGATTCTGTGGTTGGTGTCATGATGTAGCTATAGAAGCAATTACTTTAAGTGTCTCTTGTGCAAGTCTTATATTGTTGTTCACATAGTGATACTATTTGTACTTAAACTTCAGACTACTCCACCTTTACTGCAGTCTGTACCAAGGCATGAGGCATGCAATCTTTGAGAGCTTTGAAGTAATTCAACAGGAACATGTGGTGTCCTTTATAAATCAACAATTTTATTTCTTCTGTTAAATACAAGACCTGCTGACAAAGTGTACATTTACACAAGTTCTTGTAACGAGAAAAGGTCATATTCCTTCCTAAATGGGTAAATCACAAAATTACATTCAAATTAAGGCTTTGTTCACATGGAAAATCTATTTTCTAAAAATCTATTTGCAGTATCTTGTGATCATGGTGTGTGCCCTGAATACCCCACGGCGTAATTACGGGCAGCACGAGCCAGTTACTTCCAAAGCTGTAATTAATTCTCGGCGCTGCCAGTAATTACGCCGCGGGGTATTCAGTGCACAGACCGTGATCACAAGATACTGAAAATAGATTTTTAGAAAATAGATTTTCCATGTGAATGGAGCCTTATTGGAAGGAAAAATTGACACATTGTGTCCAAATACAATGAATTTGTAATTTTAAATTAAAAGATGTAAACATTTCAGGTTTTAGATGTTTTAACTGGATAGTGTATGAAAAAAACTTACATGAGATATACGTGAGATAAAGTGCCAAGGCCCTTAATGGCTGTGGGGATGACTGGAATTCAAAAATTGATTTGAAAATGGTTTTGTGTACCACATATTTAGCAAAACTTAGCATGATGCACATCTTCAATGAAAAGTCTGGGAAACATTTTAACAGAGTATTTCCCACAACATCAAGCATTTGCTTGCTTCCAATTTTAAACATTTGTCTTCACAATTTTTTTCTTCTATTTGATCTAAAAATGAGTCTTTTGACAAATTCCAGCTTTAACTATATTCTCCAAAAGAAAACATGAACTGTCACTTGCCTTTATGTCAATGATGTAAATGAAAAATGACCAAAAAAATCATAGTATATAAGCTGCATGGATGCAGTGAACAAAAAGTTTAAAAAAACAAACCAATAAGTTAGTGAATATTTTCCTAAGCAAATTAAATATTTGACTGCAGTCTTTCACTGTACAACTGTAAAAGCTGTTAATTAAATAAATAATGGTGGGTGCCACCTGATAATAGTATGCAAGGGGAAAGCAAATTCTTTCAACAACTTCGCTGTTAAGATATGGCTTATCCAAGATCTGATCCAAGGATCTCCATTTTGATAAAATAACAAAAAAGCTATCAGAAACTGAAACATGTCACATTTTAATGTTAAGAAAGAAAACTTAAATTGTGTGTTTGGAGTCTTTTATAATGCCTGCCATCATTTAAAGGTATCCTATCAGGGGGCTCTCATGCCAAATCATCTTGTCTTGAGTTGGGTAAAATGAGACTTGCAGGGCAAAAATAACTTTTGACCTTTTCAAATGAATGCAGGATACCTTTTAATTGATGAACAAAACCTTCTGGTTAAATGTCTTAAATATTATAATTATTAAACACACTAAAGTTTAAATGTATGGATTAATTATCAGTCAAAAGCCCTGGTATGTGATGAGCTACAGATTTTCCCACTGGAAACTCAGTAAGTTTGAGTTGGTCTCCAAAGTATGTGCAATTTCCTCTGGTATTGTATGGTTTAGCCACATTCTTTGGATCTTCTCATAACTCTCATGACTGAGCTGGAGTGGGTTTCCTCGCCTTGAAAACAAAAGAGAAATTTAGACCACTAATAGATGTAAACCCAGCAGTTAAATCGGACTCGATTTCAAGATGCTGGCTTATCAATGACTTTTTAACATTATTCTATAAGAAATTACACAAACATTTAAGATCAAAATATAAGTTTATGTTGAGCCAATAAAAATGGGTAGCCATCAGATTTTTTTATAATGGGAAAGGCATACTTATTTTCAAATGCATACTTTATAATATTGAAGTGGACAATTATGGATATATTTTAAAGTTGAAAAGATCAAATATTTGGTCTAAATGTTGAGACCAACTTAAAGTCTACCATTCTTATGCCAAACCAACCCCTGGCCTAAGACCCCAGATTCATCTGTCAGATTTTTCATTCTCCAAATACTTCCTCATGTGTAACTGATTACTTTATTCTGAGATAAAGAGAAAATTATAACTGAGCATTACCTCAATCCTTGATCTGTTTCTCCATATTCGTCTAAATATGGAGGAGGGTAAAAGCAGCCTCTCAGACTGGATTTTCCTGCCATAAGCAGCACCTGGCAATCACGAACTCTGAAATGACAGATCATGAAATCCAAACTAAAAAATTTTAAGCACACTAATTTTTTTCAGAAACTCTGAATCCTATGTATTATGCATTGACAATAATTCTTCATTTATCATTTTGAATTATATGACTGGCTAACATAATCTTTGTTCGTTTTCCGCCTGAAATGCATTAACTTTACATACCTCAGGAATATTCCAACACCAGCTCCACATGTTTCAGTATGCTCGGTGGCAGCACCTATAGTTTGACCGTCCCGAGTCACCTGACAGCAGTAACTCTGAGAGCACAGTAACTGACCACATACCAAACACATGGTGGGGGCACGGCTCTCATCACTGTCTGAATTTGGGCAACTACAACACAAACACACATAAAAAATTATATACACATACTACAGAATGCATTGAAACTTTTATGTTAAAACAGTTGCCACAGATTTAAACTACCCTCTACCAGGGCGAGTGATAGATTTTTTACAGATATTCACAGATATGTCTCTAGCTAGATAGATGGTCATTTAAGGCTCAACTCACCCTGTTGAGGAATCTCAAGGCTGATTACATGGCTGATAATTGTTTGCATAACAGCTCAGGCACTGCCACTTAGCAGGTCCAGTCTAAGTCTGCGTGACAGCAATCAAGACAGTTAATTACTCTGACTTCAATCACTTACTCTACTGTGACAGATAAAAGAGCCTTAGACTGGTTGCGTAATGAGCAGTTATCACATCGTTGTGAAGCTCAGCTCATGCAGAGCAAGTACAAAGCCTTTGGCGCGCGCACAGAGATAATTGTTTCCACATGGGATTCCTCAACAGGGTGAGTTGAGCCTTAAATGACCATCTATCTAGCTAGAGACATATCTGTGAATATCTGTAAAAAATCTATCACTCGCCCTAGGAGAGGGTAGATTTAAACATGTCCCAATCACCAAATGAAAACAAACTGGCATCTGTTAATCAAAGAAAAAAGTTGTCTGTACATGCATGTGCTTTCAGAGGCATGTGCCATCACTGTGTAACTGAACCTGGCAAACTTACTTGAACGTGGACACTTTGTTAATCAGATCACTGAAGTCCACTGGCAGTTTGACCAGCTGGTAGTCCACACGTGGGTAAGTGACCAGAGTGGAGGGGGATTCTGACAGGTGGTCCTGGACACACTGGTCTGTACACCAACTGAAAGAAACAAGACTGATGTGTTTTTTTTTCAATTTTTTTCCCTTAGTTATGAAACTTAAGCTATGCATGAGTGGATTTTTACACTTGATCACCAGTATTTTTTTCCTCTAAAGTATTCTGCATAGGACAAATGGTGTCCACATAGGGGTGAAAAGTTCTCACACATGACACGACTTTGTAATAGTTTCTTTATTCTTACCTAGTAATGAGACTATCTAAGACTGGAAGGTACTGTCCCAGTATTGCATTGACTGAGGTAGGCAGGCAGAGATATTTACAGATGCATTCAAATTCATCCCCTCCTACTTCTGAAGTAAAATTTGCTCCTGTTACTATCATTCATAGCCAAAGCCTTATTCTTTTACTTCAAATAACATAAACATTATTTTTTCTAAAAAAAATGAAAATGGTACAAATATTTTATGTAACTGCTACCTGGCTTAAACAAAGCTGACAGATTACTATTTTTTCTTTTCTTTTTCTTAAAATAAATTAGAAAAGTACATACCATACAATGCACTTGGGGGTGAAACAGCACTAACAAGGTGAAAGAAGATGGCAGCACAACGCAAGAAGGGCAAACACGCCTCTTTGATATGACTGTTTAAGTGCCATGGGAAAGGACTCAATTCCGTATCCAGCCTACAAAATGTGTTGAGTTCCAAGTTTAGATGAGTTTTGGTGATTTTTTAATAAAAAATATTTAGCATATTTCACCTTAATAAAAAGCAGACGCACATCTGAGAAAACAATATATAAATATGTGTATAAGATATGCAATATTTGATTTCAATAAAATATCAAAAACAAAAAATAATCTGCACACCTACCCTGCTTTAGCCCTGACATCATTGTACATTCTCAACAAGCTGGCTTCCTCAGTGTCCCCTTCCAACTCTAGCTCCATGGGTTCTGAAAAAGTGTCAACCATTTAAAACTTAACTGCAATCTGTATGACTAATAAATCAGAATAAGAAAAGGTTTGGATGTTGACTTTGGGTTAAGGGGTAGTGAACTGATTAAATAGCCCACCTTTATTGCACCTGGTGCATAACAATAAACAGGATGTTTATATAAATGTTGTCCTTAGTCTTTTCAACAGAATAAACTACATAAGAACTTTCGGAAGTAGAGATCTCATTTTTCAGTTGAAGCCCATGAAAGGAAAACATCCATGCAAGACTTCAGTCAATGGTCAATCAAACTAATATTCAGAACATAAGTAATCTGAACCAAAATAAATCAAATATCAAACCTCAGAGACATTACAGACTGTTATAAATTAAAACTTTCCTGGTGACTTACCAACAATTTGGAAGTCTGCTGATAAGATGATCTGCACCATGTGAGCAGTCAATACCAGCTCCAATAGATGGAGGTCATTGAGACCCGCAGTGGACAAACTGCACACGGTGGGGGTGTTATTCTCAGAGTACAGTATTGGCATGGAGACACATGCTTTCACCATGTAGTGGAACATATCTATCTCCAGTAGACATGGGTGACTCCATGGCTTCTTCTCTGTTGACTGCAGTATTAGGCCTGTGGGTAGGAAACCAGTGAGAATATGAAAAGTTAAACAAGGTTCTGGTGTGGCATGTAGATTTCTGTATGATTCAATCTCTAGTTATGTAAAAAGAAGCTTGGGTATCTTGGCCACCAGACAACCCTGGACCACCTCCTGTGATCAAGTTGACAAATGCTCTCATTCAAGCACTAATATATACAAACATACAGAGAGAGTCTGGACTGTAGGTGAGATATTGTGTTCAGATGTGACTTTAAGAACAATAGCACAGTTTGTTCAACTTAAATAATGTGAGACAGTATAGTAGCTCTACTCATGTACAGTAATGACTTGGTCGTTTCCATGGGCAAAATTCATCAATCTTTCAGATGCATCATTTTAAAAATCACAGAAATTAAACTTCTATAGAGCATTTGTGGAACTTTTGCATACAAAACAACTATAGGGTAGCCTGCTTTTTAATGTTGTTGCTTCCACTCAATGGGAATGTTCTAATTTAAAGAAATTATGACTTAAAAATACAGTATCTGTTATCGAGTCATTACCGTTCATGTTGACCTAGCACTGACCTGACAGTAATCGCACACAGTTCTGTTTGACCACCTCTGGTTGGGTCACCTGACCACTCACACACGCCACCTTCACCAATGCATTCAGACAATCAAGTTGACGAGAGGAGAGAGAACCAAACAGAGGCTTGCTGTCCTCTCGCAGGCAGTTATCTGTAATAGATTGCAAATTAACAAATGTTACTAAATACCTAAAAAATACAATCAATACTAGAGAGAAAAAAAGAAATGTCAAGAAATTATTCTTGTTAACCATCTCAATTCAACACACATCTATTTCAAGATAAGTTTTTCATATTTACATATGAATGAAGTAAACCCCTTTCACTTGTTAGCATACCTATTCCTTTATTTCTATATTAAACTACTTCAATGTATTTAAATAAATATTACAGATTACCAAATATTAAGATTTTCTTTTTGTTTTACCTATGGCCTGAATGGTGAAGGCTAGAGTACTCCATGGCATTTGTGGGATGCGGTCATTACTGTCATCTGGAAGCACTCCTAAACCAATCTGAAACATATATCAACATTCATTAAAAGACAAATCTGCAGAGATTCACTGATGAATGACATAAATAAATGGCTGAATGGGGCATGGATTACTCATAAGTAAGCTGAAGTACAAATGGTATCTGCAATCCTTTTTTTGTATAAGCTTTTTTAACTTACTGCATAAGTGTCCCTTGAAAATTTCTTCAGCATTTGAGAGATAGACTCAGAAAAATAATTGCTGAAAAAATTGATAAGATTCATATATATGCAAGCATTCATAAATTTCAATTCTTTCATAAAACAGTGTCTAAGATATTACACTTGTTACCAAAAAAATCACCATTTATCAGTTTGTCTCAATTTACACAGAGACTTAAAAACATAATGTGCTAATCAATAATCATTTCAAAAGTCATTTGTCTCTAACATAAATTTCAAAATTTCCAAAACTTTTTTTTTTCTTTTCTTCTCACCTGCCATCATCTGTAATATATTCAAACAACAAATTAAAGTTCCTAGCTACACTCTCCGTCATCATCTTAGTGATAGAGGACAACGGACAAGGTGTGTATAACAATCTTTCCTCTGAAATAACAATAAAAAATATACATATAAACTACTTTCTTAAAAAAAAGTTTATTAAACTTGACCTTAAAATTCATTGCTTCATATTCTACAAGAAGGACATTTTTATAAAAAATGCAGCAGTAAAAAATGTAATGATGATGAAGTCACATTTACAACAGGACAAACTCAAGACTTCAAACAGTCTTAGTGACGCCACTGAGTGACCCAGGCCACATATCATAGAACTTCTAGACCAATATTTCATTCTATAATTTGATCTAAGATGAGTCAAAAGTCCAATGAAAAGTTTTTATGGCTATAGTTTTAGACCAACAGTTTATCTATTTTGGGGGGCATCTACACACTTATTCTTAACTGAAGTTCTTTGTACTCTACATGAATAACATAATGGCAGCTTTTGCTCTAGGTAGATCTGTAATCTGTCTTGTATTTACCTTCTGATTCTTTCTCCTTGATTGCCTTTATGCTTGCTCTAACAGTTTTCTGTAGCCCATCTATCCAGTCACCAAGACTGAGATGAATTGCTGTAGTGCTACTGAAAAATGCCATGGTAAAATGTTGCAGTGGTAATAAAAATCGTAAAATAATATTTTGATCCTATATGTAGAAATGGTACTGTTACAAGCTCACTTTAGAGTACCCTTTTTTTTCGTGTCTAGCTTTATGAGATACCAACAAGTTTTCTAAAAGAAAATAAAGAAAAGTAAAAAGAAAAAATCAAGACTTAAAATTACTGTTCTGTATGATAATTCACAAGAAAAAATCAGGTATGCAGTGCTTTTGTTGAGAAAGCTGAAGGGGAAATATGCTGAAAGTCTCAGCAAATCCCAGTTTTATGAACTCCCATGGACTCACCCTTCTCTGACTAATGTCTGTAGTGGTGGTATGATGGGAATCACAGTGTTGCTTATTGTTTCACACAAAGGACACAGGAACTCTCCCCTCTCTATATGATAACTCAGCCTGTGTCGAAAACGGAGGATGCGCCTCCTTTCCTTTGCCAGCACTGAGTCAAAGAAGCTGTAAAATGACAAACATGCACTTGACATAAATACACTGATTTTAAAAGGCATTACAAAAAACTACAAAAGAACACTTACAAAATCTCTTTTAAAGGATAATTTCAATTTTCACAAAAGAGCCAACACATAATTGTTAAATCCATTTTTTTAGATAATCAACATCCACAGAAAATTATTTTTCTTCAAGCATCCAAAATGACAGCCAATGGAGAGTGTTTACTAGCTCTTCCTCCTTTGACAAGTCTCAATACCTAGAAACTCACATAAAATTCGGTTTATTTTTTAAAAAATACAATGGAAAAAAGAAGGGAAAAAAGACCATGGTCCTAGTCAGCTTACCTTTGCCAGCAGTCTGAATGCATCACATGGCCACATGTGCTGGTGTAAGCCCCACAGAACAGGTCAGGTGGCATGAACAGAGGGTCATACTCATCCGTGTCTTCAACCCTTTTACCTCGGTTCTTGGATAATACTGAAGATCTAGAATTATATAGAAGACAATTATAATAAATGTGCAATGTGCAATGTCTTTTCTGGATTGTGTATTTCACACAGGCATGCACAAAAACACACATCAGTATCTGGGGTGGCGCTAGGAATTTTTTTTCGTGTAGCCAAATTACCACCTTTTCATTGCTTTTTTGTCCAAATGGTTTAGATTTGATTAAAATAAGTCATATCAACCCCATTTTGTTGAGTCAATTTCAGTCAATTGTAGCATTTGGCTAAATTGGCGAGTGTTAGCGCTACCCTAGAGTATTTCCTTGGCACAAACTAGTTAAATCTACATTCAGTTGGAAAGTTTTGAAAGGAGATATGGGTACTAGTCAAAAGTATGCATTGTAACTAAATAAAAAGGATATATCTTAGAAAATTAGAATATATCTTTGGATATATCTTTGAGAAAATTATTGAACTGCCCTTTGAACAGATAATTCACCTTTGAACAAAGACAGCCAGTACTAGAGCTCTCTCTCCCTGTCCCACCTCTTGCTCTTCTTGACACAGTATGCAGGTGTGGGTAATGGCTGCTGCCGCCATACTACTACTTCTACTGGGACCCAAACATACTGGGGACTCCACGGCAACTGGCTCACTGTAATGTTCATATAAGACTCATTCTCAATGAAACTATCATTCTACATAGATTGATCCAAATCTGCAGGGACTCTCACTGAATGCAGTCAGTTTAACACGCCGCCTCCTGGTGTTGAGTAGAATACAGAAAAGCTGACAGCTATAGAAGTATGTTGGAAACAAGAGGCGGCGTGTTAATTCTCTTAATCTGATTGCAATCAGCAAAAGCCCTAGTGGCATTGGATTGATCTATGTAGATCTATAGTTTCATTGGGAATTAGCGCTTTCTTTAGTCAATGTACATTGTTCATCACTCAAAGACCACTTTCATCATTATGGGAGAACATTTATGTAATACAAATTTCCCATGTTTTAGCATGAAATAAAATCCTGGGGCTAACCTAATGTCCATGTCAGATACAGCTGCTTTGAGTTCAGTACTTGTGCTCTCAAACAACTCGGCATTCTCCTGTATGAAGTTCTTCTGCATTGCCGACATTTGTGCCATGATTCGGGCTCGGCGCTTGGCCGCTATCTCCTTGCGTTTCTTCTCCTGTTGCTCTCTCTCATCAATGACAGCAGTTGTTTTGGTTGCTATGTCAACAGCTTCAGATGATGCTGACTCATCTTTTAATGCTCTAACTTCAGCAAATGTCTAGAATCAAATAACATTTAGTTAAGAGAAATAAGATGTCTAAAATTACATACATGATTAGATCAATGGGAGAAAGGCATAAGTCTGCATGCTATAAAAGTAAAAATCATGAAACCTATTGTTATCATATAAAAACCTATGCTTGAATCTGAGAAGTTAAAGAAATTAAGAATATTCCACAACTTATTGAAAATTTCAGAAAAGACAGCTATTTTAATAACTGTTACAATTCATGACAGCTATTTTGCAAGTATGCACAGGTGCTTGCTGCAAAATCTTCCCATGAACCTACATTATACTGCTGATGCTTATTAAATTGTTTACCTTCAGGGTCCATGAAAGAAGATCCTTCTGTGTATCATGGGAAATATTCTGATGTCCAACCAAGGATTCAAGAGTAGAGTGCAATGAATTTTCATTCCCTAGAAATCAGAAAGGTGTGAATATCAAATCTAAAACATACAGAATGTTCCTATAGCTTGGACTCAAAGGAAATGTCAGGGGCACCCTACATACACATGTATAATTTCAACATCCTAAAAATTCATATTGGGTGTTTTCTGAATGACTGATATTATTTTTTATCTAAATGACTGAATTTACTCAATAAACTACAATTAAAGAATAAAAACACCGTGTCTGCCATAAGGGGCACTAGAGGGTTGAAAAAAGAATATTGTGAATATGCCACTGATAATGGTTACCTTTCATAGCTTTTTCAACAAAGTTAAAAGATTCTTCTCCTCTATCATGAGCTCTCCTGTCTTCATGAAGGGCCAAACCAATAAGGTGTAAGACCTGGTAAAAAAGACAGAATAATACTTCTTTGTGTGATGTTATCTTCAACAATTTGAGCCTGCAAATTGACACCATTAAAATCAGGAGCAGAAGGATGCCGTCTTCTGGGTCTTCCAGAAAACGTTCAGAATTTTTCAAGTTTACATTGACAGGCATCTAATTTTTTTGTCAGAAGACCATCAAAAATGAAGGATGGATCAACAAAGATAAACTGGAAGACTGTCAGAAAAAAATGCCTGGATCTGGCCCTGAAAATTACAACTTAATGACACTAAGGTTAATCAGAAACAAATCATATCTGAAGGACTTACCCTCTCCAGCTGTGCCTCAGACCACGACCTGGACCAGGTAGCTGCTGTCCTGTGGAGGACAGTTTTCATAATGTGAAGCATCACATCACACTGCAGTAAGTTCACACAGGGCTGGAAAGCTGCTGTGAATGGAGGAGGCACGGGTGGAGGAAGGGCTGAAATTTGCAGATTATATATAGTACGTGGTGTTTTTCTAGCAGAACTATGACTTGCTTGTGACGCCTCTTTACAATAACATCTCTTTTTCTTTGCAAATGCTTGAACAGCTATAAAAACATCCTAAATGGTGTTTCGATAACTTAGCTGAGATAAGATCCAATTTATTCATACATCTTACCTTGGTCTTCCCCAGCCTGTTTTTTCCTTTTCCTTTGTTCTTCTTCAGACTGAAATTATAAAAGATAAATGTGAGTAGTCACAGTGTGTCACACATATTCAACAAAACACTACTAAAACAAATAAGAAATTTTATACAGTTAATATTTCAAAAATCCCTCAAATAGTTTCAGTTCTACATAAGCAAATAAACCCTGCTAATTTGTTGGTCTCTGTACAGGTAAGTACCTTGGATTGCTCTGCTTTGGTATAGTGATAGAAAAAAGGACTGTAGTCTTTGTAGAACTCTGGCTTTAGTTCATACAGACCCTTTCCACTGTCTGATTTCTTGCTGTAATAGAGATTTAGGCTTCTGTTGAAGCAAACACAGAAACAAAACAGAACAGAAGAATATTCTAAGCTCTGAAAACCTATGAATTTCATATTTGTTTGAACAATCTTTTGAGACAAAAAAGGGCTATGCACTTCTATTGCAGCTACTAGCCATGAGTAAAATACTACTACTTTCATTACAATCAGCACTGCATGTGAGAGATTGATTCTTACCTAAAGTCAGCCACCTTGTGCACATTCTCTTCAATACCAGTCTCATGATTTGCCTAAGAATAGAATACAGCATCAAAATTAATTCATATACATCAAAATAAAACAATTCATTTTGTCTGGGGCATCATTATTAACGAGTATGACAATTCTCATTAAAAAAACTAACTCTGAATCCCTCCCCCCTTCTTATTAAAACTATATAAAACTTGACTAAAATGAGAAAAGATTGACATCTGGTTAACAACCAACGACTCACATCTTCAGGCATTGCCTTCTCCAGCTCACTGTGTGCCATGGGCTTGAGACAAAGCTGGTGAATGAGCTCTCTCTGGATACCCTCATCCTTACTGACCTCTCCTATACCCTGGCAGTAACGCTCACCTGTGAACATAGCAAGATAAATAAATAAAGATAAGGTAAGAACCCTTTAAGCCTGCATCAGGACATCTGAGTCATGTGGGCAAAATTCAGTCTGCAAAATTGGCTACAAATACAAGGCAGCTGACTTCTAACTTCTGGTTGTAAAAAAAAAAATAGATTTTTCTTTGACCAGATAAAATTCAAGCAGTCATATTCAATTTACTATATGCTGTCTATACATAGATTGACTGATGAATTTAAACTATGACAACCCCTTTAAATTTCTAAAGTGGGTTGAAATGTTATTGGTGCATACAGGTAAAGTTTATTAGAAAATGACTTAAGTCATTTCCTGATTGCTGAGGAACTCCCAAGCATATTTCAGTCAAAACCCAGGACTTCATTCTAGACTGTTAGTAGGATGTTATAGTTTATCACATTCTGACTTAACATTGCATTTACTTAGTAAATACTTACTCAGTATAATGATCAGTAGGTAAAGGAATTCCTCTGCCAGTGTAATGGTATATTTAACAGTGTACTTACTCAGTATAATGATCAGTAGGTAAAGGAATTCCTCTGCCAGTGTAATGGTATATCTAACAGTGTACTTACTCAGTATAATGATCAGTAAGTTAAGGAATTCCTCTGCCAGTGTAATGGTATATCTAACAGTGTACTTACTCAGTATAATGATCAGTAGGTTAAGGAATTCCTCTGCCAGTGTAATGGTATATCTAACAGTGTACTTACTCAGTATAATGATCAGTAAGTTAAGGAATTCCTCTGCCAGTGTAATGGTATATCTAACAGTGTACTTACTCAGTATAATGATCAGTAAGTTAAGGAATTCCTCTGCCAGTGTAATGGTATATCTAACAGTGTACTTACTCAGTATAATGATCAGTAGGTTAAGGAATTCCTCTGCCAGTGTAATGGTATATCTCACAGTGTCATCCTGGGTGCCAGTGTTCCCTCCTCCAGGGGTATCATATTCATCCCTGAATTATAACAACAAAACCATTGTAAATGAAATAATTCTTATTTTACTAACAAGAAAATAGTTGAAACTTAAATAACTCATGTTAATCATTCAGTTGGCTTTGTCACAATCTCCCATCATACTCAACTCAAGAGTAATGAAGAAAAAAATACCAATTTTGGTTTGGGATTGTAAATGACACATGGTGAAAAAAGTAAAATATTGTAATAATTAAGGTATTTAAAATTTATGAGTAATTACTATATCTTCCTTACAGACTATATATAATAAATAACCTGTAAAATTTAATCCAGCAAACCGTACAATGTGACAGATAATCCTAATACTCACTTCACCCATTGCAGGAGTCCAAATTTATTCATGACATGTACTATGAAGTGATTGCTGTCTATGGAGGATGCCCCTGCCTGCAGCATGATGATATCCTTGTCATACATCTGTGTTCTACATCGCACGTTCAAGTAGAAATAGATCTGCAAATGCAACACAAAAGACGTATATTGTACTTTTAACAATAGTACCTCCATAAAAAAAGACAATATTATGTAAAATTTGGTATATGAAGAGTGAAAAATGTGTTCTTGGCATACAAATATTTCCAACAAATTTCATATCTCGTAGATGTGCCAGATTCCACTATAAAATACCCCAATTCCACTTTTTCAATACCCTACTTGTTCTGTACAACTGTTTCACTCACACAAGTTAAAGACATAAAATAATTACCTGTCTTAAAATATCAAAATTTTTCTAAAAATTACACAAGTTAAAGACCTAACTTACATGTCTTATGATGTCAGATTTTTTCTAAAAATTACACAAATTAAATACATAAAATAATAATGTGTCTTATGATATCAGAATTTTTCTAAAAATTACCTGGTTGAGCAAAGAAAACCCATTTCTCCTCCACATGCTAGCCTGGGTCTGTGCCACAAGTACCTGAGCTCTGAGAGGCAGTTCTATCAAATCCACCATACTCAACTTGGGCTGGAAAACAACCAAACCCATTTCTTGTCTTTCATGCACAAAACTACCTTACCCATCACAATTTTTTTCAATATAATATGGGGCAAGTATACAACTTGGTAAAATGAAAACGAAAAGGAATTAATACCGAATTCACTCCAGTGCACTACATGTGCGGGAGGCATACAGGAAAGTGGATGAAGAATGCTTGATTTTCTAAACTTTAATCCTCCAAGGATAACATAACTTTTAAAAATAATAATAGTAATACTTTAAAAAAACATTACTGTCGTAATTACTGTGACCAAGTCACAGTTGTTTTTACCTCAAATAAAAGTTCTGGCGATGAAAAAGTCAATCTATATTTTTCTAGATACACATGTAGTCCTGAAAAGGGATAGAATTTTGAAATCTCAGTGACCATGGTGCTATATTTCTAAAATAAAACAGAATCTTATATAATGAAAGCATCTAACAAACTACACTCCTTTTTGACATTTCCTACAAAAATAAATAAATAAATAAATAAATAAATAAATAAATAAATAAATAAATAAATAAAATGCCCAGAAATGATTCATTTACCTTTTTCTGTGCGCTACAATATGACAATGAAAACTAGTGCTAATTTATTTAGTAGAGAAATTAAGTTATCAGATTTTTTACCTGCCAGCATCCTGGACAATGGGAGATGAATGGACACTTTCTGTGAGGACACATCATACTTGGTACATTCTACTTTGTGACCACAAACTAAAAGAAAGACGAGATTATATGCACTTTTCTTACTTCTGTTAGACATAGATGCCAGAGTCATAATATATAATATATATATAAATATAAGAAACAAGAGTTTATATCATTTTCTTATTTACCCAAGCTAAACCTGGATTACTTTATTGAGTTAACAATACAATTTTCTTTTCTTTTAAATGTTGGTTTTTCTTTAATTTGCTGCTGAAAACAGAACAAAGAAATATCCAAAACATATTAACAATTCAACAATTCAATTATCTAACTGTCACAGATATATATTATAATCAATTTAGCCATATTTTTTGTTACCTGAAACCTTTTCAGTTTTCCTCCTGGGCTGTTTCTGCTTTTCCAGTGTTTCCATAACTTTCCTGTAGGCTTCTATCAAAACTGACTTCTGTGTAAACAATATCAAAAATAATATTACATGCAGCTGAGATAAAAAAAAAAAATCGAGAGAAGCCCCAGCCTCTAACCCCAAACTGCATGCAGTATTTCAAATGTGTTCACTAATTTTTTCAAATAATGCCACTTTATTTCAAATGATAAAATATAATTGGTACATAATGACAAAACATTTCTGCATAAATTTTATGTTAGTCAGTCACTTTAACTGTTCATTTCTTACACTGCCTTGTGCCCTTCACACCTAGCTCTTTATGAGACACTTGTTGTAGGAAGATGTTTTATTGTAGAAAATCATGTAACTGAAGCTGTATTTAGCTGCATTTGAAATACCTACACCACTAACTATCTAACTACTTCTGATTCAAAAACATGAAGATTTGCATATATTTGCTAATGATTAGGCAAGATTTATATGGTATAGACAAATAAATCATTTAAGCCTTTAGACAAAGTTCATGCCAGAGAGAAAGTTGAGACCATGTCCTTACATCAGTTGCACACCATTCTTGCATCAGCTGTATGTTGTCTTCTAGCTTGATCTGGAGGTTAAATGCTCCCTCCCACTCTGGCTCAAACTCCAAGTGTTGGCCAGTCTGCCTCTGCACAGCATCCATGCCCTACAGAAGGAAGTAAGATACATCCCACTTTCTCAATATTAATAAAAATCTAAATCATTTTGCACCCAAAAGATATTCAATTTTGTCTAGTCTACCTCTGGACTGTACACATGCCCTACAGAATGAGATAAGATATATATTTTGTTGTTGTTGTTTTTTTTACATATGAATCTAAATCTAAATCATTTTGCATTCAAAAGATATTCAACTTTTTGTGTAACATGCCCTCACCAGATGAACATGAAGTACTCTAAAACAATACTTTAATAATTTTAATGGTTCCACAGTTGGTCACCCTTCACAACCTATGGACTAACTTGGTGAAAAAATACTACAAGTCTTAGCTGGAACCCAGTCTTTCATCGATTTTCTCTAAAATCAGGCAGCTACTTATGATCTGTTTAATGAAAAGTAAACCACAACTCCCACAAATATACTTTCATTTTAAATAGCATTTTGCATCCCATGCACACACTGCCGTTTACCTCCAAAAAGTCACAGAAATGATGAGATTCCAAACTAACAAAGTTCCCTTCCAGAACAGGGCAACCATTCACATTTCCAACTTTTCACACAGGGCAACATATCTTACAGAGAATGGACTGATAATTGCCACCCATGACAGAAATGGACCAAAAAAAGTCACCATTCACAGTCAGAAGTCGTTTGGTACAATGAGATCTAATTTAGCACCATGTCTTTATTTGATCTGATAAGTCAGCATGTTTCACATCCTCACCTACCTGCATTGCTGACAACAGATTCAACATACACTGGAAACCATTCAGAAAATTTCTGCGCAGATCATCGTTCCATTCCTCTGGAGAAGGCTTGCAGTTCAGCCCATACCTAGAATACAACACAATTACTTCTAGTCTAATCACAGAGGCCATTCAATTACAGTTGCCTGAAATATCTGATAACTTCATAGTTACTTCATGTTAACTGGCCAGGAGCATACAGTGATGGCAAGATATAACCCACACTGCATATCATCCAACTATTCTATACACTATCCAACCTAGCAGGACTCAATGCTAAATTTGACCTTTAATTATAAACCAATAATCAGACCTGCAGGCACTAACAATTTTGTTCTTGACCACCTATCTGAAATGTTACAATTAATAGGCAGGCCCATAGCCAGCATTTGTTCAAAGGGACGGGGGCCTTTTACTGACAAGGTGGACCTTTTATCATGAAACCTTTGTGTACCTGTAGCAAATTGTATCTAATGGAACCATTTGCCCAGCAAAAAGGGTGGTCCCTTCGAAACACGTAGAACCCCTTTGGCTATGGGCCTGATAGCCCTATATTGCTAAAAGCTTTCAGAAAATATGAGTAAGCTCTATGACATAGAAGGGTTTGTAATATACATGTACTTACTTCAGGTCATACAGCACATACTGTGCTCTCTTGAACTGTTGACTCCTCTCTGATCTGTCAAAGGTGAATTTACCATCCCCTAAAATAAACAGGTCAAATGATACAAAATTGCAAAGTCAAATCATCCACACTTCAGGTAGAACTGAGAGCATTCATGGCATGTGTTTCAGGTAAATGTGTGAAATTATAATTTTATAACTGTCATTAAATACTTTCATCTTTGATACTTATTTGAGGCCAAGAGTGTAAAATAACAGGGCAAAGAAGGTGGGGAGACAGTACACATTTTAAGGATAGAAATGTTCCCCTTGTCTTACTTATCAAAAATGCACAAAAAAATAATTTGATAATTTTTTTAAATATAAAAAGGCCAAAAGGAGGAAATGTGTCAACTAAGTGATTCAATTTATTTATATCTACTTACTATCCTTTTTAGATTCACATTCTTCCAGAAAGGTCTTCAAAATCACAGAGAGTAAGTCATGTTCTGTGATGAGCATTCGGGCCTGGAAAAATATACAAATCATTCATGTGCTAGTCTCAATATATACTTCATGAGCAAGATTTATATTACAGATCCTAATTTGAATACTTATGTCAGAAAACTGTAGCAATAATTAAAGCATGCTGAACATTCAATTAGAATTAATGCACCTAAGGAACATTGTCTACTGAAAGCAATGCAGGCAACAGACAAGGCTGCACTTTTGGATACAAAAATGCACTATATTATATGAAATAAATTAATAAATGTGAACCCCAAATTCACACCACCATTTATTAGTTTCATCATACTTAAAGTGGAATAGCCCAGGCAACCCAAGATAGTTTGTAAAATAACATTCAATTGTTTGATTAACTTTTCTTAAACTTGTTTTCAATTTATGAAGTTCTTAGCAGCTGAAACCACCCAGTTGCACTTTTTTAACCATAGAATATCTTTGTTTAAACTAAACAATAACTGCTGAAACTCCGTCTCTTAACCAATCACTGCAAATACTTTTCCACAAATAGAGATATGCATTTTTCAACAAGCATATGATAAAATTCTGCCAGTAAGTGCAAGCAGGAGGGGAAAGGGGGGTAAAATTAAATGAAACAAACTTTAATAATAAGTATTATAACCAAAGTTATATTCAAAATAGGATAATCAACACAAAATTGTATCAAAGTCTAGCAAATCTTTGCATCAAAACCAATCTGAGATGCAGTGTTTCTTCTTTGCTTTTCTATCTTTCTTTTTGTTAGGCTTAGTCTTTGTTTAGTTTTCGGTGTCAATGTTTCAATAATGAAAAAAAATGCAATGCAGTTTAACACATTAGGCAGTCAAAAATTTGTTTCTCTGCCTACATACCAATGTTGGCACAGTGAAGATTTGCACAGATATGGCGGTAGCAGAGACAGAACGGTAATGATCGTCTGCAATAAAGTCTTGAACCAGCTGACGGTAGTGCTACAAAACAATAGTAATACTAGCTCATGTTATATGTGGTCAACCTTCAATTACATACAGTATACTACTGAGCTTTGGTGAACAGAGGTGACTTGCCAGTGAAACCCACAATATGTCTGTGTGGATAGACTCACTGGTAAGACAGTCTGAGACACCATATACCATGCTGCACAAATACACTACAGGAGAGAGCATTAGTCATGGTAGGATAAAGACTTTCAACTAAATAATAAAATAAGAAAGGATTGGTTGGAATTGTTTTCAATAAATAAAGGAAATCAAAAAAGGTAAGGTGTGCAAAACTATACCATGTCTTTCGTGCTCTCTCCCACTTGGTATTCACACAGTATAGCACTACCACAAATATCCCGAACAATCAGCAACAGCAGCTTTCCAACCTACCATGGTGAAAACAGTGTAAATCTGAACAGTTAGAGATACAACTGATACAGAGTGATCGTGGTCATCCTCCACAAAGTTCCAGATCAGCTTCGGGTAGTGCTAACGTATTAAGAAAAGTACTCAGCATTTGTTTAACTGCAATAGTACTGCAATAATCCGTGAAACAAATACAAACAATATATCATAAGAACAGTTCTTTTGTAATTGAATATAATACTGATACTGCATTACATTTTCACATATATTAGATAATCATTTTTTTAATTAAAAAACTTCAGCTGTTTTAAAAAGTTAAAGCACTTTTGTTTAGTATTACATTTCAATTTTTGACTTGATACCTGTGTAAAGAGAACTGCAAATTTCTTCTTGTACTCCTGATCCATGAGAACACTGAATATAGAGAAATGAACAATGCACAAATATGAACTGGATGTCAAGTTCAAATTAATCAAACCCTGTTTAACGGAACATTGAAGAATCAAATGCACAGAAGTTTAAGTGTGATTGAGGCATTGTGTTAAGACTAAAGATAAGTTCAACTAGGCAGCTCTAACCAACTCCGCAAGGACTCTCACTGAATGCAATCAAGTTAAAAGGTTAACACACCTCCTGCATTCAGAGAAAGTCCCCACAGAGTTATCAACCTAGTACAATGGTTTTATTGTGAGGGTATCCTAGAAGTGGTTTCACTTACCCTGCCATGAAAAGCTGATGGCTTTGAACCCTGGCAGCTGAAAATTCATCAACAATTTTGTAAAGACACAATTTGTTTACATACTTATATACAATAAATTGAATTTTGTAAAGACAGAATTTCATAATATACATTATATACTTATTTAGACATATAGTTTTACACCCTGTGTACCACAGAAGAATTGCGTTTCAATAGATTCCATACCAAACACAATAAGACTCATCTTCTGAACATAAGTAGTTAGTCCCATGTTATTATTTAATAACAGAAAGGCCATGCTGGAAACCTTTCACAATTGACAAGTGCTCCTTTCTTCCATACCTTTCCACAGTTGTGTATCAGCCAACATTATTTTCTCCAGTAAACACTGCCCATCCAGCTCTTCACTAGGCTCCATTGACACTTTACAAAACAACTGACGTAAACCATCTGGACAAAAATTGACAGAATCAGAAATCTTATTCAAAAACTAAGAACCTAATGAAATAACATGTCAGAAATTAAACCTACTTCCTCCTCAAGTGCAACTTGTACAATGAAGCATGCAATTCATATCTTAAATCCCATACTCATTATCATCAATTCTGATCAGTCTACCTGTGTGCTGCTCACCTGACTGTCCTATAAGTCGTAACAACCAGGTCAACATCCTCTGGGCAAATATCTGATGTGCCACCACTGACAAGTGCATGACATGACACTTCAACGCCTTGCTCTGGCCCTGCCTGGTCGTGTTCCTCTGAATACAAGAAACAATAATTAATTATAATCCTATATAAACAGGCTGCATCTGAATGATTTATACCTTCCATTAAACTATCATAGTAATAAACAAAAAGTTAAGAGGAAGAACTCAAACAAATTTTTCACAAAAACTAACAGAAACTGGTAGTTTAATCTAAAAACAGTTTTTCGAGTTTTAATTAGTTTAATTAGTTTTAGAATGACTTTTCTAATCCATATTATATTAACAACTACAAGTAACAGACACACATATACAAAATGTAAATATCATGTGAAACACAACAACCACACTGCCCACATATTTACTCACCTCCACATATCTCCTGACTTCTTCACAATCTGTGAATGATCCATTTTTCACTGAGCTTCTTCCCTAAGATTAATAGAACAGGAAATACTGTCAGCATTTTCCCTATCAATCCCTCAAACCACAAGTCTGAGAGTGCACTGTTGCTCCTTAAGATACTGAACTGCTAGGTTTTTCTTAGAACAGCTATTTATTTATTTAATTATTTTTGCAAAATACTAAATCACAAAAGGATAATAAAATAATGTAAAGTTGGTGAAACAGTATAAAAATTTGGCTCCAGCTAAATAATTTGCATACCTCTCTGTCAACTGTGGTGGCAAAGTCAACAGCTTCCTTCTTGGTACATTCAATGGCTCTAGTCAAAGTGTTGATGACCTTAAATTAATCCAGACAAGAGGGTAAAATGGCATAAGATTTATTTCTTGTTATGCACTGCACAACATACACAGTTCAATTAAAAGGCATACCAAACTATAGCAAACTTGACAGTTATTAAGTAGTCTTCTTTCTGATTTCATTCTAAATTTCTTGGACTTGTAACATAATCAATACATGGGTGTTAACTATCAAACCATGCAGTCACATACTGCAATAGAAATTTAAAGTGACCTAAAAAGAAGTTGACGTTCTCTTGATAATATGGAGCATACCTGCTCATACGTGTGGATTTCATCATTAAAAAGCATGGTACAGTATGTGTTTCCCATTTCTGGGGGTCGAAGGTCAGGAGGAAGGTCATCATACTGCGTCCACAGCAGCATCTGAACCGCATACTTTATCACAAATGATAAAACTGCTTCAGCTCTCTGCCTGAGGTCTGCTGGCAAATTATCAATGGGGTTCTGTGGGAACAAAATCAAAAAGCAGAAAATCATGATCAGCTGACAGATATGTGATTCCAACAGTTTACCAAGCACTTAGAATGTCATGTCTTTTTGTACAATTAAGATAAATTATTGACATAAGGGTTTTTCCAAAGTTATTATTGGGACAGATTAGTAGATCTGCAGAATATTAAAAATTTTCAAACAGTACAGTATACATGTACCTTCATAACAGAAAAAAATGGCCACATGGTTTAAGACCAATTTTTTACTCTGTTAGCCGACTACTACACCTAAATCCTAGATCCAAATCTTCCTCCAAAAGTAAAGACAAATTTTCCATGTTAATTGCATTTGTTAACCTGGTCCCTGTAGATTCACTTGCCTCTCTCACCTGATTACTCCCTTTTTCTTCCCCTTTTCTATGTATTTCACACAGTGGGTCAGTCTTCCAGGCCTCCTTGTCGCCACAGTCACAATAGCCACCACCACTGGACGTGCTCATCTGAAGTGTAATGGGAACATTGTCAGAGAGTGCCAGAGATTTTATACACAGCCATTATTGGGTCAATGCTTTAATTTGCCTGTGGCAAAGCCATGAAGTATCTAGTATTATAAATTACATTTAATAAAAAAAAATTTAAGTAACATCCTTAACTAATATCTCATATATTTATATAATCATACCCACCCTGTATTTATGCTTTCTATGTGCGCCATTGTTGAAGCAATCTATGCAGAGAACACATGTTGGATCAACTGCACAATCTCTGGAAAAACATATTATTTAGATGTAAATAAAACCAAATCTTTTAGAGGACCTATAAGCAAAGTCTGTACAAATAGTTGGCATTTACTTATCTGTTCCAGTAAATGTAAAAGGTGTGTGCACACAATATCAGGTCATGACCCTAATTATGGTTTTAACATATACATTACATATCTATCACTCATCTGCGACAGTCAATTGACTGAAGATTGATACTACCCAAAACTTTCTAAATACATCATCCACAGCCTATATACTGCCTGCCAAGAGAGTAAAATCACAATGTTTGAAAATGCAGAGCAGACAGCCGATTCTGTTCTCAAAATTGACTGACCTGCATGAGTATGTTGGTTCTCCACTGCGGAACACGCGGCCACACAGAATGGGTGGGTGATCTTTCTCCTTCAACTCCTTAAACACAGCATCAGGTGGGCCTCCACATAGAAATGCCTCTACTGGATTAAACAGAAGCTTCTTTGCTTTTCTCTCCTCTCTGTTAGGGTCATACTCTCCCAGAAGTCCATACACCAGTGGAACAAACTGGCAAAAGTGCTGTCGTAACTTATCTGTGATGCATCCTTCCTCATAGGCTTCTTGGAAGCTCTGAAATGAAATTGATTAACATGTCTCAGACACACGTTGCTTTCAAATTATGGTTGTCTTTCAATTTTGTTTGGTCATATTCAGCTGTCCATAATTCAGAGCATGAATAACCAGATACATTTTTTTTTTATAAAATGAAACAAGATCCCAACTCCTGGTATTGTAACACCGACGGCATAAGCACAATCAAGTTGAAGGGAAGGTATGGATAAATTCATCTTTGTTTTGATAATTGTAACAAGGCCTTTCAAACAAATCAAAAATTTAATTCTATACACAGTTCTAATTTTTCCACTGACCTTCCTAAATCTTCCTACTGTGGTAATAAAAATATTATGTGACACACCCTTTTCATAGAAAGTCACATCGTGTCTGTCATTACAGGTTTTCTATATCAAAAAATAATTTCTTAGCCGGAAAAGGAAAGCATGATTTACGATAAAAGTATCAATAAATTCGCAAAAGATTATGCCAAGTCACGGATACTACCCTGTAATGGTAAAACAACGTATGTGACCAGTCAACACTGGGTATCCAACTTTGACAACTTCTGAAGTGTCTGTAGGGATTGATTCTCATTCTTAAGAAAGGACATATGTAAAAAAATTACTACACTCTACGCTTTATAAATATGCACCTACCTGAATTACCTGACTTGGATTAAATTCAGCAATACTTTTTGCGCCAGACACCGTAAGGGACATAGTTCAAGATACCTTGTCATTTATTGTTTAGTTTCCCAGCCTTGAGTAGCATTAGAGTATAAATAAATCACAAATGAATAGCTGATCAATTTTGTTTGATAGAATGAAATATATGTGATATATGATAATAAATAAATATTTCCAACGGATTATTAAATTGAATTCGAAACTATAGATATTTCGATTATATCTCTGCATGTTGTATGTATACTTCCGGTTTGTTTAGTGGGCCAATAGTTATTTTTATGTTACACAATTTCAGTTAAATTATATTTCGACCCAGTAGTATGGATAATGTAACTGATGTCACTGTGTCTCCATGCAGCGATTCAGCATATATCAAACCGCTCAGAGTCTTTTACAAACAGGTTGATACTGCTTTAGAAATTGATTAATTATTTGGTGCAAAAGTGAAACTTTCCCGTTCTTCACTTCTTGCCTCAGTTTTCGGCCTAACCATGCAAATTACATGCAGGGTACTTGATTGATGATGATGATGATGAGTTTATTCGTTGTAGTTTTATTTTACCAGTACCTCTTGAACAACTCCCCTCTTACAATCCTGTAAGACCAACCAGCTTTCCCCAAAAATACTTATATACTGTACCAGAAGTAGGACTTTTCTTTTGAAAATGCAATTAATTCTTCACTGCTATAGTACACATGTATGGTACAATTATTCTGTGAGCAAGTCTTAAGATATTTAGACTCAAAAACGAAGAGTGTACGTAAAGATATAATTTAAATACTGATATCTTTCATAACAACAGGTATTTCATTTTTTATTGAAAATTTGTAAAACATCATTGCTCTTATTCTTACTTATGTTTTATTGTAAACTTGAGACTCCCACATATATTCATTTACTTCAGAATGGTGTTTCTAAAACTTGGGATGCAGTGAAGTCACACGACAGGTAAATGGAATTATTTATTTCCTTGTTACATGGATAAATTAAGCCCTGTTGTTTTTGATTATAGTTAAAAGAAATTGCCGTTAAGCAATATTATGATATATTCTTGCTTGGCAGTGAATCTCATATGACCCGAAAATTGTCTCTGCTTCTTTTCAGTGTCTGCATTTTGCTTTTCAATAAATCAACAGAATCATTTGTGTTTGTGAAGCAGTTCAGGCCAGGTTGGTATTTTTTGTTTGGTCAAGTTTATGTTACCATACATTGGGGGACTTGGTGGGGAGACCCCATGAAAAAGTGGGGGGGGGGGGGGGGGGGGGGGTCAGGGGTCTATTATTAATCCGAAAAAAAGGGGC